GTTTTTCAATCTTCCACAGTATCAGGGCTACATATGCGCCGAATACGAGTGGCAAGCGACCAAATCAGGTTTCGTTTTCGACCAATGGGTACCCAACTGTAGAAGTTTGTCAATTGACCATTCCATGACAGCTTGCGATAAATCGATCTTTTCAGGGTTCCATCGGTCCTTCTTGATAAGTTCACATCGAGGAAATGCATGCTAGACTCGTTCTCCATTTCGAGTGTGAATTTTATCGCCAGATGGCAAACATTAAATACATCTAATATATTATTTAAGTTACAATCACTATTACAAATAATAAAGGTGTCATCTACGTACCTTTTATACATTTGAAAACTTTGGATTATAGGCTTCAGCTGATCATTTTCTAGACTGGACATAAAACAGTCTGCAAGGAGAGGACCCAAGGGAGAACCCATTGCAATACCATCCTTCTGTCTGTAGATAGCTTCATTAAAAGTAAACTGTACATTCAATGTACATCTCAGAAGTAGTTCTTTCAGATCTGTAGTGGGTATTCCTATATTCAATTTGTTGTCTTCTATATATTTGCATATAAAACATATAGTTTCTGTCAGTGGAACGTTCGTAAATAGGGATTCTACGTCCAAAGACAACATATGTTTATTCGACGCATTTATATCCTGTATACATTCAACAAATTGGAAGGTGTCCCGGAGAGAATGATTAGATAGCTGTTCCCTGACAGGTTCAAGGATTTCAGCTAGCCATCCAGCTACTGGATGATAGGGCGATCCAGACATATCCAAGATAGGGCGGAGTGGAAGGCCAGCTTTGTGTATTTTCGGTAGACCGTAGAGTCTTGGTATTAGAGATCCTGTTGGTCTGATCTTTTCGTATAATTCTTCACGAATGAGATGATTGTTCTTCATTCTTTTTAAAGCTTCTGTAAGTTCTTTTTCAATTAAATCCGTCTTATTATTCTCGTTCGGTTTCGAGAATTTACTGCTGTCTGAAAGTAGACCTGACATTTTGTCGATATAATCCTTACGATCCATAATAACAACACCTGCACCCTTGTCAGGGCGTGTTAGTAATATATCGTTGTTATGCGTCAAAAGTTTAAGTTCTTCTTTGTGCTGTTTGGTCAAGAGACTTTGCATTTTTTTGACAAACTTCTACAGTTGGGTACCCATTGGTCGAAAACGAAACCTGATCCGGTCGCTTGCCACTCGTATTCGGCGCATATGTAGCCCTGATACTGTGGAAGATGAGCTATACATCTTGAGGAAAGTCCTAATAGAAAATGGATTTCCACCACGTTTTATAGATAAGAATATTCATTCAAATCCTAAAAAACGTGAGTTATCAACCGTACCCAAGAAGACACTTTACATGAGCTTGGAATTCAAAGGGGACTTAGCTTCCGATATCATGAAACGGAGGAGGATATCACAATCCCTGAAAAGAACATTCCCTGCTGCATCCCTGAGAATAGCCTTTTCTAGTCGACCATTATTGTTCAATAACCTGAAGGACAAAATCCCGCTGTTGACCAACTCTATGTGTGTTTATCAATTCACCTGCTCTTGTGGAGCTAGGTATATCGGTCGTTCGACACGAGTTTTGTCCAAGAGGGTGCAAGAACACTATCCTGCATGGTTACGAAAAGGTGGTAGTGGAGCAATAAGAAGCGCGATCATTGAACATCTGGTCGAGAATGATCACCCTATCTCTATAGCCTCCGCCTTCAAAGTCATCTACAAGGCAAAGAGTAATCTACCCAAATCCCTACGTACCCGACTCATCTGTATTGCTGAAGCTTTGGCTATCGAAACAGAAAAGCCAGATCTCTGTGTACAGAAGAAGTTCGTTCAACCCCTCCAACTTTCATGGTCTTAATCCCTCTATGCTAAAGTATGGGAATCCCCAATCATACTTCAGCTCTACCAACTCTCCATTTTTTTCATTTTTTCATTTTTGTCTATTCAATTTGTATACTCTTCCTTATTAAGTCAATTGTTACTATTACTACTCTCATTTTTAATTGTCCCCGGTATTATTTCACTTGTTCCACTTGTCATTCTAAATCAATTCCTTTATGCAACATTAAATTCTATGCTATTAAATTCCACACAATATTACGTAACGTTTTTATTTTTTCGATTTGTCTACTAATCTTATAATTGCACACCTTTTTCAAGTTCTATCCATCCTATGAATTATTCTATATATGACATTAATTTGCTTTGCCACTTGACCTTTAACTACGATTATAATCACAAACATTTTAGTTTTAATTGCACTTCATATTATTATTATTTCATGCATTCACACCTATGTTTCAATTCCCTCACCGGATATAACTTCTTAAAAACCATATATATACGATTGTACAGCTTGATGATAAATTCGTTGAAAAGAGTCTCTTCGCTGAATCATTTGTTTTGATTTTCTATATGTTACAATGGGAATTTTCCATGATATGTATATATATATATATATAGTTCATTTTTTTGTTTATTCATTTTCGTGTATTCAGAATTATATTCCAGGATGGTGACAGTTGTGCTGAGTCACCCTTGCTACATGTGTCCGGTGTGACCTTAATGAATATCGATTCTGTTATAAGTGTCTCGTTCCATATGTTCATTTTAGTTTTTAGAATACAAACATTGTTCCAATCGCTATTGTGGTTTTTGTTCAATACATGTGCAGCTATAGATGAATTGTTTTCTAAATTCTTGTAAGCTTGTGTTCCTGTTGGCTGACCTTCAGTTAGGCGTTTATGTTTATTCACTCTTATTTTGAGTGATCTGGATGTTTGGCCCACATATTTAGTCGGACACAAGATATTCTGTAAAACACGTTGTATTTATCCATCATTTTTATGGGAACTTTCAGTTGATTTATTTTATTTTGGATTAGATTCGTCGGTTTAAACGTTGTGCAAATCCCAATATTTTTGAGGTTTCTTCGAATTGCCTCTGATGTACCATTTTTGTATGGTATTGTGACTGTTTTTGCATCCCTCCGTCTTGTCATTCTCCGGTTTTGCCCTCTTTTTTCTCTTTTTTTGTATTATCTTTGATAAATTCTTTTGGGTAGTTGTTGTCGAGTAACATTTTGAATAGGACGTTTATTTCATTACGCTGGTCCTCTGGTATTGCCGTAAGTTTACGTGTTCTATCTGCAAGACCTTGTATTAATCCTCGTTTTACCGTGAGTGGGTGAGCTGAGTGATAATCAAGGAATCTTCCAGAGTGTATAGTTTTTCTATATAGCGTCGTTTTAATGCTGCCATCTGTTACTCTTTGTATTTTGCAGTCTAACATAGGCAGTTTCCCAATTTCATTCTCTATTTCCATAGTGAATTTTATTGAGTCGACATGACTGTTTATGTGCGAAAAGAATTTCTCAAAACCCTTTTTTGTCATGATTAATAACGTATCATCTACAAATCTCCACCAACAATTTTTTGATGACCTGAATGGTTTAAGTACATTCTCTTCCCAAAAATCCGTGAATACATGAGCTATTATTGGTGATATGGGTGATCTCATGGCTACTCCCTTATTTTATTGTTATATTTTTCCTTCAAATGTAAAATATGTTGTTGTCAGACAGAATTCCACCCCTTTTATTATCTCTTCTGCGGATAAATGTGTTCCGTCTTTTTGGCCATTATCTTCTTTTTAGTCTCGTTTTCAGTGCATTCATGGCCATTTGAATGGGTATTTATCTGTTACAGTCAAACAACAAATAAAGCACTGAAATGACCCTGAAAGTTGAAGCTGTCCTTCTGTGATGTTAATCCTCCATTTATGGCAAATGGCGACTATGGAATTGTTTATATTCAAATGCAGCCAAAAATAGTTAACATGTAGTGGAGTAAGTAAGTTAGTAATATAAAAAGGTGTATGGAATCCAGTATTTTCATTTTATTGCCTGCTTCAAGTGACAGAGACAATGTTAAGCGCTAAACCTATAACCTGCTTTGTTGTTAATAACATAATTTTAGGCTCTTTTATTTTGTATTCTATAGTGGACTCCTTCTTAAACATACTTAGCTACCTAAATTATTAACATTGGCTTCCTTTTTTGTACTTTACTATATTCCTTCTTTTGTGTATCTACTGATTCCGACTATTTCAGCACTATGAGTAATACAAAATTGTCCTATCATTAACCATCATGTAATTATTAGTTTTTGTGGTTTTTTTTTTCTTATTTTGTATTTTTTTCGGCAATATTAACTGACAATCATTGGTTGTGAACGCCATTATCAACATCTTAAAATTTAGTATTATACAGGATTACTCACACTCCCACTACAAACACTGCATTAGACCTGACAATAAAAAACAAAACAACAACCCTGAAATGTTATTTTATTGATTGTTTAGTGTTTGTTTCAACCAAATAAACTGATCATCTTGGCGATAAACATTCTTAAATATCATTTCATAACTTCTTGTATGACTGTTGCTTTACTGTTAACCATACATAATCATATCATAGCTTCCACTACCCAATACTGAGATATAATTATATGCTGTTCATTTTCCTGTCTACTTCTTGGTATTTTTTCGCATTTTTAAAAAATTATTTTTGTGTTTTTTATGTTTTTTTGCTGTTGTCTTTGTATTTATTTATTTTTTGAAATACTCCTTTTAAATTTCTGTTAAAATTCGATGCAAATATTGTAGATATGTGCTGAAAATTCCACACTGTACCACTAGTACTGTTTCTGGAGTAAAGCAAATTATTAGTATTATTAAAAAAATTTTGCTGAGTTATTTCTAAGGGTTTGCTAGAACCCGTGAATTAACTGAAGACTTACTTCTGTTGTATACAGCATTCTGTAATTAGTCTTTTGTGTGTCGGTGGCACAGCGGCAGAATGCTCGCCGACCACGCATATGATCCCAGGTTCGATCCCTGGCCACCTACGCACTCCTTTATGTGAATACTAAATAAAACTATTTAAAAATAAATAATAAAAGGAAAACATTATTTCCTCCTCGAATAAAATAGATCATGAAAATGTTGAAAGAAATTTCAAATGTCCGAGAGAAGCTGGATTTACAAATAGGTCGTTCAATGCAATTGGAAGCAGAGTTGACGCGTGTAAAATCAATTAATGCACAGCTGGAGTCTGGCATCCAAGAGATGACTAAACAAAGTCTGACAAATGCACAGACAAGCGCAGCGGAAATTCGTGCCTTACAGGAAGAAAAACACTTAGCACACAATAATCATCAGTTGGAAATTAACCTTATGAAAAAAGATTTAAATCAGTTGAGTAATGAAAATACTGAGTTTAAGAAAGAAATCAGTCGTTTGCAGAATAAAATTTCAGAGCTTAAGGTAAGTTATTTATAACCCTTAAGATCATTAGGAATAAGATATAGATCAGAGTCATGTAGACAATTATTTTATCTTATTTGTTAGCCAGGAGCCCAAAACACGTTAAATTTATTATGATGGTGATAATTACAAAGCTAACTGTATTGCCTATCAGCGACTGGAATGGTTACTGACTGAATAATGATAGTTACAGTGGGGTAGAGGAATGAAGACAAAAGACTAAAATTTCCTCACCTTTTACTTTAGATATTTACCAGATGTACTGGAAATGACTTCTCTAGATTTTGGTGGAGAAGTTTGTAACTAGGCTTTTGTGTATGACTGTCGTTAAAGAAGGATTCAAGCCTTTGAACACGAAAAAAATGATGCCGTTCGGATGTTCGACTCTAACACTGAACTGGTTTAACAGATATCATGCTTTATATGTAGCACGAAGAAACATTTTCTTTGAATCATTATTTTAGAAGTTATTTTCAGTTTTCGTAATCTGTTGTTCGCCATTTCGAATATGAAAAAGTTGGTGTGAAATAAATGTTGTCTTGGGTTGAGAGACAATCTGTAGAAATTCCTGGACCTCCGTTTCCCGACTGTTGAGACTAATGGGTAAAGGTTATTTTCAACTTCAAAGGGACTGATGTTATCTCAGCTATCTGTAGATCCTTGTGTGGTTGGGCTGATAAATGTTCTTTTAGGCGACACTGGTTGAAGAAGTAGCAAAGACAAGACTCCAGGTGAACAAAGACAAGACGGAAGTTATGAAAATAAGCAACCAACAACAACAACAACAGCAGCAACATCCAGCGCCAATCACCATCAACGGGAGGGATTTGAAAGAGGTTACTTCTTTCACTTATCTAGGGAGCAGTGTCTCAACTACAGGAGGAACGGACGAGGATGTCAAATCGAGCGAGAATCGGGAAGGCGAGAAACACATTCATCAGCCTGAAACCAATCTGGAAATCTTCGTCACTCAGCATCAACAACAAAGTGATTCGGATTTTCAGTACAAACGTCAAGTCAGTCAGTTCTTCTATACGGATCAGAAACTTGGCCAGCGGGTCACAAAGAATATTTCCAACAGATTGCAGACCTTTATCAACAGCCGTCTTCGTTCCATACTCAAGATCAGATGGCCGGAAAGAATCACCAACAAGAAACTATGGGAACAAACAAAACAAGAAGCAATCGCTCAGCAAATATGCAGGAGAAAGTGGAGATGGATTGGACACTCGCTGAGGAGTGACTTCGCGCGTCAGGCCATCGCTCGAAAGGGAAGCGACCAGTGGGACATCCAAGGGTGACGTGGAGGACAGCGTGGGAAGAGGAGTTGGAAAAGTATGGATTAACATGGATGCAAGTGAAAAGTACAGCATACGACAGAAGCAAGTGGAGGCATGCAGTTGAAGCCCAAGAGAACAATAATAATAATAATTTGAATCTAGCTGGATGAATACTTTAAAACTTAAAAATAACCCAAGACCTACTCTTCATCTTCAAATGCATGCTTTTTACATTTGTTACTCATATTACATTACTGACTTGAATTAATAGTATCACCTTGCATTCTTATCAACCTGAACTTTTGGATGTCACAGGATGAAATGATGCAGTGTAAAAACGATTCACAAAATAAAACGAATTCTCTGCAGGAAAAGGATAAACAGATTCAATCACTTACGCATGAACTTGAATCTTGTCATCGGGTACGTCTTACTTATGATGTATACATATTGAAAACATTGTTTGATGTTGTGGTCTATTTTGAAACTTGGGTGTTAAGTGTTTGTTTGGTCGGAACTGTAATGAAACAAAATATTACATCGACCAATAAACTAACATGAAATTACACTACAGGGCGTTCAGTTTAGCTGAGCTTTCGACATAATTGGTGCAGCCTCAAAATAAGCGTGACAAGACTTGTCTTAGTTCTCACTCCGTCTCCCGTTCAGAGACATCTATCACCTAATAATTAGTAGCATGTAATCCGAATACGAGGTGAAACGTAATCCAACAAGAAAATAATTACTTAATCAATAATGCAAAATAATTAAATTTGTTCAAAAAATTCTCAACCTGAAAAGCGCACTATATAAACATAACTGTATCACCTTGAAGCGCTTTTGTATTTTTCTGCTGCATTTGCTTACTTACGTAAAACTCTTATTTCTCTGGTGTTACTGGCCAGGAAGTCGTAGAATTTATTGTGATTGGTTTGCTTTCGAACACTGATCCTGGGAATGTAATCTTGCTTACTATAACTACCCGGGTAGTATTATTGTTCTCTAGGGTTCCGAGTGGAACAATAATAATAATATGCGGTCATGTGTCACTGTAAAATACAGTTCCCATCACGTTCTGTAAACTTGAACTTCAAATAGTCTTGAATGAAAAACATCACGCCATGCTATGACATCCATCTCTTCGAACTTACGCAACACACACTTTTAATACCTTGTAAAAGTAAGTACATGTAGCAGTAATGCAGGGAACGCACTCCAAAATAAATGTTTGTGTGTTATCCTCTAATTTATTTAAGTGAATAAGACCAATTTTACATTGAATATTTAACTGCGTTTGTTCACCGTCAACTTTTGCTCATAAATAAATCAGATAATGCTTACTGTTAAAATTATTCATTCTGAGTAAAGCCCCAAGTGTGGAATCAACAAGATTTCAAAACGTCTAAATAACAAACAGTAACATATGAGAGTAAGTCATCGTTATTAATGTTCCCTTAAGTTCCTAGAGGAACATAGGGCTTCAGCCACACGTCTCCAATACGTTCAGTTCTCCGTCAACGTCTTCACCTGGCTCCAGATCTGCCCACATGCTTCCATCTCCAATTACCATCACCTCCTCCTCCTTGTCACCCTAGCAATCACGACCAACTCACCGCTCCCCATTCGGATTTCACTCGAGCGATGGCCTGGCGCGTCATGTCACTCAATTGGTGGTTTCCTCAGAGTACGACAACAATCCAATCCACCTCCATTTCTTCCCGCATATTTGTTGCACAATCGCTTCCTGCTGCTGGGTTGGTTGGTTCGTTCATTGCCACGGAACACACAGTATTGATAATCTTTTCTGGCCGGCCATCTGATCTTGAGCAGTATTGAGTGATGCTTCCCAGGGAGGTGGGTAGGTGAAAAAGACTGCTTCTTTCAGATTTCTCCCATTTATACTGATTGTTGTCTGTTGTTGTTGATGTTGTTGTGGCTGTTTCTGTTGGCGAGGAATCTTCATCATCCACGTCTGTTTCCTCTATGTTCACCTGAAATCGTATCTTCTCTGGATGCTTCTTCTTCCAAATTGTTGCTTTTCACTTGCATATCTACCAGTTAGTGGGCAATCAGACATATATCATCGGTGAATTCCAGATCCTCCAAGTTCGTTTTTGTGTGAGTCCATTTTATGCCTGTCTCCTCGTTGTCCGCTGTCTGTCGCAATATATAGTCTACCACAATTAGCAAAATCATTGGAGATGGTAGGCAGCCAGCCAGCTTGCTTTACTCCCGTCTTCACTTCTTCGAAGGATTCCGTGAGTTTCCCGTTGTGGATTACTTGGCATTCAGTATTATTGTACAACTGTTGGATGAGGTGTATAATTGTCGGTGGCACCTCGTAGTAGCGAAGTTGTTTCCAAATCACCTTTCAATCGACGCTGTCGAAGGTCTCTTGAAAGTTGATGAAGTTGAGGTCGAGAGCTGACTGCCATTCCAAGCTCTCTTCAATGATGATACTTTGTGTTGCGATTTGATCTATGCATGACTTGTTTCTTCTGAATCCATCTGTTCCGGTCGAAGTTTCTCATCCAGGGCACGTTTGATTCCCTCCAGGATGATGCGGCTTAGTATTTTGCTTAGGATAGACAGGAACACAATACCGCACCACTTCTTTCATTGACTTAAGTCTCCTTTCTTTGGCAGTTTGAATAGGTAGCCTTTCCTTCAATCAGCAGGCACTTGCCCTCCTTCTCCAGTAGTGGTGTCATCAAGTCCGCCAATGTCTCTAGGTTCATTTTCAATGCATCTGCTGGGATTCTGTCTGGTCCATAGTGAGCCACTGTTCGTCCTGTCTCTTCTTTCTGCCTAGAACTTCCATGTGGGTTTGACTCCACACCGCTTTCAGGCTGGTCCAGTGTTTTTCAACGCTAGTCTCTTCGCTAGTGTTGATTTGTGTCTCCGCCTTTTTCCTTATGATTGCAGTGGTCTGATCCTTCAGTTTTTGAGTATTGAACTTGGCTTGTGGTCTATCTGCACTTCCTACTTCCTTGACCACTTCCTTAACCACTGTGCGTCGGTGGCACAGTGGTTAGGACTCTCGCCGACCATGCACATGGTCCGGGGTTCGATCCCCTGCCGGCGCACACCCGATATCTATGGTCGGCCTGAATTTGGGCTGCCGATATCCATGCTGAAAATTCCATACTTGTACTGAAAATACGGCGTGGAATCAAGCTGTAAATCAAATAAGAAAAAATTTAATTTGATTTGTAGTGTTCCTTGTACGAGATAGTGGTCTGAGCCAACGTCTGCTCCTCTTCTTACTTTCGTGTCCAGCAGGCTGCGCCTCCACTTCCTTGAGATTGAGATGAAGTCGATTTGGTTTTTGGTTCGCCCATCTGGTGACACCCATGTAGCCTTGTGGATATCCTTGTGTTTGTATACGCTGCCACCAATCACTAGTTCATTGAGGGCGCAGAAGTCGGCGAAGAGTTCTCCGTTTTCATTCATTTCTCCCAGAGCTTCTCTACCCATGATGAGTTCCCTTCCTGTGTTGTCTGATCCCAGTTTGGCGTTCATGTCTCCCATTAGTATTTTGATGTCACCAGCTGGAGTATTGTCCATTGTTGTCTGCAGTTGTCTGCAGAATTGTTCTTTCGTTTCGAGGTCTGAGTTGTTGGTCGGTGCATAGCATTGTATAATTGACACTTTCCTTCCTTTGGAGTTGAATCTGGCGGTTATTATCCTGGGCGAGATCGCCTCCCATTGCATCAGAGCCTTGGTTGCCGTTGGTGACATCATGATAGCCACACCCTTGGTGTGTTCGTGGTTGTCTTCTGGATGACCCGTAGTAGATCACTGACTCTCCCGTTGAAAATTTGGAGAGTTCACTCCCATTCCATCCGCTTTCACATATTCTTAGTACTTCGGTACCAATATCTCTTCATCTAATTTGCAATCTGGGCAGCTTTGCCAGTCTCATACATAGTGCGGACGTCCCATGTCGCCACAGAGGCTTTTCTTTCGTCGCAAGGAGACTCTTCGTACTGAAGTTTCCGTAGCAGTTTTCTTTACAGGGTAGGGTTGCTAGCCTCACGCCTGACAGGGGAGTTAATACATAGGGATGTTAGTTACAGAGGAGTGACTTTTCGGGTTGCTCCCTTTAGAACCAAGAAAATAAAAAGTAAAGCAATCGGGCCTAAAATATCATAACAGGAAAAGCAGAGACAACAACATAAACAGTAGCAAAAATATCACTGTCAAGTGCAATTACGGAAAATAACACTAATATCGGCATGTAAATCCATTAATGTATAAAATTATAGGTATTAGTTATTTATGGGTATCCGCTCAATGTGTTTAATAGTCACAAACTGGCAAACAGTTAGTTATAGGTAGTAACAATCAACAAGATTATGTTCACAGGATCAGTATTCTAAAGTAAACCAATCACAATAAATTTTACGACTTTATGTCCAGAAACACCAGACAAATGAGAGTTTTACGTAAATAAGCAAATGTGATGCACAAATCGGGAAGGCTAACCGCAGCGGTGAGTGATGCATATTTGAAAATGATGCTTAATCGAAGTTTACTTGGACATTGTCAGTAAACTCCTATAGGCAACATCACATTGAAAGAGGTTCAAACGGATTGGTTTCCTCTAAACATCTGATGCCCGACATGGTGTATGGATATATTTTCTCACAAATCTCTTTTAAGTATATTCATATTCGGTAATCTGAACTGGTATTATGCAACAACTTTTGACTTTAATTAATGGGTACTTGCATTAGAAAATTGAGGCGGTGTTAAGTAGTAAAAGTTATTATCAATTAATTGAGCTTTCAAACTGCACACTAGTTAGGAATCTGTGTAGTGTCTGGCCCGCTATTTGGTGCAAACTGAATTCTATCAGTCACGTTTGCAATGTGACCACCATTCTTCATGTCTCGCCACCACGGTGCACATTGATTTGATGATATTTGGTGATAGTTGGAGGCAATCGGCAGGAAGCCTTGCTTGACCTAGGTTTCGTGTTTGTTGGCACTCACCAGTCAGCGAGACGTATCTGCAACGCGTTGAAGAAACTCGTGTCTCTCCTGAGATTCAATCCCGCGTCACCCAGTGCTGTAGCCAGAGAGGTTACCACTGAGCTATTCCGGGTTGCGATTGAAGTCCTGTAGACTAGACACTAATCAGCAACTAGTATAATGTGTCTGGTCCTTTGTTTGGTGCAGACTGAATTCTATCAGTCAGGTATTTGCGATGTGGCCACCATTCTATGTGGTTCGGGGTCACAGCGTACTGTAAATTGTTGACCCAGCCTCGAATCTCAGAAGAGACATGAGTTCCTTCAAGACTGCAGATATGCTTTACTGACTGGTGAATGCCAATTAGTTAGAAACTAAGGCCGAAAGCTTCCTGCCGACTGTCTCCTACCATCTAATAGAAACTTACCACTTACTGAAGGCTTTTCTTTTAGGCTATAATTTTCACCATTATTTGCAGTATATATGTCAATAAACATTATGTATGACCTGAAACAATTCAGTCATCGACAATACATTTGTCTGTTAGAAGATCAGATATTCCTTTTATTCATTAAAGAAACACACTTTGATAGAAAATATATACGAAACTCAGGCTTTAATACAAATATGCATCAATGAAATACAAAGAATTCATATGAAATGTGATCAAGATTTGACCGGATAGTTGCAAAATAATTGAGCGCTGAGTGAGAAGTAGACATTTATAAAATTATATTTGTAAAATCTCAGCGAAATTGAAATGATTAATTCCAACGTTTCGTTCGGCAATCTGGTCCGAACTTCTTCAGGGAAATTAATCGAATTAACATAACAGAGGTTTATATATAAAAGGAACAACTCATGTTTTTAATTTTTGTCCAATCATGAGTCATGCATCAGTCATCAACATGTATAATAAATAAATAAAATAGTATGTTTATATATATATAAAAGTACATCTCTTTTAAATTGTTTGTCCAGTCATGTGAATCAATAAACAGCTATCAATAGGTATAGTAAAATTGGTTCAATCCACTCTTGAATCAAATAATTATCCTAAAGCTTTCATAAAAAGATATTTAAAATGTGAAGACAAAGATGAATCGAAACCTGATGCTAAGAATTGGGTTAGTACAGCGGTGATTCCTTACCGCAAAGAAACTTCCGACGAAATAAAGCGAATCCTTAACGACCATAATATACGAGTGTATTTTCGTGCATCAAACACCTTACGCTCATTACTGGTTAAGGTTAAGGATAAAATCGAACAAGAAAACCAGCAAAATTGTGTTTACCAGATCAATTGTGGGGATTGTAACGCCGTATATGTAGGAGAAACTTCCAGACAGGTAAATGTAAGGGTGAAAGAGCATAAACAATGTCTAAAGGTGGTTCCAAAGACCTCTGCAGACTTGAAGAAGCTAGAAAACAACTCAGCGATCGCACTGCACTCGATAGAAACGGGACACAAAATCGACTTTGATAAGACTAAGGTTTTACAGAAAGGTTTTGGTTCATATAAAGAAAGACTGACTGCAGAAGCCCTACATATATGGGTGAATCCCAACAGTTTGAACAGACGTGAAGGTGTGATCTTAGCTGATGCATGGCAAATCCTGACTAATAAATAAATTGGATATGTTTTCAACAACTAGTCACACTGGATCAAATTCCCGATTGTCTACGTCCTTTTATGGAGAGAATAACAAATCTATAAAATTATATTATATTTGTAAAAACATCTCAATTATTTTGTAACTTTCCGGTCAAATCTTGATCATAGCTCATATGAGAATAACAAATGTTTTATGACTGTTCACCCACGCACATACACACATGTACACACACACACCATTGATACTGCATAACACATATACACATATATATTTTTAACAAAAGTAGACTAATGTTGAAAGTCTGAGGTCAAATTTTGATCACAGTTCAGATTAAAGATTTTGTTTTGTTTTGTTTTGTTTACTATACCTATTGATAGCTGTTTATTGATTCACATGACTGGACAAACAATTTAAAAGAGATGTACTTTTATATATATATAAACATACTATTTTATTTATTTATTATACATGTTGATGACTGATGCATGACTCATGATTGGACAAAAATTAAAAACATGAGTTGTTCCTTTTATATATAAACCTCTGTTATGTTAATTCGATTAATTTCCCTGAAGAAGTTCGGACCAGATTGCCGAACGAAACGTTGGAATTAATCATTTCAATTTCGCTGAGATTTTACAAATATAATTTTAGAAATACAAAGAAGCTGCTTTTCACTGTTTTAATCTCTTTCATATTACTTTTCTTAATAAAAACATCTTTTGAACAAATAACAGGAGTTGGAGACACAAGTTAATTCAGTTGGATTATTGAAATCTGAACAAAAGATGGTTCAAAACTCATTTGAAGAAAAGTTGAAACAATTAGAAACAACCTATGGTCAAAAGCAGAGAGAAGTTGAGAAATTGTCATTGGATTTAAACCAAGCCAAGGTGATTTACAAGTGTTATTTATCTTATTAGTGTATATTGTTATTTATTTATTCCTTCATGTTCCCAGTGAAACATAGGGCTTCAAGCTAGAGGCTTGAATTTTCTGTAGCAGCGGTTATTATTTTTACAGGATGGGTTTGCTAGCCTTATACTCAACCTTTTCTTCTTACCAATCTTACTACTGGCTTAGCTAGGTAAAAAAGTGCGTCGGTGGCCGGGGATCGAAGTTCGACCACCTGCGTGGGGTCGGCGAGCACTCTACCTCTGTGTCACCGACTCATATCTTATTTGTGTAGTATATATTTTATTGGAACCATGCCGTATTCTACAGGATTTCGATTTTAAATCCTTAAAACAATAATACCAACCATATTCTTGACAATACTTTTATATACACTACAAAATTCTGAGAGAGTGAATGCTGGAAAGTATATTCACCCTTTGCGCAGAATACTTAAGTATTTGATACTGTTAGATATGAAGCATACTTAAATTACTAAAGTTGTTTTCCCTTCATATCCTTCTAAAAAAAATGTATACTGATAGGTCGAAAGTATTTAAGAGTAAAAAAAATTATAACTTCAGTCTGTTATCAAGTAATTAGAACACCAAAAAATGCAGTAAACTTGATGCATTATGTTGCTGTAAACTTCGCCAGTCCCGTGTGTCTTTAGCGGGTACAAATTGCAGCAACAGTGGACACTTCGAACTTGCATATGAAGATAACAAGCACAGAGACACAATTTATATATATATATGAGAACCACAAACTCTACCCCAAAATATCTTTCTCGATGCTATAGTGCTACTGTGTTTCCGGAGAAAGAAGGAGAACAAACATTCAACCGGCAAATGTTTTGTAGAAAACATGAAAGATTTTCGAATGAAATACAGAAAGCAAATAAGTCAGTGATAGAAACTAGAAGCTAGTTTATAATGGATGTTCACGCAAATTGAGGAAAATACGAAGTAGATACAGCATTTGAATAGAGCAAGAATAAAACGATACCATCATTTATTTCGTTGGCTTCTCATCAGTCCAGCTGCTCACAGGGCAAAGTCATTATTAAATATATATACAGAAACAATCTCAACATACTTGCACAGAGTTCAATTATAAACAAAAAATCAATCAATCAGTATATGTATACAGTTGCTGCTAACAATTATGCACCTCATCCAACAGTTGTACAATAATACTGAATGCCAAGTAATCCACAACGGGAAACTCACGGAATCCTTCGAAGAAGTGAAGACGGGAGTAAAGCAAGCTGGCTGGCTGCCTACCATCTCCAATGATTTTGCTAATTGTGGTAGACTATATATTGCGACAGACAGCGGACAACGAGGAGACAGGCATAAAATGGACTCACACAAAAACGAACTTGGAGGATCTGGAATTCACCGATGATATATGTCTGATTGCCCACTAACTGGTAGATATGCAAGTGAAAAGCAACAATTTGGAAGAAGAAGCATCCAGAGAAGATACGATTTCAGGTGAACATAGAGGAAACAGACGTGGATGATGAAGATTCCTCGCCAACAGAAACAGCCACAACAACATCAACAACAACAGACAACAATCAGTATAAATGGGAGAAATCTGAAAGAAGCAGTCTTTTTCACCTACCCACCTCCCTGGGAAGCATCACTCAATACTGCTCAAGATCAGATGGCCGGCCAGAAAAGATTATCAATACTGTGTGTTCCGTGGCAATGAACGAACCAACCAACTCACCAGCACGAAGCGATTGTGCAACAAATATGCGGGAAGAAATGGAGGTGGATTTGATTGTGGTCGTATTCCGAGAAAACCACCAATTGAGTGACATGACGCGCCAGGCCATCGCTCGAGTGAAATCCGAATGGGGAGCGGTGAGTTGGTGATCAGTGGGTAGGTGATAAGGAGGAGGAGGAGGTGATGGTAATTGGAGATGGAAGCATGTGGGCAGATCTGGAGCCAGGTGAAGACATTGGCGGAGAACCAAACGCAACGGAGACGTGTACCTGAAGCTCTTTGACGCTCTGTTTATGAATATATATATAATGTTAAACACAATTCCGAATAATATCAATCATACGTAATGGAAACTTTTAACACTACGTTATCAGATGGAAGAGAGGTGAAAATATCCAATTACCAGACAGGGCAAGGAGAGACATAACTTTTTCTTTCTGAAGGCATAAATTGGATTTCAGGCAAGTGATGAAGATCTTTTTGGCAAACTTGAGATGAATAATTGTATGAGATACAGCATTGTTAGAGACAGATAAAATTGTGTATTAAGATGATAAAAAGCGTAAATACAATCAGGAAATGTTCGCTAAGCAGTAACAAGGGACAGGTTGTATAAAGTTTCTCCCCGAAAACAAGGGAATATAGTACTTTTGTACTTTCTTATATGTAGAATCTGCTACAACAGCTCCTGTCTTTAGTTATCGCTGTATATCTTTTCTTATTATAGCTTGATTCCATACAGTATTCTAGTACAACTATGGAATTTTCAGTATGTGATATCGGCAGGCGAAATTTAGCAAACAGACCACTGATATCATTTGGCTGGAGATCGAACTCCGGCCCATGCGCATGGTTGGCAAGCGTTCTAACCGCTGGGCCACCGGCGCACTATTATTATATTAAACTGGAAGTTATCATAGTAAATTGCTCAATAAGTTAGGGAATGGAAACCTGAAGTGAATGTACTGTTCACAGGTTACTCCGCTAAATTTATTATAGCCAAACTACAGCCTTTTTGTGTGATGCAGTAGGCGCCAGTAACTAGATGCTTTAGAAGAAGACATAAGTTACAGAAAACGTAACCTAATATTCACTATTTCACATAATGAATTGATGTTTAAAATTTTTAAACGTAGTTTCCTGATTTCTTCTAAAATAAAAAAATAACTTGGCTTGTCTGTTAACTATTTTCGTTCACAGGAACAAATCACACTTAATCGCAAATCTTTAGAAGCATTACAAAGTGAACTGGCATCCAGCCGTACAATGCTGATTAAAGCAAGAGAGGAAATTGTCAAACGATCACGTAACGAAGAACAACTAGAAAAATCGATACAGAAGTTTAAAGTGGAACTTGAACAGACAGTTGTACATAAATCAGCTGCAGAGATAGCCAGTAAAACAGCTATAGCTAACGTAAGGAAAAAATGTGGAATTTATTTAGTTTCAGATTGATGTGTTAATTTTGATGATAAGTAAACATGCTTGTAATAAAGCCTGTTAACTCTCTTTGTTGAATTACCTAACTCAAGTGACTAGTTAGTCATAGTCAAGATATAATACTTAGTAACAGAAAAAGAACTCCTGAATGTGTTTAAAGTTGGTTTACCGTGATAAGTGAATTACTGTCACTTTCAGAAGTTTTGAAATGTTACATAAATATATTTTCATTAGTTTAAGACTTCACTACATCAATGTTTTCACTTATGATCTGTGCTTTTTTTTGCACTGCTGAGCTGATATCTTTCGAAGTACTGATAGACTTCTAAACGACATAAAATGTTACATAAGACGCAACATTTCATGCAGCCATATATCCTAGTCTCATAAAAAAGAAGCGAGAGACAAAATTAGGGGGATATTCTAAAAACACTGGAGATTAGCTGACAGTATTCGCCATGTTACTGTTATTTTGGCTGTGTCGATAATCTATTTCATTTCAAGTCGTATGTACCTAATATGCCTACTATAGTGCCGGACACCGTTAGTCCTGAAAACGGTTAAATAGCGACAATTCTGAGTGGTATGGGAGAAGACATATTTCGTTACCAATGTAGAAACACAGATGAATTCCACTTACTCTGAGCGAAATCATTGTCGTCAGAAGTGCTTGCGTAATATAAATGCTTATCCCTCTAAAATCATCCAGTCCTCTGTAACAAGTATCATGACTTATGTGTGCCTCCTTTTTTGAGATATACAGGATGTATGCAAATCTATGTATGCATTATGCAATATCTATGGTCTCCATATTAATTAGCTAAGTTTATGCTAACTGGTTCATGTAGATTCAGGTTGTCATTGGATTTTCTGGTGTTATTCAGTGTTCTAGCATCGTAAGTTCACAAATTCCATCCACGAGAAGTCGATAAGAATAGTAGTAAAGGTAAGGCGTGACTTTTTCTAAAGCAGCTTTCCGTCTCAGTTAATAGCTGAAGGATAAACCTGGTTCACCATTTCACTATTCTTGTTTACCAATACTTTGATATAGTCAAACACATTTTTTCATGCTTTTTTTCTACTGAAATGCTTCGTTCTAAGTTATTATGAATATTAAAACAGAAAAACATCCGTAATTAGAAGTTCATCATGATGACAAGGGATAAGCGCTAATAGCCGGCGAAGTATTCACCAGCCATTCAAATACTGTTAGAAGAAAGAGCAGTAATAGGACCAAGGTAGAATATGGCAAACTATCAGACGATACTTAAAAGCACACCCACCTCGTGATCTGAGGTCGAGAGTTTTAGCCCTGGTGTGGTCATGGATGCGTACTGCTGAATACGTGTGTGTGTGTGTAAGCTTATATCAAACATCTGTCTATTGCTTCCTGGTGTTTAGTGGTTCTCCAGTTGATGTCGTTTCATGATAAAGTCTGACATGAAATTTAAAAACCCCTAAATTGTGCTTTTTTAAGTATGCCGCATACACATGATAACTAATGCGGATTCCTCAGTACATCAAATAGGCATATCGAATTATAGTTAGTCGATTGTATAGTACTACTTGGTTTCTAAAGATTCTGTACCTGATATTAACTCTTAATGTAACGACAAAATATGAGTGAATCCTGAATGAACAAATAAAGTTGAAGTACGAAGTTAGAAATTCTCCACTGGAGTAAAGATAATTCAACTTACATTCTTAGTCCCTTCATTTGATGTATGATGAATAATAGGAATTATTTCTAAATTGTAGTGTCACAGAATTTACTTTCAGTAAAAATTATCTTTTTTGACTTGTAGTCTAAGGAGCTGGAGACTCAATTAGAATCTGTAAAAGCTTCTAACATGTCTGTACAAACACGCTTACATGAACTGGAAAAAGAATTGGATGAGAATAAAATAAAGAAATTACAATTGGAGGAGAGAATAAGCCAGTTGACAGAAAATTTAAAAATCGCTCAAAAACAAGTAGAAGAAAAACAAACGCAAGTAAATGTCTTTTTGTATACCAGTAAAATCATAACTAACAAGGGATAAATTCTCTTCTCTTCCTTTGCTTACATATTGTTAACTGTGGTATTTTTGAAACTATTACATGAAATGTAATTGGAAAGGGAATTACTGTTCACCATAGATTATTATATTATATATTGTTATTGCTTCCTTTAATTCCTAGAGGGACATAGGGCTTAAGCCACACGTCTCCAATACGTTCAGTTCTCCGCCAACGTCTTCACTTGGCTCCACGTCTGCCCACATGCCACCATCTCCTCTTACCATCACCTCCTCCTACTTGTCACCCTCGCAATGACCGCCAACTCGCTGCTTCCCATTCGGGTTCCACTCGAGCGATGCTCTCGTGTGTAATATCACTCAGTTGGTGGTTCTCTCAGAGTACGACCACAATCCAATCCACCTTCTTTTCCCCCTGCATATTTGTTGCACAATCGCTTCGTGCTGCTGTGTTGGTTGGTTCGTTCATTGGCAGAGATCACATCCTGTTGATGATCTGTTCTGACCGGCCATCTGATCTTGAGCACTATTGAGTGATGCTTCCCAGGTAGGTGGGTAGGTGAAAAAGACTGCTTCTTTCAGATTTCATTCATTTATGCTGATTGTTGTCTGTTGTTGATGGTGTTGCTGTGGCTGTTGGCGAGGAATTTTCATCACCCACGTCTGTTTTCTCTATGTTCACCTGAAATCGTATCTTCTCTGGATGTTTCTTCTTCCAAGTTGTTGCTTTTCACTTGCATATCTTCCAGTTAGTGGGTAACCAGACATATATCATCGGTGAATCCCAGATTCTCCAAGATTTTTGTGGGGGTCATTCACAACAGAAGCGTTTGGCATTCTTTTTTTGTTTTGGTAAAATATCTGCACGTGGAAAGCTTATCACTGCGTTGTGTAGTAATACTCACTTTCAGCTTTCTATTACGTGCTTAATACAAATCTGATGGTTAAATCTCAAGTAGCAAAATTTACGAGATTTTGGAAACATCAGTATACCCACTTAAGTTACTAATCATCTTCGCATGAAGCTTTCAATAACACAATCAATCAATTACCAGCCTAAATATTTAAATGGCTACTCGTATATTTTGCTTCGATCACAGATCAGTTGTAATCAGTCATAATCATCAGTTAGCAGTACTGAAGGATTATAAGTGTTGTTTGTTCTCTTTAAGCCTCATTACTTGAATTTAAGTGGATATCAATGGACTGAATATACCAATCTTCATCTTACGTGACTCAATGTTATTTATTTGGCTGTTAAATTAATTTCAGTACACATATGTTGGCGTACGGAATCCTTTTTATGCTGATGCTGCTTCTAGTTTTGCTTACAAGGTAGGACCTGTCATTCAACTAATTTCGTTTAGGCGAACGAAATTGAGGGTGAAGACATTCCTGTAACTTCTTTTAATTATATATATGTAACGCTAAACGCCTCCTTTACTACATTTCCAGCCACTGGTAAAACAACAGTAATCTAGTTCTATATTACATAAGTTTATTTTAAATGTCACACAATGATGCGGTATTAATAATTGAATGACGTCTCGAGTTTAAATCACAATCATATCAATGTATTCACTCGGTTTTTCTCTCTCTTTAACTTTCTCTTGCCACTTTCCATATCTCTGGTATGGGCGTTGCGTCATTCAGATTGCACGTGTGAGGTGTTGAATCGATCAACAAAGATTCTGTGACTAACCTCTCTCTCTGTCCACCTAACTATATTACTTTTTGATGCTCCCATTGTGTCCCACCCAACCCACTTTTTTATAAAATGCCAGTGAATACAGTGCAATGACTGAGGTTTTTTCTGGGTTATTTAACCTACTTAGCAGGGTCAATTATTCTAGGTTTAGCTAAATTTTCATGCTCCGATTATCTAGTTGACCTCGATCTCCTAGTATGACTGACCTTTGTAATTGACCTCACTAACAGTGATTACATGGCATATGGTAAATTATATATTAATTTTCTCAATTGGATCTGTAGCGGTAAATAATTCCCCAAAATTATTAACCACAGCAATTATCACTCAACATTGGATGCTGACCATCACTGTTTAAGTCGACTTGTTTAGCTGAAGGCTTACGGTCAAGCATCCCCGCCATTTGGTGCTTCGTCGTGTCACGTGCGTGCACGATTACTAGCTAGCTAAGCATTCATTCCTACCCGCGATTTGGTCCCAAAATATATATCGTATTTGGACGACAAAATCTGGTCTTTTGCTTTACCATTTGGTACTCGAAGAACGAACACTATAGTGGTTGTTGGTATAAGATCTTGCGTTAGTATAATCCGTACAACTCGCGAACGTTCGATACCAGCCCCCTAAAGATCTATTGGAAGTATCCTTAAGCTGACAAAGTTTATCTCCGATTTGGTTGGTTGATTAGTTTAAATGCCACGCTAACTCCGGCCTCATTGTGAATCCCACATAGGAATTACACTCTACCGCGGTGATCAAGTTCTACACTTACATTAACAGTTATCTAGATCCAGGAATGAGTGACACCAGGTTCATCCTACACTACCCATTTGTGGACAAAAAGCAGACTAATTTTATCAACTAAACATTTTTTGAGGAAACTTCCTAATTCACTTAGTCTCATTATTATTTTATATGAGCACCACAGAATGTGTAAAGAGATATACAATAAGTGTTTCTACGAGTAGTTATTTAGTATAGTTGTCAGTAAACGTGACATTTTCAAGTGTCTACTTAAAAAAGAAATAAAATAACTTAAAATCGTCTTCTCCTTCTCCCACAGTATAATTAGTCACTGACTAGTGGAAAAAGTCATACCTCTTTGGTGTAATAACCCCGTGTCCAGTTAATTAGCAGTACTAGCATCTTCAGCCCCAAACCGTTATGCATCATTGACAGTATGAAGAAGGGTGATAACACAAGACCACCCACGCAACTGGATTGTATAGTGTCTGAACACAGTCTGGTCTCCTATCTTCGGCATTTCTACTTATAATACGGCGTCTTTAGGTACAGTCTGTTTCTTTTAGAAACGTAAATTTTATAAAGCAGTGGCTTTATTGTATTTGAGAATATGAGCTCGTTTTTTCTCAATGAATACATTGAAAGCCTCTGATAAAACAATTGTTTGCATGATTTTACCTCAAGCGATAAAGGACTTTACTAATACTTCGTCAAATATATACGAAATATGTCTTCTCTGGCTGGATTATGAATGCAAATCGATCACCAAATGACAACCAATGAACAGGTCTAGTCTTATTATGTCAATAGAAATCTGTTGGTGGTGTGGGTTGTGGGCAATGAACGTGAAATCTAGATTCAGTGTTTTCTGCCAATCTGCTTTTCTTAACTGTTAATAAATAATTACGGTGGTGTGTGCTACTGGTAAGATTTATCAGTAGTATAGAGGAGAAGTTCATCAGCATAAAATTATCAAATAACAGAGAGGTAGATTTCTCTTCAAAGAGAGCAAATGATTCAGCGTAATAGCAAAACATGAGAGAGACGAAAAGAAGACAAAGAAATACAATACGAAGGACAGAATTAGTGTGGTGGTGTGGTACAAAGAATGTGTGCCAACGGAATATTATTCTCACATGTTCCCACGGCATTAACAACAGAATACGATATATCTATTTGAAAATTCTATTTGACGTTGGAGTCGGAATGTTATTCCCACAGTTCAATACTGCATTGACAAAAGAATACTATGTATATTTGAACATTCTATTTCATATCGTTTGTTGTAAACCGAAATCAAACGCTCAGTGATTGGTTAACGAATATAAACTGTAGATACATAGAAAGCAGTTTGATTAATGGAAAATATACTCTGGCTTCCGTGTCTTGCCTTCTGTTGTTACAGTAGCACAACATGGGAGATCTGTGCAAATAACGATTTGCATATTATTATTATTGTTTCCTTTAATTCTTAGAGGAACATAGGGCTTCAGTTGTGCGTCTCCATTGCGTTCGGTTCTCTGCTAGATTCTTCACCTGGCTCCAAGTCTGCCCACACGCTTTCATCTCCTCTTCACATGACCTCCTCCATGTCACCCTTGCACTGAGGACCAACTCGCCGCTCCCCTTTCGGGTTCCAATCGAGCAATGGCTTGTCTAGTGATGTCACTTGATGGTTTGATTCCTCAGAGTATGACCAATCCATCTCCATTTCTTCCTGCCTATTTGTTTCACAATCGGTTACCGCTGGGTTGGTTCGCTCCCAGAGATCCAACTCTGTTGCTGATCTTTTCTGGCCGGCCATCTGATCTTGAGTATTGAGCGAAGACAACTGTTAATGAAGGTCTGTAGTTTGTTTGAGATCCTCTTTATGACACATTGGCCAAGTCTCTGATCCGTATAGTGAGTAGCACTGACTTCACATTGGAGTTGGAAATCTGAATCTTATTTTTGATGCTGAGCAGTGCTGTTGACCTCCACACAGACTTGAGAGTAGTGAAAGCTTGTCTTGCTTTTCCGATTCTTGCTTTGATATCCTCGTCAGTTGTGTCCGCCTGTAGTTGAAACGATGCTTCCCAGGTAGGTAAAAGAGGTTGTTTCTTTCAGGTTCCTCCCATTTATGAGGATTTGCATATAAGGTGTACATAATTTCGTCATTTAGAGATACAAAATTCTGAATAAACATTCTGTTACCGAATTCCCTATTTTCTGCTGTTACAATATTAACTTATAACCACATTTCAACCGTAATAGACAGATTTCAGTTAACCCATTTAGGACTAGAGACTAAAATAGTAACTGACATCAGGCGGCCACTTTGCATAACTTTGAAATCCCATTCACATTGCGCTAGAAAATGAATCTATGTGTAGAACCATCAGGAATCATATAACCTCAGTAACTAAGTCATTTCAGTGTAGTATCACACACACTCTCCGATTCATTTGGAAAAATAAATTAGTATATTCTGGATTCACATGTTGTCTAGTTAAATAGGTAAAATTTTAAAGTCTCTTCTAGATGAAACTAAAGAGTTAACATTAAGTAGCATTCGGAAAGTCAAAATGAAGTGGTTTATCATTATTACTTCGGCTTCTTTAATGCTTCAACATTAACTCCTAGTAAGTCGATATCTACTTGAAATTAATCCATTTTCGAAAACCCCTGATTTGAATAACAGCGACCATCATCACTAAATCATTTGGATTGCTTTTAATTGGTGTTTTTTTGTAGCAAAGTGATCAAGTTTATTACTTGAAAAGTCAGACAATGATTAAACGTCTTTCTCCGAGTGTATTTTGTTTTTCTTAACCAGTTGAATCATTCAGATTCAGTTGTCAGTCGTATGACAAAAGAATTCAAACGGACACAAATGACAATTGAAGAAAGTGCACAGAAGGTGAATAGCTTATTTGGCCAGTTGAAGGCAACTCAAGAAAAACTAACTCGAACAACTGAAAGCCTAAATGATACTGAGAATAGCAGAAAAAGTTTAATGAAAGAATTGGAAGAATATAGGAGCACTCATCATACACACGACAGTGAAGTAAGCATAATTTTGTTCCTTTACGTTCCCCCCAGTGGAACATATGGCTTCAAGCTAAAGGCTTGAAGTTTCGGTAGCAGGGGTGTTTATTTTTACGGGGTGGGTTTGCTAGCCTCATGTTCAACCTACCATCTTTGCCAGTCATATTACTGGCTTAGCAAGTTCAAGGAGTGCACTAGCCGGGGATCGGACGCCGGATCACCTGCGTGGTCGGCAAGCATTCTACCGCTGTGCCACCAACGCAAACCATTGTTTTAATGCTGAAATGATTTTCAGTGTACACCCAGTGTTGTCTGTTGTGTTGAATATTTTCCTATAGACCTATAACTGTACAGTCTGAAAACGATGTTTACCGGAAATAATTATTCGTCTGAATAGTCCATAGGAACTTTCAAATTATATATGAACAATGTATTTTATTTGCAAGTGTAGTTTTAAACAACAACAGGAAAACAGTCAACTTTCATAAAGAGAAAAAAAGAATGAAGAACTGGACATAAATACTAAATAATATCATTAGAAATTGAATGTTGTGAAATATTACTGATAAAATTTACAACAGTAGTAGACAACTTTTTACCAATGAAAGCATTCATATGAGGGCGTTAATAAACATAACTTTGCGTCCACTCATAAGATACTTACAGGATTCCTCAAATAACGAGAAAAAGCCTTTTTAACCAAATTTATTCCTTAAATATCACTTAACAGTATATCATATGTTGGCTATCATTAGCAATTGTGTTTGAGGTATATTTCTCGAGGTTTTAGTTGGAAACTGGTGTGTGTGTCTTATGTCAGTTAGGCTAACAGTGAAGAAGAAAGACGTAAGTTGATGAACCTTACTCATTATTTTAATTTGGTTTGATTCAACCGAAATTGGATACTAAACTGACAGTCCAGAGAAAACACTTGGCTATCCCGAGTTTTGTTGTCTTGTCTAAGGGCATGAACTGAGGTAGTGCTCCAAATTGTCAACAGTTCACTTAGGCACTGTGTATTCAGTTAAAGGAGTCTCAATTTCAAACACCACTTCTATCTACTTTGGACTAGACTCTCACACATAATTCTGACTCATTGCAAGGGTACTTAAAAGATCGATTCAGGGTCATTGAGTTGACAGGCAGCAACATTTGACCAAGCCATAGTATGTGAAAATTGATTTTAGGTACGTTCTACTGTTAAATAGTCCCAAGTTAGAGAACTCTTCTTTTGTATCGTGAAAAAGACAAGCTTTTCTCAGTCTTAATTAGATAATTCCATAGCAGAAAACGTAAGTAATAATTGAATACAGACCACTAAAATTAAAATTGTAGAATAAATTCAAAAAAAGTTTAGGAACTTACCCCCTCAAAAGACGACGTTTCATTTGGAATTCACTTGATCTCTGTGGTGAATGAACTTTATTTAACAGATCAACAGATCGGCCACTTTTTATTCGTTTCACATTTTCTGTAAACAGTTACCATTCAAAGTTATCTGTATCTGGCATTATCTCAAAATAACGGTAGATACTTCAATTCTAAGTATCATTTTAATCGCCTTATCCCAAGGAATAACAAAATGCTTTTTTTTCTACAAAGGTTCAGTCCATGGAGATTCAAATCAATTATCTACTAAGTGAACTTGGGCAGATGAACGAACGTCTAACAACGAACCAGAAAGATTGGACTAATTCTCAATCAGAAATTGAGGCTTTAAAGGCAAGTTCATGTTTAAACTTATTAAACTTGTGGTGTCTGGTAGTTTCTTTCATGCTTCAGAAACTACTGAACTTACGAACTTGTGAAAAGTGAGATTGTGACCCAATTAATCACTGCCTAGAAACAAACTAAATTTCATGCAAATATTTTGATTAAGTTAGAATAACTTTAGGCTATTTAGAAGTAGGATAAAATTCAACCTAACATTTTAAACAGTCCAAGACTCAGTGTAAACACAGAGTAGGGTGGCATTCCATTTCTGATTAACTTCAATTGAAGCAATTAGTCCCCTTGATGAATTTCGACGAAAAAAGTGAGAAGACGTAATTTCTTCTGAAGTGTGTAATTCGCGGAACAAACTTTGGATGTTCTTATCACACACGAACTTGTCAAATATGCCTACATAAAAAGGTGACGGAGTGGAGTAACTGACCAAACTTTTATCAGCACTGGTTAAAATGCTTAAGGGTCATGATCACAGATGACAGGTTAGGAAATGCGGTAAGGAAAAAACAAGGAGTCGAATTCGCGGACTGCAAATTGCCTAGAAAGCCTCATAATTCTATGCTGAAAACAAATAAGAACAGTTTCACGGTGTGTATTCACTTGTTACGAATACATGACATGAATATTTTAAGCTAATGCACTACAGTATTGTAAAGTTAACCGATAAGTATTCACATTCGTCTTTTCCACAGAGTGCCTGCTATAATATAAACTTTATCGACACTATAGAGACCATGAAAACAATATTTAGAACTTCGATATTATTTTGTGATCCTGTTACAGAGGCATTTCTGACTTTAATAGTGTTGTATAGCACACAAAATCACGTGCAACCGAGTAGATTGCAAATAGGTTCCAGGTTATTATAAAGTGCGAAATGAATACATAGTACGTGGTTTATTTGAGGAAATGTTTTACACTGACTGGCTATATCACATGACGTGTTAAAATGAAGTGGTATTTTGCGGAAACCATAAAGTGTGTGGAACACTTTCGTTTTCTGTTTAGCCATTTCTAACATTTTGTTTTTTCAGTGTTTAACTACAAAGTGCTCGTCTGATTAGCAATTTATAACGACTAGAGATTTCTTCACCATCTTAATAATCACGCGTCGGTGGCACAGTAGTTAGGACTCACGCCGACCATGCACATGGTCCGGGGTTCGATCCCCTGCTGACGCACACCCGATATCTATGGTCGGCCTGCAAAATTTGGGCTACCGATATCCATGCTGAAAATGCCATACTTGTACTGAGAATACGGCGTGGCATCAAGCTGTAATCAAAATTAAAAAAATTAAAGAAAAACTTGGTTTGTATGCAATGAATAAAACTGTGTGAATAACAACAGTGCATAAAATCAGCTTAACGAAAGGTCTGGTATATCTGTAACGATAGAAGACAAGAGCCAGGCAACAGATGGTTTATTGAGAAAATCAACAGATATTTATAAATTTTTATGTACCTTATCATTCGTTATTGTTAGCAGAGAAGCAGCGTCTTTGATTGGTTGTTTTCCTGCTGATGATTATTCTGTCATCTCGTTGTCGCCGTTTCGTAGACAGTCCCGTGATATATATGCGAATCGTATCCACCCAAGCTGAGTCTGCTGTGATTAGTTGTTGAGTTACTCAAGGTTAGGCTTTGTTCTTGTTTTCTCTCCTGACCCCAATTCGGGAGGTAAATATTGACGTAATTGTACTGCGTACAATTTTGGCTTGCAGACAGCTCTCACCACATATCTACATCAGTCGATTGAGATTGTCACTTCGGATTTCGTTTAGAAGAAATCTACGTGGGGCAACAATGACTATCGATAAAATGAGTGTTCTCTTGCATTTTTATTTGAGAACAAGCATAAATGTTGTAAAAACGGATCAGCATTCAATTCTGTGGTTATCGAAATTCGCCTAAATCAAATTGGTTTATACTAGGCAGAAAATGGGACAGAATTTGTAACTTTAGAATTGCATATGACATTTTTAGAATAAGTCATAATTATTAAAGTTACTACACTACTTCTTTTTTTTCTTCTAAGAAATCTAAAGCGATAATCGCAATCGTTTGGTTAAACGTAAACGTTTGAGTTAAGCGTAAAGTTAAAAATACAGGATTTGTCTAAAACATGGTACTATATGTGCATATAGGTATAATAAGTAAAAATATACACACCTTAATTTGTGTGGTATCCAAGCTGTATATGCTAGGGAGTACTAAACATATGTTTCATCCTAGTTCGGGATTCATCGGCCGGGTTTTGAACCCAGGACACCCGGGTTATAAGGAAAGCCCATAGATCATACAGACACTGAGGCCGGTCCAATGGCCAGCCCATGGATTCTAACTTCTATCAATTCGTGATTTTAGCGTGACCACTGGCCAATGTCATTGGTGAGTATTTTTCCTAACTTCCGATAGAGTAGATCTCACTGGTCACTGCTTTCCACAAATACTCCCTGGTTTTCAGTGGTTCTCAAACTGATATCAATCCAACTCGAAACAAATCAAATCCTTAGCAACAAACTTATGAAAAAACTGACAAAGTTGTATCAAACCTGATCTACAGTTGGAAATAAATCCAGAATAAAAAGATTCTAATAAGCAATTTCCTGACCATGAAGTAATTTGGAAACTACTCAAGTACTACGGAGTACCCCAAATATTCATCAACCTTATCCAACAGCTGTACGACAATGGCACATGTCAAGTCATCCACAACGTAAACCTCAGCGAGGCGTTTGGAGTAAACACAGGAGTCAGACAAGGGTGCTTATTATCACCAATGATATTCCTAATTGTGGTGGACTGGATTATGCATCAGACAGTGGGAAACGAGAAGACAGGGATATCCTGGACCACCGACGTGAAGAACCTAGAAGACCTGGATTTCGCGCGTGGATGATTTATGTTTGATGTCACACAAAATCGAAGACTTACAAGCGAAAACCGACAAACTGTTCGCAGAAGCAGCAAAGACAGGACTCCAGGTGAACATAGACAAGACGGAGGTTATGAAAATAACCAACCAACCAGCAACAACAACAACAACAGCAACATCCAGTGCCAATCACCATCAACGGGAGGGATTTGGAAGAGGTTAATTCATTCACTTATCTAGTAGGGAACATTGTCTCAACTACAGGAGGAACGGACGAGGATGTCAAATCATCAACCTGAAACCAATCTGGAAATCTTCTTCACTCACTCAGCATCAACAACAAAATTCGGATTTTCAATACAAACGTCAAGTCAGTCAGTTCTTCTATACGGATCAGAAACTTGGCGGGTCACAAAGAATATTTCCAACAGCCTGTTGCAGACCTTTATCAACAACTGTCTTCGCTCCATACTGAAGATCAGATGGCCGGAAAGAACAATAACCAACAAGAAACTATGGGAACAAACGAAACAAGAACCAATCGCCCAACAAATATGCAGGAGAAAGTGGAGATGGATTGGACACTCGCTGAGGAGGCCACTGGGTGACATTGCGCGTCAGGCCATTGCTCGAGTGGAACCCGAAAGGGAAGCGGCGAGTGGGACGTCCATGGGTGACATGGAGAAGATCGTGTGAAGAGGAATTGAAACAGTATGGACTAACATGGATGCAAGTGAAAAGTACAGCAGAAGACAGAAGCAAGTGGAGACGTGCAGTTGAAGCCCTATGTTCCACTAGGAACCCAAGGGAACAATAATAATTATTTATTTTGTTACTTATAACAAGTATATGTTAAATCAGCTGACTAGTTCATAAGAGATTATTTCTTGTGTGAGATTCCCTCTTGTAGGCAGAAATTTCTTTTCATGGTTGTTGTACGTTAAATGACTGTGTTATGTGTTGAGAATGAAAGTGAAGCAGGCACTTCTCTGCATAATAATAAAGCTAAACATCACAAACGTCTGTCAGCATGAAATATGAGTGTAAACTACTTATTCTATTTTAAATCTGTTTCAAGTAAAACAGTTTATCCAAACAAATTTGCTTACATGATTATTATTTATTATTATTATTGTTCCCTTGGGTTCCTAGTGGAACATAGGGCTTCAACTGCACGCCTCCACTTGCTTCTGTCTCCTGCTGTACTTTTCACCTGCATCCATGTTATTCCATACTGTTTCAACTCCTCTTCACACGATCTCCTCCATGTCACCCTTGGATGTCCCACTCGCCGCTTCCCTTTCGGATTCCACTCGAGCACTGGCCTGACGCGCGATGTCACCCAGTGGCCTCCTCAGTGAGTGTCCAATCCATCTCCACTTTCTCCTGCATATTTCTTGGGCGATTGGTTCTTGTTTTGTTTGTTCCCATAGTTTCTTGTTGGTTCTTGTTCTTTCCGGCCATCTGATCTTCAGTATGGAGCGAAGACAGTTGTTGATAAAGGTCTGCAACAGGCTGTCGGAAATATTCTTTGTGACCCACTGGCCAAGTTTCTGATCCGTATAGAAGATGACTGACTGACTTGACGTTTGTATTGAAAATCTGAAGTCCCGAATTTCTGTAGCAGTTTGGTTAAGTTTCCGGGGTGGAGCTGCTAGCACCACGCTCCAATCCTCCCTCTTTATCCGGGCTTGGGACCGGCTAGAAAACTAGTGAGCTAGTAATCTAGGCGAGGATTGCTTACATGATACTAGTCACAAACTTGACTGTTAAATCCTTTACGAAACAAACAGTTGCAATTGGATTCTTATTTTGACTGAAACTGTTGTTAGCACTTTTTTAAACTAACAAGCAATGTCGCGTTTATCTCAACTACTGTTTTGTATGCAGTGCTAAGGAAAAACATATTCCCCAGAACTAGTTACCCGTTTGTTTGTTTCTTTCTGCACGTCCACATCTATTTCAAAGAAGGCAGGGAGAACCTTTATTCAAGCATGTGTTCCTTGCTATACAGTGACTGCCTTTGAATCCATATACGTGTCAGAACTAATAAGATCATGTAGTTTGAGTCAGTCAGTAGTGAAATTCACCTCCATATACAGTTTCAAAATGTGTACCAAAACTAGCTACCACTGAACATTTCACTTTGTAAGCTATAGTTTCTCTCTTCAACAGTGATTTAATTCGTGTTTTTAATAACACATTATTTTGTTTTAGAAACAAGCAACTGAATCATCGCTTGAAGTGAAACAGTTAAACACACTTCTGCATGAAAAACAAATGAAATTGGAGCATACAGAAAGACGATTAACTGAAATGGAAAATCACTTGAATTCAGCTGAGCAATACACCCAGTCATTGAGTTCAGCTAACGAAGATTTAATGAATGAATTGAAAAATCGTACTAATGAATTGGAAAAGCTACAGAAGGAAATCAAGCAAAATATGACAGGAATTCAAAATTCGGAACTTATGGTAAACAAATAAAATAGTGACTTTGATTCTTTCTTTTTGTCTTTCTTATTTTTTCTCTTACTTTGTTTACTGTATATCACGTTTCGTCTAACTGTATTATGGCTTTCAATACATCCTGTGCACAAAGTTCAACATATAGTTGTTAGGTGGTCCAGGGTTCGATCCCACGCCGACGCACTTCTCGCTTAGGCGGTAATAAGACTGTGAAATGTTCGTCAATGAGAATACCAGCCTCATTCTGTAAAAGTGAACACCACTGCTACCGAAACTTCATAGTTGAAGCTTGAAGTCCATTAGGGATAAAAATTTATTTTAATAAAATCACACAGTGTTGTACAGTAATATTTACTGATGACCACGTTTCGAGCACAAACTATTGCCACTCATAATCATATCATGGCCTACTCACACAACTTTCTTCCTTCATTTATATACATGAGTAAAAACTGATGATCAGACATTTGAATAAAATCAATATAAGATAAAGTACATTCAGAAATAATATTAGTGTTATCAATCAAATACAATCAGATGGGAAATAAGATGCTTTTTATAGTCAAAATAAGTAACTTGTTAGAATGTTATGATGTACGTGAGTTGAAATAGGATTTTAAGATGATTTATTATCCTCTTCTGATTTGACTGGTGGTAATAATATCTTGCATATCTCTGGTGTTTGCGTTGAGTCATTTCTGTTGCATGTGTTGGTTGTAGACTCAATGAATCAGGATTCAGTAATCAATCAATCTCTCTCTACACACATTTATATTACTTCTTAGAATTTTGACTTTGTCCCACCCACTCTAATGTCTGGTTGTGTGTTAATGCATGCCGTGCAATTGTTGAGTGCTTTTTTTCTAAATTATTTATCTTCGTGGGGTGAATCATTCTAATCTTAACTAAATTCTTATGTTCTGATAATATGACTACTCCTGATCTACTAGTTTGACTGACCAGTGTAGTTGACTTAACTCACAGTCATTGCAAGGTATTTTGCGAATTATATTATTTTGTTTAATTGGGTCCACCGACATGGTCATTTAGCCAACAGAGGTTGCCCTACCTGAGTGAGTTTGTAGGTTTGAATGCCACCCTAATTCCTGCTTTGTTGAGAATCCTACGTAGGGAGGGTCTCAGATGTTTCTTGAAGCCCCATGTTCCACTGGGAACGTGAAGGAATGAAATAATAAATAAGTGCTAAGTGAATATTAGCTAAGTCATTAGTATGTAAACATATTGTGTGAAATATATTTGTGATGGATCTCAGTGATGTTTGATCCTAAAATTAAGCATATTCAAAGCAAAATGATCATCATGACAAATACACTTTAAATGATATATTACTCGAAGATATAAAGTTAAACATGAATTCACAATACAAAAACAGAAGAAAGTGGAGAGCACAGGCGATAGAGAAATAATGCGCGTAGATATTCGCCTCGAACTTCCTGTTTCGCAAATAAGCCACTACAATTCTTTTCCATGTGTTTTTGTGTTTAATATTCGGTGAATTATGTACATGAAATCCAGCCCGAAAGTATAAGTGTGACGCTTTTAAATTTTGAAATCATTACATCAGACTTATCTGCATAGAACAGATAATGAAAGAAGGATTGTGAATGACGTCATAGTATCAACATCAGAGCTAATATATTAATGCGACTACCAAGAACAGATTAATTACATACAGACAGAACACAAGATATAGATAGATTTTTCGAACACATCAACTCGAAGGTTGAAGCAATTCAATTCACTTATGAAGGTCAGGAAGGGGAGCTTCCAATGTTAGATTGCAAAGTAAAAAGGAAAAAAGATGGGAAGTTAAACACCAGTGTTTACAGGAAACCCACACATTCAAACAGATATTTGGACTTCAAATCATCCCATCCTATGTCAGTAAAAGTAGGATTGGTGAAATGTTTAAATGACAGAGCACAAAATCTAAGTAGTACCAAGGAAAATCTAAAACATGAAGTGATACACATAAAAGAAGCCTTGAAACTTAATAATTACCCGGATAAATTAGTCAGGAAATATGTAAGGAAATGTAAAAATAAAATAAATAATGATAGTAGCGATAGCGATAATAACAATAATAATATTAATGACGACACCAATAATAAGGAATCTAAATCATCAGTAGTAATTCCATACAAAGAAGGAACCTCGGAAGTCTTACGCAGAATTCTCAACAAGGCAGGAACAAAAATGGCGTTCAGATCCACAAACTCAATTAGAAAGAAGCTTTGTCAGTTAAACGATCAATCCTGTAAAGCCAATTAAACAAAACAATTTAATTTATCTAATTGCCTGCTGGAATCACCGTCAGGTCAAATACATAGGTCAAACTAGTAGAACAGGGGCAGTCACACTAGCTGAACATAGAAACTTAGCAAAATCTAGATTAGTTGATCCAAATAAGATACGAAATCTGGAGAATAGTTCAGCTGTCTATTGCACTACATGCAAATGCACACAACCATACAATAGGATGGATGGGATAAGATGACAGTTTTGAAATCTAATGTAACATGGTATAGGGAGAGATTGATAACAGAAGCTTTGTTGATTGAATCAACTGCAAATACATGTAATAGGAATGATTCATCACCCCAATGACAACAAATAGGAGAGAACAGAGAAAACTATAAAACTCAAGTCTCAAAGTCGTGTGATTACAGATGATATGATTATGAACAATAAATTGTGTTCGAAAGCTTGTCATCCAGTAAATAATACTGTTTCACTGTGCAATATATCTCATTCACCGATTTTTCCTCTGCAAGTGAACGTAGCCACATACTGGTATGTGAAGAAGGTTGTCACTGTGTACACCTCACGTAGTGAAAATGACTGGCTCCACAGGAGCAAGTGAATTTATAACTGCACACTGAAGTCGCCCAAAGCGGCAGTTTGTCCTTGGTCATTTGTCGACTGTAGAAACTGATCTGTAGCTCAGTCGAAAAGTGGTGACAGTTAATTGTAATAGTGTGAATGGCATTTCATAAGAATTAGGTATCATAAACAAAGTTAGTATGGGAAAATTGGTGTAGTTCAAAACACAAAGAAAGATGTTTATAAGATAAGAAATACATGAAAATAGCTGATATCAATCAAACCGTCATAGATAATAAAATTAAACATATTAACGGTATTTAATTGAATTTTAGATTTTCCCGTCGATTGTTTCGACAGAAGTGCTTGGCTTCAGGTTGACATGGCGGCTTCTTGTGCAGATGCTCCGACGGTGTCTGGGCATGTAATTCGAAGTTAATCGCTCCAATCAGTCGACGGGAAAATCTAAAATTGAATTAATTAATTAATATGACCCGTTGCACAAAAGGTGGCTCTCTTGTGGTCCAGGTGGTCTAGTAGATAACGATTTGGCGTTTGAAACTATGGGCACTGGGTTCGAGCCTCGGTGAGAACATCATTCAATGCGGAATGCAGGTAAATCCAGTGACGAATCCCAGATAGGACGAAATGAGCATTCTGGATTCCACTGCTAGTCACCATCAACAAATTAACTTCCAAATTAACGGTACTTATAAATAATAAGTAGTATAAAATCATTAAGTAAAATTCTGAGGGGCAGAAATGCAATCGGTGACAAATGAATCTTGCTAATATTAATTATTGCAATCAAGATACTACTGACATTCTCTCAGAATTTTTCTAAGGTGAGTTTCTAACCGACGGTGTCCAAGTTGTCTGAGCACCTGTTGTTTTCTTACTCAAGTCATCAGATTTACAGACTACCATTAACAATTAGAAGCTACTTATGCTCTGTTTGTCCTCATTTTAAGTGTAAAATACCTAACACCTAGTAGTAGTAACAAAACACATTCTAACACTAATGTGATAAAAACTTATCGTATCCTTGATTACCATTCCAAAGCGTTCAACAGAATTGCAGGACAACTCCTGTTCTTCTTCATACATGTGTAAAACTTGGGCACTGTGGTAGTAAGAAATTCCATATTAGCTCGTTTATTAGATTTATCACACAGTGAGTGAAACAGTATTATTTACTCGATGACGAAGTTTACAATACAATTTATTTACTGTTCATAATCATATCATATCGCCAATTATAATCACATGACTTCGAAACTCGACTTTCATAGTTTTCTCTGATCTCTCCTATGTGTCGTCGTTGTGATAGTAGAATTTTGCAGATGCCCGCCTGGACACGTGTTGAATCATTCGTATTACACGTATTCTCTCTCAGTTGATTCGATAAAAAAAGCTTCTGTTATGAATCCCGATTTCTCCACCCTGTGACAATAGATTGCGAAACTGTCATCTTATCTCATCCTCCAATTGTGTCGTTGTGTGCATGTAGTTGCATGTAGTGCTATGGCCAGCTGAACTACTCTCTAGATTTCTTATCTCAATCGGATCAACTAATCTAGATTTTGTTCGGCTTTCATGCTCGGCTAGTCTGACTGCACCTGTTCTACTACTTTAACCTATATGCTTTTACCTGACAATGATTCCAGCAGGATATTAGATAAACTAAATTGTTTTGTTTAATTGGCTCCACAGGATTGATACTTTAACCGACAAAGCTTGTTTCTAATTGAGTTTGTGGTTGGTTTGAATGCCAGCCACTTTTATTCTTGGTTGCCTTGTTAAGAATTCTCCTTAGGGTTTCCGAGGTTCTTTCTTTGTATGGAAGTACTAGTGATGATTTAGATTCCCTAATGTTGGTGTTGTCATTATCTTGCTCATGTTTGCCATGCATAGGGAATATCATTCCGAAGCGTTCAACAGAATTCCAGAACAACTCCTGTTCATCTTGTTTTAAATACTGTCGAACCACTATTCACTAGATTGTAAAATACTGGATGAGTAGAAGATCGAATATGAAGTATGTATGGGCACAGTATTCAGGTAAACAAATTAACCACTTGTTGTTTGGCAGCAGTGAAACTAATACTCATTCACAACGTCACCGCTTTATATAAATATGAATGTGAGAGAGAACATGTTACCGAACCCTTAAAGAGGAATATATATATATATATATATATATATACATTAATTCAAGAGCAAGGATTCCACTTTGATAAATGACTCTAATTCACATGTCCACCTCTATTGATTTCTTCTGAGTGTAAAGAACTCGATTATGATTCTGCCTCAATATTTATGAATAATTTCTTGGTTGTTTTTAAAAAATTTTTCTTTATTAACAGATACAAGAATTAGAATTCAGTGTCCAGCAATTGACAAAACAGCTAGAACATTCAGAGAATTTGCGTGTTGAAGCCGAAAAAGCGAGTAATCATGCTGCTAGTGAATCAGCTGCTGTTAAAATTGAATTAGCTAAAAAAGATGAACAAATAGTCAGCTTACAGAATACTTCAGAAACTATAACTCAGAAGTTAAAATCTCTCGAACAGACATCTAATCAAACTGAACAAATTATAAATAAATACATCAACTCAGTAAGTATGCTCCCATGCTGTTTGTTTTTTGTTTTGTTTAGCTCAGTCGTACCATCTTTGTCTGTGTCTTCCAGATTGTACCGTTTTCAGGGAAACGGTACGAAGAAGAATTAACACAGCCGCTCACCCATGCACGATTACTACACTTATGAATCTTTGTTGCACAATTTATAATAATTTATAATCCAGATGGCCAGAAAAGATCAGCAACAGAGTTGGATCTCTGGGAGCGAACCAACCAGGAACCAGTTGTGAAACAAATAGGCAGGAAGAAATGGAGACGGATTGGCTGGCCATACTTTGAGGAAACCATCAAGTGACATCACTAGACAAGCCATTGCTCGAGTGGAACCCGAAAGGGAAGTGGCGAGTTGGTCGTCAGTGCAAGGGTGGGTGACTTGGAGGAGATCATGTGAAGAGGAGATGAAAACGTGTGGGCAGACTTGGAGCCAGGTGAAGACTCTAGCAGAGAACCAAACGCAATGGAGACGCACGACTGAAGCCCAATGTTCCTCTAGGAATTAAAGGAAATAATAATATAATTTATAATCAATTTAAAAACAGAAATGTCCCTCATGGTATCAATATTCGCTTTTAATTTGCTGGAGGGAGAGAATTGAAATACAAGCATTGATTCAGTGTGACCTTGCACACATCAGACGATTCGATTAAACAGTAATATGAATAAAGCAAGAACAACAGTGGTTTTCGCAGAGTAATATGGTGGTAGCATCATTTACTTCGTTGGCATCTCATCAGCAGCTTACAGCTTCGACATATTATTATTAAGTTTATTTACAGAAACGTTTTAACACACTTGCGAATTTCACACGATTTCAGTTGACAGGAGGTTCTGGACTTAGTTAACAGTGCTCAGAAAATTACGCTTATATAGTTTTACACAGGGAGTTCACGTTTAAACAAAGTAACTGCATGCATACAATGGTGAAGGAGTTGTGCATTAAGGGCGAGAGGTATGTAAGGTGATGAGTAACTAATAAATTGGGTGACAGTGTACTGAGTTCAGCTCAAATCATAGAAACAAGAGACAAGCAAAATTACATAGAGGTTCAGCCAGAAAAACTGAAAATGTGGCTTATCAACTAAAAGTGTAGTTATATTTTATATTGTGTGAGATATGATGTGTTATGATATGTAGTCATCGCAAGTTATAGTTTCAGCTTTCAGGAGTGATTAACTGAAGTAAACCTTAATTTTAATCACTGCATAGATGTAAAACTGTCTGTCAGTACTCCTTGAAACTCTCTAAACAGTCCTATTCTTCGTTTTTTTTTTCAAAAAATCGCCTGTACACATTGAACACCTGCCATCTCAAATAAAAGTGGATTGTTGCAGGTTGCTTATCTACTCAGTAAAATTACTTTCTGATACAAACAAATGAAACAAGTTATGACTAGCAGTATTGCTCCACGTAACACTATCCCATCAAACCTACCTCTAAATAGAAATATAATACTGTATTCTTGACAGATTTTTCAAGATGAGAGGTTGTCTTTGCTAAAAAATGCGTGACTTTTAATAGGCTTTCGTATGGAATTTATACAGGAGTGGACTACACTGACTCCAAGATTAGAAATAGGGAGGGAAGTTGTAGAGCACGTTGACCACTTCACTTATTTGGGAAGTTGCATCAAAGAGCGTCAACGGGTTGATTGCTGGCGAAATCTGAGCACGGATAGAGAAGGCTGGTTTCGCATATTGATATAAGTATAAAACTTGGGCACTGTGGTAGAGCATAACTCCATTATGGATAAGATTTTATTTTGATAAATCACACAGTTGCTATCATATCAACGTGATATGATTATGAGCAATAGTTTATGCTGAAAACGTCATCAGTTAATATTACTGTACAACACTATGTGATTTATCAAAAATAAAATCTTATCCATAATGGTTTCGCATATGCCAGTTGACGCCGCCTCTGGCTTAGTAGACGTGATATCCGACTGGCTGGCTGTCGACCAAGCGACGTGTGTACTGCTCAGCAGCAGTTCGCTCTGTTCTCCTTTATACCTGTCTGTGAGTGACTCATAGCCACTGAGAGTGGAAGACACGAAAAGCCTAGCTAGCTGTCTTCGATCATAGGTGTCTGAGTTCTATCTCCCGTGTTAGATGGTAGTGGTAATAGGATGAGTAATATTGAGGTTAGACATCAGTCGAGTGCTGAGTAAGGAGGGGGAATCAACAACAAACGAGGTTGTCAAGTTACATCGATTGAGATGGTTAGGACACGTGTTACACATGCATTCCCAGCCATCCATTGCCTTCCTCGACTACGGGCAATGTTAGCTGATATAGGACATATGAGGTTGGTAAAGAGCTAGCACATGGTGGTCAAGACAAAACATGGCTCCGTCAGTCGGTGAAATCCACAACAGTTAGTTTAAGTCACTCACGTCGGTAGGTGTAGGCTGTCTAACTTGCTGGTTGGGGTCCTCGCGATGTTAAAAGGCATTGGCTGGAAACAGTTAGTGATGCGGCTCAAGTCGTGTTCAATGGCTGGCGCCGATGCATCGAATCCTTGTGAATTGTAATATCCAATAAAACTATATTGTTCTTCAATATTACTATTCTTTTTGCCTCATATCTCTGTTTGTTGTCTCCATTTTGCATTTCTGTTTACTTTCTTCTCTTGCTTTGTGTGCTGAGTGAAGTGTGGCGACTCGAACTGGTTCACATCGATACAAAGTTCAACTTTGAAACCAGTCAGTCAGTGGAATTCATACATCCGCTTGTACTTTGAATAATAGATATATATTTTTTTTCCTTCACGTTCCTCAGTGGAACATAGGGCTTCAAGTTAGTGGCTTGAAGTTTCTGTAGCAGTGTTTATTTTACAGGATGGGGTTGCTAGCCTCATGCCCAACCTTTCCTCTTCACCAGCATTATATGTGGCTTAGCGAGGTAAAGGAGTGCGTCGGCCGGGGTTCGAACCCCGGACGATATGCATGGTTGGCGAGCGTCCTAACCACTGTGCCACCGACGCACATTAAATATATTCTTCCAGTTTATTCTGTGGTATAAAGTGTCTCAATGTTGTTTGTTTTTTAACTTGATTGTTTGATCTGTTTCTTTTTTCTTGCACTTCTCAAGGAAATTGAAAAAGATAACATGATTCAACGACTTCAAACAGAAATGGATCATATTCGTCATCAGTTAACTGAAAATGAAACAGAACTACAGGATAAAAATTCATCAATTAAATCACTTACTAGTGAACTGGAAGCTGCGAAGTCACAGTTATCAGAATTAATCCTACATAGGAATTCAGAAAACCTGGCGCGTAAACGTACTGAAGTAAGTCGGAGAAGTTAGATTTATCTTTATTGGAAACGGTGAAATTAATAATCCCAGTATGACAATTGGGGTGTTTAAAAGAGTTCAAACACACACACACACACTGTAGCACTACTCCTGTGTTGAAGAAAATGAAGGAAAAGTACCTTCCAACCGTCTTCAAAAGAACGGATATCCTCACAGTTCCATCGAAAAGTGTTTAAAATTGAGTCGAAACACCAACAACAAGAAACCATCATCAAAGACTACAAGAAAATTCATTTTACCATAAATGTAAAAAGTATCTCTGAAAAATCAGCTAGAATATTAAGACTGTTTGAAATAGATATAGCACACAAGCCAGCCAGTGCAATCGCTTCATTCGATGTTGTGCAAACCGAAGGATCCAACAGAAAAAGAAACTAAAATTTGTACCAATTTCAAAATAAATTGTACGAACTGTAACAGACATTACACCGGTCAAAGTGGGCGTCCCTTTCGTATCAGAATGCAAGAACACAAATTAGCTGTGAAAAGACATGATATACATTCTTTAATATCAATGCATGTAGATCTGTTTCAAACAGTCTTAATATTCTAGCTGATATTGGAACCAATCGCCCAACAAATATGCAGGAGGAAGTGGAGATGGATTGGACACTGGCTGAGGAGGCCGTTGAGTGACATCGCGCGTCAAGCCCTCGAGTGGAACCCGAAAGGGAAGCGGCGAGTGGGACGTCAGTGCAAGGGTGACATGGAGGCGATCGTGTGAGGAGGAGATGAAACAGTATGGAATAACATGGACGCAAGTGAAAAGAACAGCAGAAGACAGAAGCAAGTGGAGACGTGTAGTTGAAGCCCTATGTTCCACTAGGAACCCAAGGGAACAATAATAATAATACATGTAGATAATTATGGAAATCAGTTTGATCGGGATAATGTCGAAATTTTGAACAGAGGAAGCACCAAAAGTGATAGAGAATTCCTAGAATCCTGGTACTCAAGCGAATTTGCGATTAACAAACATATTAATATAGAACAAATTTAGCTACTGATCAAAAGTAAATCACCTGACGAGAAAGTTCAAAATCCAAATCAATAGAAGATGGTATAAGTATAAAACTTGGGCACTGTGGTAGAGTATAACTCCATAATGGTTAAGATTTTATTTTGATAAATCACACAGTGTTGTACAGTTATATTAACTGAAGATGACCAATATAAATGAAGATGACCAATATAGATGTAAATCGACTACCAGTCACGAAGACGGTTGCCAGGAGACACAATTCTATCATTCATGAAGAATTCAAATGAGTTCATTTCATACTAAAACTCGTACTGAAGATGTTGTCCAGAAGGATGACGAAAACTTCACAATTAAACCAAGCAGCTCAGAGAACACACCTAATTTCAAATCACCCATCCACCTGCTCTACAAATCTTCTCTATTATTTCAAAAACTGTTCGTCTATTTAGATCTAATTTCTCATCAGCATACAATTAGGATACCTAGTCCACTTTTTAAAGTAGAAGTATTTGCTTTAAATTCACTTATGCATTAAAAGATACGCTACAGAGGAAATTTAGGTTAGGGTGTGACCCTCATTATATAATGTATATAAACGAATGGTAGGACAACCATGAAACCGACATCAGCTACCGAAATCAGACTATATCATATCTGAATGAAAAAATACCCTTATAAGTTCTATTAACTTGACACAGTCATATTGTTATGTTTGAAAAAAAGTGGTATTTTAGAACAAAACCATTTTCTTTTTGGTGTTTTGCCTATTATCGAACTGTAGAATTTGACTAACATTTGTTTCGGGTGACTATCGGTTGACTGAAGTTCTGAAACTGAAAAGTTTTGTTCTCATTGATGTATTTCATAGAGTACACAATGAAAATTGTCGGTAATTAAATAAGGAAGTGTGCAAAATTATCCAGGTTGTCATGATTGCTTCCATAATAACAGAAGTACTCTGAACTAGAGCTGTAAAGTCTTTATAGCTGACATACCAAAATATGGTGTAAGTCTATTAGGTCAGTGATGATTTCTTCGACTGAAGCTAGCAACTACCGACTTCATAATGTTCTTCCATATTAGTTAGTTTATTAGATATATCACACAGTGAGTGAAACAGTATTATTTACTCGATGACAAGGTTTCGAACACAATTTATTACTGTTCATAATCATATCATATCGCCAATTATAATCACACGACTTCGAAACTCGACTTTCATAGTTTTCTTTGTTCTCTCCTATTTGTCGTCATTGGGGTAGTAGAATTTTGCAGATGTCCAGCTGGACAGGTGTTGAATCGTTCCCAATTACCCTGATAAATTAGTCAGAAAGTATGTAGGGAAATGTGAAAATAAAACTAATAATGACACTAGTGTTTTTTTTTCCTTCACGTTCCCAGTGGAACAATAGGACTTCAAGCTAGCAGCCTGAAGTTTCTGCATTAGTGCTTATTTTACAAGATGAAGTTGCTAGCCTCATGCCCAACCTTACCTCTTCACCAGCTTTATTTCTGGCTTAGCGAGGTAAAGGTGTACGTCGGCCGGGGATCGAACCCCGGGCCATATACATGGTCGGCGAGCGTCCTAACCACAATGCCACCGACTCACTGAAACTAGTGATAGTGATAATAATAATAATAATATTAATGACAACATGTATGTCAAACATGTGCATACTATTTACAACACCAACAACAGGGAATAAAATCGGTCACTGGTACTTCCAAACAAAGAAGGAACCTCGAAAACCCTAAGGAGAATTCTTAACAAGGCAGCCACGAATAAAAGTGGCTGGCATTCAATTACGCACAAACTCAATTAGAAAGAAGCTTTGTCGGTTACAGGATCAATCCTGTGGAGCCAATTAAACAAAACAATTTAGTTTATCTAACACCCTGCTGGAATCATTGTCAAGTCAAACACCTAGGTCAAAGTAGTAGAACAGGTGCAGTCACACTAGCCGAGCATGAAAACCTAACAGCAAAATCTAGATTAGTTGACCCGAATAAGATAAGAAATCTAGAGAATAGTTCAGCTGGCCATAGCACTACATGCAACTACATGTACACAGCCATACAATAGGATGGATGGGATAAGATGACAGTTTCGAAATCTAATGTCACAACAGGGTGGAGACAGCAGGATTCATAAGGGAAGCTTTGTTTATCGAATCAATTGAGAGAGAATACGTGTAATAGGAATGATTCAACACGTGTCCAGCTGGACATCTGCAAAATTCTACTACCCCAACGATGAGAAATAGGAGAGTTTCGAAGTCGTGTGATTATAATTGGCGATATGATATGATTATGAACAGTAATAAATTGTGTTCGAAACCTTGTCATCGAGTAAATAATACTGTTTCACTCACTGTGTGATATATCTAATAAACGAACTAATATGGAATTACTTACTACCACAGTGCCCAAGTTTTACACATATTAATAAATGAAATTATAAAGCATAATTTACTCACATACACACGTCATAATTTCTTAATCACTTGATATTCTATCAAAGAATAAATTTATTTGATAAGAACACACCATGATAAAGTATTATATACTGATAACATTTCGAGCACAATAATCATACAAATATACTTTTAAACTTCGTTTATGCAATCTCACTATTTCTCGTCCCTGATTTTATTTGTATTAATATTTCCCGTATCTTCAGTGTTGATGCTGCATCATATCTGTTGCACTTGTTCAATGTAGTTTCGACGATCGAATAATCACTTAATCTGATAAGGTGATCACAGGATTATCGGGACATAAGCATCTAGTTAAGTGGAGAATGACTGACTACATTGTTGCACTCGTAATGAACCTTAGTAGATTTGAAGAAAGTTTTGACGGTTAATCTTGTAGTCTGCATTTAGTGTATCCAGTTACAGACAGTCTCAGATGGTTAGGCAGCAGTCAGCGAGAAGCCCTGCTGCTTGTCGGCAATGGCGTTTCTTTAACCTTGGGGAAATTGATGCCCATCCGAAGGCTTGAAGTCATGTCACCCAGTATTGCAGTCAACGGTATTACGGCTGAGCTACTCAAACTTGTGATTGATCCCCTGCGGGGCTAATGAATGCCACCTAACATTATTTCAAAGCGATGGCAGGTTACCTATCCGGGGGATCACATCGCAAACTTACCTGGTAGAAATCAATCAACAACAGTACTAAGAAATAGATATATCACACGGGTTACTCCCTAATAACCAATCAGTGAAGTTCCTGATGTTGGCTGCTGGCTGGAAAACCATGAATTCATTTACTATACACCGGAATATAACATATTTACCGTGCTTATTCTAATAGTGTGTTATATATCCTTATCCTCCGGAGTTTGTTTCCGGGATTTGCAATTAGTAGTCTTTTTAGATAAAGGACACGACGATTACTTCATATATTGCGTTACTTTCACCTTTTTTGTTGTCAATAATCCTTCTTTCTTACTAGTGCACATAGATTTTATTTCAAGAAATTATGGTGATTATTTTTGACAATCATAAAGTCTGTAGGTGAATTTCTATTCATCTCACTGTATCTCTGTCTCATTCAAAATTAGACCTTAGACTAGCAACCCAACCCCGTAAAACAACAACGTCGCCACTGAAACATCAATGCTCAAGCTTGAAGCCCAATTTTCCACTCGGAACTAAAAGTGATAGAAAATGCCAGGTCTCTGCTGACATATTAGCTTCTTGTACGAAATCTTTGACGATGCCTGCTGGTTAGTATGATATCATTCGACGAGCTGTGCTCTAACAGGTATCTCTTCGAAGTTTGAAATGATGGGCGCTGAAGCTTAATCTCAGTGAGAAAACCACCACTAACTTGGGTTGCAGGTACATCCAGAAGATGAGCTCGTGATAGGATGAAACGCGTGTCCTGGATTCCACCACTAGCCATCATCAAGTAAATAGCACTGAGTTTTCTGGTTTAATGAAATTAAACTTTAATCTTCTCCAGCATCTTTATGAAAGTTGGTGCCTACTTATGAACCATAACTCATCATCATTAAGTCGAAGTTGTTTTCCGTTATTTTTTTCCCCAGTTAGTCACTGAGAATGACATAATGTAACCTATAACAGGTAGTTAATAATAATAATAATTTGCTTTATTCCCGAAACAGTACTAGTGGTACAGTGTGGAATTTTCAGCGCATATCTACAATATTTGCATCTAATTTTATCAAACATTTAAAGGAGTATTTCAAAAAAATAAATTTAAAGACAACAACAACAAAAACGAACACAAAAATAATTTTTTTAAATTGCGAAAAAATACCAAGAAATAGAAAGGAAAATAAACAACATAACATAATATCTCAGTATTGGGTAGTGGAAGCTATGATATGATTATGCATGGTGACAGTAAAGCTATAGTCATACAAGAAGTTATGAAATGATATTTAAGAATGTTTATCGCCAAGATGGTCAGTTAATTTAGGTTGAAACAACACTTAACAATCATAAAATAACATTTCAGGGTTTTTTTATTGTCAGGTCTAATGCGGTGTTTGTAGTGATAGTGTGAGTAATCCTGCATAATACAAAATTTTAAGATGGTCATAGTGGCGTTCACAACCAATGATTGTCAGTTAATATCGCCGAACAAAAAAACAACCACAAAAATTAATAATTACATGATTGTTAATGACAGGACAATTTTGTAATACTCATAGTGCTAATAGAGTCGCAACCAGTGGACACACTATAGAAGGAATATAGTAAAGTACAAAAAAGGAAGCCAATGTTAATAATTTAGTTAGCTAAGTATGTTTAAGAAGGAGTTCACTAAAGAATACCAAATAAGAGGGAAATAAAAGAGCCTAAAATTATGTTGTTAACAACAAAGCAAGTCATAGGTTTCGCGCTTAACATTGTCTCTGTCACTTAGAACACGGGCCAAGTATGGTATCGTTGAGTTCCTGTACTTAGATGTACGAGCATAAATTATTTTATACTGATTTCTGGTTCTACTTGATGAGATACAAGGCGGGAGTTGGGAATAGAGGGAGTGTTGGGGGTCGAAGAGTATGGTTTCAGACCATTCTTCGCATGTATTCAGATGCCTTTCAACTAATGTAGTGATGACCTGACTGAGTTTTACACCACTAGTCCTACTAACCACCTTCAACATCCTTCTCAGGACGGTATAGTCCTTTTTCAGTAGCCCAGGAAAGACTAACGGGGAGCAGTAAAGTAGAAGTAGTTCTTTCTTTGTGAGCAGTAAAGTGCCTAGTGTGGTGTGTACCACTGATAACTATTATCATTAGCACATACCAAACTAGGAAAAAATGAAGATCTACTCAAATAAGTAGCTAGTTTCACACTGGAAACACTTTTTTTACATGTAACATATTATTATGTTAATATATTCTACTCTCAACGCATTTACAGTTGGAGGTGACAGATCTTCGTGAAATGCAGCTGGCTTTTACTGAACAAATGGAAAGACAGGAACAATTCATTGAACGATTACAGTCTGAACTGGCTAGTGAACGCGAAAAAACTGATTTTCTAAGCAAGATAAAAGCAGATAAAGAAAGAGAAATGCAAAATATGATGGTACGTGAACTAGATGTCTTGTTCTTTTTACTTGAGTTGAAATTACCGCTGATAAGTCCTGAGTTCACTTTGTAACACTGAGTGTTTAGTATATTAAATATGCAATTTATCATTGAATTTTACTGACGGAATTTAGGCTAAGTAGCCTGATGTTAAGGTAGGGTATTCACGCAGTTGATTTCGCTTCTCAATATTTGTAACCTCAACATGCAACTGTGAAATGAAGGGACATTTTACTTTTGTCTTTTTTCGAACTGGTTGTTAAAACCATTGAATGAAGCTTCTAATGATGAACAAAAAAGTGGGGAAATTCGTTAGTTTCAGGAACACACATATTTCTATAGATAAACAATACTATTAGGCTATATATTCTCTTGAGAGATGTCTAGTCGTATAATTTATGACACACTTAATGGTTAATGGGTTCACGAAAAGCACTTGCGTCATTCGCTTTCTCATGCTGATGTTTCGAAACTACACAAGCTGTTATGTGCATGTGTTTAAAATACGGAACCAATGAAACTAGTTGCTATTGATAGGAATTTTAAATTTCCCACATATAGACTCCACAGACACTTATGCTACGTCAAAAAGTAACATCTCAGTGATGTAACACTTAAAGAATTGGATGCAGTGTGTGTTTAAATATGTGCTTCGGTGGCACGGAGATAGAATGCTGGCCAACCACACAGGTTGTTCGGGGTTCGGTCCCCAGCCAACGCACTTCTTTACCTCGCTAAGCTAGTAATAAAACTGGTAAAGAGAGGAGGTTGGACATGATGAGTCTAGCAACCCCATCCTGTAAAAATAAATGTCAATGCTACCGAAACTTCAAAGTCTAAGCCCTATGTTCCACTGGGAATGTAAAGGAATGTGTGTTTAAATTGTTCCAACCGTTGTACTCATTCTAGTCCATTGTTTTATCGATAGGTGAGAATTTTTTAATGATCATTTCATTTATCATATTGTTCTCTTCACTATTTCAATAATCGTATTATTACCATTGAAAATTACAGAATGAAGTTGAGAATTTACACTGTCACAACAAAGAACTTTCGAGTCGTTTACTAGAACGGGAATCAGCATTAGATACTATGTCACGTGAACTAGAATTATTCTCCTCCCGACTGGATACAACGTCAAGAAATCTTACAGAAACTGAAGCTGAACTCATAGAAACTAGACAGAAGTATGAATTATCTGAAGCTAGAGCAAATAAACAAAAAGACGAGGTTAGTAGCTTTCCTCCAGAATAACACTTTCATGCTGGTCAAAATGTAGACCCTGTGATACATAAAACCATAAGATATTTATATATCATATCTGCTTCGTCGTTACATTATAGCGAAAACCCTTTATATTAGCTAATTGTCTCAGAAATACGGAATTTCAATAAACAAATCACTTTCATTATCAATTAACCCCTGACAAGAACCAGAACCCAGGATGTAACAAGGTCACTGCAAGTGTACACGTTTGACCATTTATGTAATTACACCGAAAAATACTCAGTGCACAATTTTTGGTGATTAAGTTTCACTTTTTAAAGAAAGGAAACTGATGCCCTTCATAAATCATTGCACCTTCAGACTACGTGATACAGCTATCCAGTACTCAAATGATTCGAACAGATCTAGCCATATTTATTTACTCTGAAGAAATAAACCCCTGCAAAACTATCCAAACACTTCTGAATAAAGCTGTCTATATTAATTTGTCATTCAAAGGTGATGATGTACAAGAAGTAGTCAAACGAAGACTCCATAAAGCTATCAAGAGAACTTATTATGCTGCAAAACTTGTTTTCCTTAACACCACCAGCCGAGTGTTGCAGCAATCTGGGAAAGACCATTCGCCAATCCTTGACACTTCAAACTGCGTATGTCATTTCGAGTCTGTTTGTGGAAGCAAATACATATAGGTAGCATAGAAAGGTGATTGTCTACTCGCTTGATGAAGCATTTACCAATGTGGTTGAAAATAGCTGAAGGCAAAGTGCCGAAAAGCCCAATAACATAGCATCTTGTGGACCACAGAAATGATATCGATGCTGTCAAGTCGTTCACTGTTGTTGGCGAGCAGATAAACGAACGAGAAGATACTTGCAATTGCGGAGGCTTGTCAATTCGAGTTTATTAACCAGGTCTCTGTGTACAGAAGGAAATGGTCGTCACTATGAATCTACCATGATAATATGTTTTACTTATTAACTGTTATTATTAATATTAATAACACTTTATTTTACCTCTTATTATTATTATTCCTGATTTATTTAAAACTATCTTTTATCAGTAGCATTATCTTAACTCGTTTCAGCATTATTATTCTAACTATTACTATTAATATGAGTATAAAACTTGGGCACTGTGGTAGAGTATAACTCCATTATGGATAAGATTTTATTTTGATAAATCACACAGTGTTGTGTTATGCAGTAATATTAACTGATGACCACGTTTCGAGCACAATTTATTATTGCCACTCATAATCATATCAAGGCACTACTCACACAACTTTCTTCCTTCATTTATATACATGAGTAAAAACTGATGATCAGACATTTGAATAAAATCAATATAAGATAAAGTACATTCAGAAATAATATCAGTGTTATCAACCAAATACAATCAGATGGGAAATAAGACGAGTGTTTTTTTATAGTCAAAATAAGTAACTTGTTAGAATGTTATGATGTACGTGAGTTGAAATAGGATTTTAAGATGATTTATTATCCTCCTCTGATTTGACTGGTGGTAATAATATCTTGCATATCTCTGGTATTTGCGTTGAATCATTTCTGTTGCATGTGTTGGGTGTAGACTCGATGAATCAGGATTCAGTAATCAATCTCTCTCTCCACCTATCTATATTACTTTTTGGAATTTTGACTTTGTCCCACCCACTCTAATGTCTGGTTGTGTGTTAATGCATGCGGTGCAATTGTTGAGTGCTTTTTTCTAAATTACTTATCTTCGTGGGGTGAATCATTCTAATCTTAACTAAATTCTTATGTTCTGATAATATGACTACTCCTGATCTACTAGTTTGACTGACCAGTGTAGTTGACTTAACTCACAGTCATTGCAAGGTATTTTGTAAATTATATTATTTTGTTCATTTGGGTCCACCGACATGGTCATTTAGCCAACAGAGCTTGCCCTATCTGAGTGAGTTTGTAGGTTTGAATGCCACCCTAATTCCTGCTTTGTTGAGAATCCTACGAAGGTTATCAGATGTCCCTTCCTTATATGGTATAACTATAGATTTCTCATATTCTCTCTTATTTATGTTATCATGACTGCTTTCACTATTATTTTTATTTTGCTTATGATCTTTTGTGATATTCCTAATGAATTTTATAGGATGGTGATTTGATAACAACGCCTCTTCTATCTGTTTCATTTCATCATTTAGGTCTTTTCTTGTACTACTTAGTGCTACTGCTCGGTTTCTTAGACACTTAACTAAGCCAAATTTTACAGACAACGGATGAGATGATTTATCAAAATAAAATCTTATCTATACTGGAGTTATTACTATTAATATTATTCAGTTCTCAATTCTTGATATATTTAAGTTCTTCCTCTGATAACTGATTGTTTAGTTAAGTGGTGTAATTGAAGTGTAATGCGTTTTATCTTAATTTTAATCTCTCATACTCCCTTTGCCTTCTCTGTTTTTGAACATGACCTGAAAAACACTCACACATGTCGTTTTGCATAATTCAATTCAATGTAGTTTATTTGCTTATTAGTCTTATATGTCCCAATTTATTTCCGATTTAATATATATATATATATATATATATATATCCCTATATGTAGAGTATTGAGCTGAAGAGTTCTATCGAAATTTGATGAATCCATGATTAAATCCTGCTTTAGTAACCTTTGTTGCTTGTTTTAAATTCGTATCGGGAAATAAATGTTCCCAGTATTTATAGACATCTGAAAGTGATTCACACTTATTCATGTTCGTCCTAGCCAGAATTTCCTTGTTTTATTCAAGAAACCATTTTATTCCACTTGATCATTTCAGCTTAAACAATGTGAGATCACCTTATCAAGTCTTGAATCTCGACTGCTTGAAAGAGAAAGTCAACTGACAAAATGTGTTGGACAGTACAGCCAGTACGATTCAGTCGACCGTGTTCAATGTTCTCAGCTGACAGATTTAGTCAAAGATCTTAAACAACAAATCACAGAGCATAAGAAAATGAATATGATTTCAAAAGTAAGTCTCAAAATCATCGAATTAGCATATAACACATTCACAGAGTTTACGGGGAAGTTATCAAAAAAAAAAACGATGCGTTAACTACTTTTGTATGTTACAATGAGATAATTCAGAGTACACTTCAACGACTAATCAGAGTTCTTTTTTTCCTTCACGTTCCCCAGTGGAACATAGGGCTTCAAGCTAGAGGCTTGAAGTTTCTGTATGAGTGTTTATTTTACAGGATGGGGTTGACAGCCTCATGCCCAACCTTTCCTCTTCACCAGCATTATTTCTGGCTTAGTGAGGTAAGGGAGGAGTGCGTCGGCTGGGGATCGAACCCCGGACCAAGGGCATGGTCGGCGGGCGTCCTAACCGCTATACCACCGACGCACTAATCAGAGTGCAGATAATGTCTAATGGTCTGATTAACCGTGATTTTAGCGAAATTCAGGCGGTATATCTTCAAGCCATTTTTATGATTTCTCTCTTATAAATATTCACTGTTTTATATTTCGCAAATTAGATGGACACGAATTTGTAGTATTTTTTTCTTCTTAGTTTTACTGAAGAAGTTTATAGTTTGATGGGCATAAGATGCGTTGCTAAGCAATTCAAATACACGAAAACTAAATGTATCCATAATCTAGTTTACACTTAATCCCATATATATTTTAATGGTTTATCTATATATCTATATTATAAAGTCAGACACAAAGTAATACATGTAGTGACTTTTATATTTTCCATTCAATTAATACTCAGATTCAGTGTGCTAATTCATTCACAGATAGAGTAAAAACTACAGCGACTAGAAAGGTAAAACACGCTTTGTGAACTTTGGATACCGAAAAATGAGGACTGATTGTCTGAACAGGCTGACGAATACACATGAGTAACACACTGGCAACTTGTTTTTGTTAATTAATTGTGCTTATACTTCAATGGTTGTTTTTTAAACTCGATGATGATAAGTTTTGCCGATTTTGTTAATGTTTCGAGCCGAAAAATACCGCCTGTGGGTGAGTCACCTTTGCCGCTTGTCTTGTCGCGCCACTTTTACTCCAAATATTAACAAAATAAAAAAAAACTTATCACTTTTTGTAAACAACCATTGAAATACAATCATGACTAGTTGGTGTATTGCACAGTGCACAAACTTATTATAGACACCATTTATTTTTGTTAATTTCTGAATTATAAAGAAAGTGATAGTTCTACTAGTTCAGCACTTTGACTACTTCCCACGTATTCTTGTTGTCTAACCTGTCGGTCATTAATAATACATAATAAAGATAACAGCAGTGTACGGCTTTCAGGAGTCAGACAAGGGTGCTTATTATCACCAATGATATTCCTAATTGTGGTGGACTGGACTGGATTATGCATCAGACAGTGAGAAATGAGAAGACAGGGATATCCTGGACTGACATGAAAAACCTAGAAGACCTGGATTTCGCGCCTGGATGATTTATGTTTGATGTCACACAAAATCGAAGACTTACAAGCGAAAACCGACAAACTGTTCAAAGAAGCAGCAAAGACAGGACTCCAGGTGAACATAGACAAAACGGAGGTTATGAAAATAACCAATCAACAACAACAACAACAGCAGCAACATCCAGCGCCAATCACCATCAACGGGAGGGATTTGAAAGAGGTTACTTCTTTCACTTATCTAGGTAGGGAGCATTGTCTCAACTACAGGAGGAACGGACGAGGATGTCAAATCGAGAATCGGGAAGGCGAGAAACACATTCATCAACCTGAAACCAATCTGGAAATCTTCGTCACTCCTCAACATCAACAACAAAATTCGGATTTTCAATACAAACGTCAAGTCAGTCAGTTCTTCTATACGGATCAGAAACTTGGCGGGTCACAAAGAATATTTCCAACAGGTTGCAGACCTTTATCAACAACTGTCTTCGTTCTATACTGAAGATCAGATGGCCGGAAAGAATCACCAACAAGAAACTATGGGAACAAACAAAACAAGAACCAATCGCTCAACAAATATGCAGGAGAAAGTGGAGATGGATTGGACACTCGCTGAGGAGGCCGTTGGGTGACATCGCGCGTCAGGCCAATGCTCGAGTGGAACCGGAAAGGGAAACGGCGAGTGGGACGTCCAAGGGTGACATGGAGGAGATCGTGTGAGGAGGAGTTGAAACAGTATGGACTAACATGGATGCAGGTGAAAAGTACAGCAGAAGACAGAAGCAAGTGGAGGCGTGTAGTTGAAGCCCTATGTTTCACTAGGAACCCAAGGGAACAATAATAATAATAAGTGTACGGCACTAGTGATTTATTCTCAAAAGCAACGAAGTCATCTATCATGAGGTTTTCTTTTGAAATTGACTAACAGACTTATTAATATATGTGTGAAACTTGGGCACTGTGGTAGTAAGTAATTCCATATTAGTTTGTTTATTAGATATATCACACAGTGAGTGAAACAGTATTATTTACTCGATGACAAGGTTTCGAACACAACTTATTACTGTTCATAATCATATCATATCGTCAATTATAATCACACGACTTCGAAACTCGACTTTCATAGTTTTCTTTCTTCTCTCCTATTTGTCGTCATTGGGGTAGTAGAATTTTGCAGATGTCCAGCTGGACACGTGTTGAATCATTCCTATTACACGTATTCTCTCTCAGTTGATTCGATAAACAAAGCTTCCGTTATGAATCCTGCTGTCTCCACCCTGTTGTGACATTAGATTTCGAAACTGTCATCTTATCCCATCCATCCTATTGTATGGTTGTGTGCATGTAGTTGCATGTAGTGAGTGCCATAGCCAGCTGAACTATTCTCTAGATTTCTTATCTTATTCGGATCAACTAATCTAGATTTTGCTGGTACGTTTTTATGCTCGGTTAGTGTGACTGCACCTAGGTGTTTGACCTGATAATAATCATTCCAGCAGGATATTAGATAAACTAAATTGTTTTGTTTAATTGGCTCCACAGGATTGATCCTTTAACCGACAAAGCTTGTTTCTAATTGAGTTTGTGCGTAATTGAATGCCAGCCACTTTTATTCGTGGCTGCCTTGTTAAGAATTCTCCTTAGGGTTTCCGAGGTTCCTTCTTTGTGTGGAAGTACCAGTGACAGTTTGTATTCCCTATTGTTGGTGTTGTCATTATTCTGTGCATTTTTGACATGCATGTCGTCATTAATATTATCATTATTATCCCTATCACTATTAGTATTAATTTTATTTTTACATTTTCCTACATGCTTCCGGATTAATTTATCAGGGTAATTGAGAAGTTTCAAAGCTTCTCTAAGACAGGAAGTGAGGCATAAAATTGATTATAATTGATATGATTATGAACAAATAAATTGTGTTCGAGGCGTCATACAGTAAATAATACCGTTTCACTCTGTGGTATATCTAATAAACAAACTAATATGGAATTACTTACAGACAAATTAGCGTGAGGTTTCACTTGTAGGCAACAAATAGTGTAATTATTTTAAATTGATAAATAAGGGATTAATGAAAACAAAAGACGTAGTTCAGCGAAGAGTCTCTTTTCGGCGAATTCATTTGCTTAGCTCTACAATCGCAAATATATATGTGTTATTTTGTATTTATGTATACATTAAGTTTATCAAACAAAATTACTATTGGTTATGGTTATTTTAACTAAGCAGGTGAAAATCGGTAAGTTTTGGGTAGACTTACGTATTACAAAAACGGTCAAGAAAATTGGTTGTTAATGAAACTAGGATAGTAACAAAGGTAGGTGATGAGTTGTCACAAACAGTTGTTGAAAAGGAGTTACCTAATAATGTTTGTGACATTATTAACTCATATATATTTGCGATTCTACAGCTAAGAAAATGAATTCGCCGAAAAGGGACTCTTCGCTGAACTATGTGTTTTATTTTCATTAATGCCTGGATAGGGATTATTCATGAAATGAGGGATTGTAGTTTAGTTTAGGGCCTTGACTGTCCTAATTACTAACAGAACAGCACTTTCTCAACTGGAATTATTAACTAGGTGTAGTTGTTACCATTTGATCTAAAACTTCTCGTCAGTATGATTTTATAGCCTTCATTAAATTTACGTGAACTATATGTTTACTTTTAGTGGCCTACTTTCAAAATTAGTGCGTTGGTGGCACGGTGGTAGGATGCTCGCAAACCATGCATGTTGTCTGGGGTTCAATCCCTGGCCACCGACGCACTCCTTTACCTCGCGAAGCCAGTGATAAGACTGGTAAAGATGAAAATTGGGCATGAGGCTAGCAACCCCATCCCGTAGAAAATAAACACTACTGCTACCGAAACTCCAAAGCTCCAGCTTGAAGCCCTATGTTCCACTGGGAACATCAGAGAATCACATTCAACATCATGATTTTCATACTTTTTCAAAGGAAATCAATAACAAGAAGGTTGCAAATATAAATAGGGATTTTAAAAACTTTTAGGACTTTGAGTAGATACGGACAGACAGCATATAAGAACTGCTGAAGTTTCAGATATGTGACGACAACAAATTATTGTTTGTTTTTCGAAACATATTCAGTGATATCATTTGCAGACACTCTGGACACTAGTTTACAGCTGCTAAAATGATTTTCAAAGTCATTTTTCAGTAACGCATACTGCTTACATTCTATAAAATGTGATTAAAAAGCTGTTTTGCCTTTCATTATTCTCAGTATCTTGCTCATTTAATCACCCTTCCCAATAAGATTTTCTCATGCAAACAGTTTTCAAAGACTCAGAGAGGATAATAATGACTTCAACTACTAAATTTGATGGGTAGTAAACTCTGGTTATAATGAATTTAGGTTAATTTCAAGAGTTAGTTTTCTAACTCCACCAATTCGTGATTTAGGGCGACCACCAACCAATGTCGTGGGCGGGAAATCCATCTTCACACCTGACTGGATGGACCTCTAGTGAGAAGTTGTGACCTTGCAAACGGTAGGTCCTGGTTTCGAACCCCTGTGGTGGATGCGTACTGCCAGTTCTTCCCTATTTAGGTTATGTTTAGAAAATGTAGTTGTAAAGTTTATGTTTTGCCATTCACTGTATTTGTATCATCCCTTGTATTTCAAAAACAAACAGACTGAGAGAGCTCAATTACAAGAGACTGTGAATCGTCTTGAAGGTGAATTAGCTGCTCGATCTGATGCATTACGTAGAGCAGCAATAGATGCAACACGTGTACAAATGGAGCATGAATTAGAATTGAAAAATAGAACAAATGATTTAAATGAGTCACTGTATCATATGGAAAATAAATGGAAAGAAGCATGCAAAACTATTGAGAGATTAGAAAAGGAGTACAAAGACCAAGAATTCAAACTTACAGAAGTGTCAACAAACGTAAGTTGCACATATTTCTGCATCAAATAAACGCCTTTTTCATACATTTATTCCCCTTAATGAATTTGAACAAAGCAAGAACTACAGTTTTAGCAGAATAAAAGGGTACCACCTTTTATTTCGTTGCCTTCTCGTCAGCTGCTCACAGGGCAAAGACATTACGTCTAAAGGGATTAAATGCTTTGAACAGCGCCATTGCCAGGCATCTCCTCTACACGGTTCATAAGGTGGACGTCGAAAAGTCGTTCAAAATTACCGATTGATTTTTAAAAAAAATGAACTTTGTGTAAGTATGTTAAAATGGTTTTTGTAGATAAATTTAATAATGTCTTTGCCCTGTAAGCAGTTGACGAGAAGGCAACGAAATAAAAGATGATACCATTTTATTCTGTTAAACGCCTTTTCTAGGGGATTTTATGATGACTAAAGTTTAAAGCTAAAATGGCAGCCAGTCATGCGGTTGATCAGAGTTCAACCCTAGACGGATGCACTCCTAAACCTCGAGTAGTTTGCTTTTCGGCAGTAAGCCTGAAAATGTGGCACGAAGGTTTGATATGAGGATTGCAACGCCATGCCATAAAAGAAAACATCCCTACTGCCAGAGAAACCTAAGAGCTTTAAACACCATTTTTCTCTGGGAACCCTAAGGAAAAGGAGGAAGTGTAAAGGGAATCCAAGTCTCTGAGTTATTGACTGTGTGTAGTATTACGTTGATTAAGACTCCAAACCAATACGATCTATTTCTATGTGACATTGAGAGTCGACTGTATGTATCTGTAGATTTCCATAATTAATCTTGGTATTATGTTTTTATTGTCAAACCTTCTGAAATTACAAGACTCAATATACGTGAAACTAGATACAGTGATAGAAATGTTAGAAAATAAAAAAAGATGGACTTGATAACCATTTATTAATATATCACAAGTGGATTCCCAAGACATAATGATTATCTATATTATAATACATATGTACGTTTGACTGACTGGTTTCAAAATAGAACTCTTCACCAATGTGCAGAAGTTCGAGTTGCCACACTTCACTTAGTACACAAAGCAAGAGAAGAAAGTAGATAGAGATTCAAAACAGAGATATGCGACAAAAAGAATACCAAAACCGAAGAACCATATAGTTTTATTGGATATTACAATTCACAAGGATTCGATGCATCGGCGCCAGCTATTCAATATGATTTCGAGCCATATCACCAATTATCTCCAGCCATCGGTGTTTACCGTCCAGAGAACCCCATCCAGGATGTCTACATCTTCCTACATGGCTGGCTTAAACTAACTATTGTGAATTGACTGACGGAGCCATGTTTTGTCTTGACCACCACGTGCTAGCTCTTTACCAACCTCATCGATCCTATGTCAGCTAACATTGCCCGTAGTCGAGGAAGGCAATGGATGTCTAGGAATGCATGCGTAACACGTGTCCTAACCATCTCAATCAGTGTAACTTCACAACCTCGTCTGTTGTTGATTTCCCCTCCCCTCCACCGATGCTTAACCTCAATATTCCACTAACCTATTACCCTACCATCTAACACGGGAGATAGAACTCAGACACCTATGATCGAAGACAGCTAGCTAGGCTTTTCATGTCTTCCACTCTCAATGGCCATGAGTCACTCACAGACAGGTATAAAGGAGAACAGAGCGAACTGCTGCTGAGCAGTACACACGTCGCTTGGTCGACAGCCAGCCAGTCGGATGTCACGTCTACTAAGCCAGAGGTGGCGTCAACTGCATATGCGAAACTAGACTTCTGTATCCGTGCTCAGATTTCGTCAGCGATCAACCCGTTGAAGCTGGCTGATGCAACCTCCCAAAAAAGTGAAGTGGTCAACGTGCTCTACAACTTCACTCCCTATTCCTAATCTTGGAGTCAGTGTAGTCCAATCATTCCTGTAACATCATCTTACATTTGACAGCACGAGCGAATCGCATGTCAAACATTCGAAGATTGCTGCTCTTCAAGGTGTTCAGAAGACTCTGCATTTTGTCAGCGTCTCCCTCACCTAGTAGGGAGGACTATATCATCCCCATGCATATTCTAAGTCAACAATATTATTACCTGGTGGTAATAAGTCAATCCCTGAGTGTCTGAAGACGGTTAGGATTAATTATACGCTGAAAATTTCATATTTTTATTGAAAGTACCATTTAGAATCAGTCTGTGATTATTAAAGGTGTGTACGCTGTGCTATCCTTTATACAAATAAATAATATGAATAATATGCTACATTAATTTTGAAAATTTTGATCATTAACTACTTTCAGAGAAATGATGAAAACAAATCATTGAAACAAAAGCTTGATTCATTTGAATCGAAAAACAGAACATTGTCCAACGAATTGGAAACTGTGAAATTATCAAGAGAGAACTTGCAAAATGATTACAACCGACTGCAAGCGGAATTAGACAAGCTGAAGTAAATAAATCTCTTTGTTAAACTCTGTGCAATTTGTTTACAGTGTTAATATTAACGTATAAACTTATGTGTTGACAGTCTTAGACACAATCCAACGAACTTTGCTTACATATTAAGGGACATTTGTACACATTGACACAAAACTAAATCAATTTCACTTAAGAACTAGTAAATTCAGGTTTCACAATTCCCTTGACACCTTAAAGTCATTGGATTTGGGGTTTATAAAACCCAGAAGCAGTGTACCCAAAGACCTTTTGCTATAACTAACAATTAACGGTCATCAGACAGTAGCCAGTGTTATGAGTCAGTGGTAACGTCTCTGACTACAGCAATGGGTTACGCGGGTTCGAATCCCAGAGAGCACATTTTTTCTTGAAAGCGCAGAAACTGGTGTTTCTACCGGTGGTAAAAATAACACTGCTGTAAATTTCTAGAAAAAAAATGTTTTTCTACCAAGTCACTCATCCCAAATTGCAATCCATACTTGTTGTCGTCATTACAGAGGATTTCTGGAACCCAAGTATTACTGGAGAATTGGTCGTTGGATTCTGCAGGTTTTCTGTTCATGCTGTCGGATCTGTTGTTAAGTCATCACTTTCTGAAAAAGATGCTACTAGTCCAGGTATTTATGATGATTCTATAATAATTATTATTATTGTTCCCTTGAGTTCCTAGTGGAACATAGGGCTTCAACTGCACGCCTCCACTTGCTTATGTCTTCTGCTGTACTTTCCACCTGCATCCATGTTAATCCATACTGTTTCAACTCCTCTTCACACGATCTCCTCCATGTCACCCACACTTGGACGTCCCACTCGCCGCTTCCCTTTCGGGTTCCACTCGAGCATTGGCCTGACGCGCAATGTCACCCAGTGGCCTCCTCAGCGAGTGTCCAATCCATCTCCACTTTCTCCTGCATATTTGTTGGGCGATTGGTTCTTGTTTTGTTTGTTTCCATAGTTTCTTGTTGGTTGTTGTTTCTTTCCGGCCATCTGATCTTGAGTATGGAACGAAGACAGCTGTTGATAAAGGTCTGCAACAGGCTGTTGGAAATATTCTTTGTGACCCGCCAAGTTTCTGATCCGTATAGAAGAACTGACTGACTTGACATTTGTATTGAAAATCCGAATTTTGTTGTTGATGTTGAGGAGTGACGAAGATTTCCAGATGGGTTTCAGGTTGATGAATGTGTTTCTCGCCTTCCCGATTCTCGATTTGACATCCTCGTCCGTTCCACCTGCCTGTAGTTGAGACAATGCTTCCTAGATAAGTGAATGAATTAACCTCTTTCAAATCCCTCCCGTTAATGGTGATTGGCACTGGATATTGCTGCCGCTGTTGTTGTTGTTGGTTGGTTATTTTCATAACCTCCGTCTTGTTTATGTTCACCTGGAGTCCTGTCTTTGCTGCTTCTGCGAACAGTTTGTCGGTTTTCGCTTGTAAGTCTTCGATTTTGTGTGACATGAGACATAAATCATCCACGCGCGAAATCCAGGTCTTCTAGGTTCTTCACGTCGGTCCAGGATATCCCTGTCTTCTCGTTTCCCACTGTCTGACGCATAATCCAGTCCAGTCCACCACAATTAGGAATATCATTGGTGATAATAAGCACCCTTGTCTGATTCCTGTGTTTACTCCAGACGCCTCGCTGAGTTTTCCGTTGTGGATCACCTGACATGTGTCGTTGTCGTACAGCTGTTGAATAAGGTTGATGAATATTTGGGGTACGCCATAGTACTTGAGTAGTTTTCAAATTACTTCGCAGTCAACGCTGTCAAAGGCCTTCTCAAAGTCTATAAAGTAGATTCTATAATAGTGAAGCTTATTCCTGAGCATACAGGGAAAGGAAGTGAAGTCTGTATAGGAAAGACGACAGTCTTGGCTTATCGCAGTGCGTTCATTCACACTCTAGAACATATGTTGAGGATAATATATTATGCGATGAATGTGCCTTAATGCGTTACAGCACAGTTTGATTTTAAACAGAATTACCTTACCATTAAAGTAGCTGTACTGACATATAAACACATCCGGTCGAAACGTTAAATGGCAAGGTTGTATGATTCCATCATAGAATAATTTTATTTGATACAAAACACATAGTGGTAAAGTTTCTTACTGATGATGTTTCGAGCTCAGCTTATTGCTCCTAATCATATCAGCATACGCATAGAACTTTCAGATTTTAAAAAAATATATAATCCACAGTTTCCTATGATTTGATTTTCTTGTTAATAATGTCCTACATATCTTTATTATTGATACTGCATCATTTCTGATGCAGATGCGGGGAACAAAGATTCAGTGACCAGCTCCTCACACTAATTAACTTTATTACCTATTGGAACTGTAGATATGTAGCAATCTATTGTGCGACTGTGTGCGTTAGCGCATACACTGTAATTAATGAGGTTTCGGTAGGTTGGTTATCTTTTCCTATGTTCCGAAAACCTGACTGACCCTTACCTGTTGGACTGATCTACGAAGTCGATGTCATAGCCATTTTTATAGAACAAGTTATTTTATCTAATCAAATCAATAGAGTCTTTCAACCTATAAAGCTTGCCCCTGGGTGGGTTTGTTGGTTGCAATGCCACCGTAATTCCAGCTTTATTAAGAGTCATGCGTAGGGTTTCGGATATCCCTTCCTTTTATGGCAACAATGTGGATGTCTTAAGTTACTACTTCTTGTGCGTCGGTGGTACTGCGGTAGAATGCTCGCCGACTACGCATATGGTCCGGGGTTCGATCCCCGGCCGCCAACGCACACCTTTACCTCTCTAAGGGGGACGGTTTGTTTGCCACCTTGATCATTTTCTAACTCAAGTAAAAATTTGATGTTTACTAGTTTGTAACTCTGAAATTTCTCTTTCCGCATACACTAAAAGGATACAGATTGAGTCCACTGCAAAGAAAGTTTCAACTGGGGTTCAAGCAGTTCAGAAATGCTCAAACGCAAGTACAAATACAGAGAAAATGGAGTATAAAGAAAGAATACCATTGCCAAAGCTTCAGCTGACAAGGTTTGTAATCTTTGCGATAGATTGTAAATATGATTCATCTGTTACCTGGAAAATATGCCATTTATAAAACACTGTCTTCAGGTCTTCAAGTTGAATATTAAGGCGAATAAGTTTCAAAAGATTGATTATTGAACAAAGGATATTCTTTTCGATAACTTCATCATCAGGTTATACAGTTATATATCCATGATAATGACAGAATGATTGTTACTGACAACATCAGTGGTTTTTTCAAAACAGTAACATCGAATCATTTAGATCAGCCCTTTTGTTATGACCCTCCACTCTGTACACATAAATTCTCCTACCCCTTGTCATTACACTTGCATTAACTAACCTTTTGTTTTCTTATTTAAACGTAGTTGTTAACTTACATACACTGACACACAAACAACGCACATAAATTTCAACCCCAAAATAACCCTTTTTCTCTACCACCGTCCTTGACATGACCACTCATCTATCTGTAGTTCATAATTAATATGAATGGGATCTGATATGAACATGTCTGCCGTACATTCGCTGTCATTCATAATCATTTACTTTGTAATATTAGTGTTCAATTTACTATTACAACTTTATTATTATTATTCCCTTGGGTTCCTAGTGGAACATAGGGCTTCAACTGCACGCCTCCACTTGCTTATGTCTCCTGCTGTACTTTCCACCTGCATCCATGTTAGTCCATACTCTTTCAACTCCTCTTCACACGATCTCCTCCATGTCACCCACACTTGGACGTCCCACTAGCCGCTTCCGTTTCGGGTTCCACTCGAGCATTGGCCTGACGCGCAATGTCACCCAGTGGCCTCCTCAGCGAGTGTCCAATCCATCTCCATTTTCTCCTGCATATTTGTTGGGCGATTGGTTCTTGTTTTGTTTGTTCCCATAGTTTCTTGTTGGTGATTCTTTCCGCCCATCTGATCTTTAGTAGAGAGCGAAGACAGTTGTTAATAAAGGTTTGCAAACTGTTGGAAATATTCTTTCTGACCCGCTGGCCAAGTTTCTGATCCATCCGTATAGAAGAACTGACTGACTTGGCGTTTGTATTGAAAATCCGAATTCTGTTGTTGATGCAGGCTGAGTGACAGCGGAAGATTTCCAGATTGGTTTCAGGTTGATGAATGTGTTTCTCGCCTTCCCGATTCTCAATTTGATATCCTCGTCCGTTCCACCTGCCTGTAGTTGAGACAATGGTCCCTACATAAGTGAATGAAGTAACCTCTTTCAAATCCCTCCCGTTGATGGTGATTGGCGCTGGATGTTGCTGCTGCTGTTGTTGTTGTTGGTTGGTTATTTTCATAACCTCCGTCTTGTCTATGTTCACCCACAACTTTACATATTACATAATACCTGATGATGAAGCTGTCGAAAAGAATATTCTTTGTTCAATAATCAATCTTTTGAAATTTCGAATGGGCATCTTTAATCAATGCAAATAAGTCTCTCTAAAATGTATGAAAAATTGCATTCTTTTCTATTATAGACAGGAAACAACTATATGGTTTACTCAGAATATTTTAGCCAAAAATGAGAGGCAGTTTTGCACATTAAAATCTACAGAAATATTTCTGAATCTTTAGTATTTTGTTTAATTGGATATAAGCACTTGGTGTTACATGCCATCAATTAGTTGCAGGGAAGTTCTGAAGCACCAAGGTTATGTATTTGTTATCACCATTCAGTAGGTCATATTACCACTACTGTCAACTTTGCTTATCTCAAGGACTGAATAAAGAACGAGAATTCTGTCTCAAAGCTAGATATCCTATCAAACATCAAGTTTTTTACTGATCTCTTCAGAGAACTAGTAATTTCAGCACAGTTTTCACCATCAATATAAGGTCCTGGTCTAACTTAAACCTGTTCTCCCAGGTTATATATCCCTTTAGTTGTTCTTGAATCAATGGTAAGAAAAAAATGAAAACAAATGACAAATAAACACCTAACTATCCATACTGCTTTTTACTAATACACTATCCTACTCTTCATCGGCTTATGTTGACAGCCAGAAGTTCAAGAATGAGAATGTGTCAGCTTCTAATTCCTATTCTTTAAATGGTGTTATATAGTAAGGTTGTAACAATAGGAGACAAGGGCCAGGCAACAGATCGTTTATTGAGAAAATCAAGAGATATTTATAGATTTTTATGTACATTATTGTCAGCGGAGAAGCAACGTCTTCTGATTGGTTGTTTTCTTCCTGAAGCTTATTCTCTACTGCCTGTGACCGTTTCTCAGAAAGTTAAGCCATATATCTCCGAATCGTATTTGCACACATTGAGTCTGCTAAGATTGGTTGGTGAGTTTCTCAAAGTTAAGCTTTGTTATTGTTTTTCTCATGACCCTGATTCGGGACGTAACATTGACGTAAATTGCTGTCTACAATTTTCGCTTGTTTGCAGCCAGCTCTCGCCACAAGGTAAGTATGGTGTGTGCTTTGCACCGTCTAAGTGCAAAGTACTGTTACAAGATTGGAAAGAGCCTGTACCTGCACTCACTCTTGCCGGCGAACCACTTGAAGTTGTTGATAAGTTTGTGTAGCTGAGTAGTTGTGTGAGTGCTGGCGAATGGATGACGGATGAGATTTCCGACCGCATCATGAAGGCTAGGGTGGCATACGTCAACTTCAGCCACCTCTGGCGCCGTCGCGACGTTAACCTGGCTGTCGGAGGTTGGGTATACAATGCTTCGGTGCGAGCTGTCTTGCTCTACACCTGTGAAACCTGGCCTCCCAAGCTGAAGATATCCGGCGGCTATGCGTATTTGACCATCGCTGTCTCCGTAGGATTGCTTGTGTTCGGTGGCATCGTCGCGTGAGTAATCCTGAGTTCCGTTAACATGTGTTCAGACACAGTGGAGATCACTATTTGTTGAGTGTTGTCATCTGGAAATACCGGCTTCGGTGGGTTGGACATTTGCTGCGAATGTCATCCCAGAGGCTTCCGTGTAGGTCTCTGTTCGTTAGCCTTGGGATGGAATGGGAAAGGCCGAGAGGTGGTCAGGTAGCCCATGACATGGCGTTGTGAGATGAAGGATATTTGTGCTAGGTAAGCATCCGTTGATGCGTCACGACTCCCTGATTGGAGTCCGACAGATAGCTCAAATCGATGATTCGAAACTTTATCGGATATGGCCAAGAATCGTAGTGAAGGGCGAACGTGTTGCAGTTTACTTCTTTCTTCCTTTCCCTATGATAGTTGACGAATGCTGTCTGAATTTGTTGAGTATGACTGTTTTCCTTCTAGATGAAGTTTTTCATCCGTTCTCTACTTATATTTTTACTTTAAATCTATGTTGTTTTATTATTATTGTGTGGTGCATCTTGGTGCCATACTGTACCTAGTTTTTGTGTTTAAATAACAATAATAGTAAGGTTATCTGTTTAATCTTAGTCACTGGTGGATTCCAGGACACACATTTCGGCCGGGTATCGCCACTGATACTTGAACCTAACACCCACCCTTTCAGAAACCTTTCAAGAAGTTCATATGCCAAAATGAGACGCATCGATTATCTCCGAATATTTCAACCGGACATCGCAAGTATAGAAAAATCATTCTAAATCATATCCATCGCACAGAAAATGAATTGAGTCCCAGTGAAAACACAGACACACACACACCCTCACTGACAAGCAGGTTTATCTAGCTCACGAGTCCTAAAATAGTAGAGAGTACCGCAGTAATGAACCAGTAGTAGAGCTTATGATTTGTAGCAGATTTTGAGCCAATACTGACTCACGATAAAAAGAAAACCCCTATGAAACAATAAATCTACTATGATAAAGTATTTCCTCTCAAAAATTACTAAATACTAACAGTACAGATGTTATTTTCTTTTCTTTATTTTTCAGTAGTAGACCGAAATCTTCAGAACAAGTGAAAACGTCTCATTTCTCACCTCAGGACCAGGACCAAGAAAAATTCACCAACTGTGATATTAGCAGCCCTGAGAACTCAGCTGATTCAATTGAGGCTAGAGTGAAAGCGCTTAAACAGGCTAATCAGTATCTAAGAATGGAAGTAGAGAATGCCTGTAAAATGCTAAATACAAGTGTACTAAACAAAAATAAAGTTGAAGATGAGTATTTGTCTATGCCGAAAATGAAGTATTCCAGTGCATTTCAATTTGATACTGGAAATAATAATAATAATAAACACAAAGTGAGTCAGTCATATAAGTTGAATAGATTATTTATTATTATTATTTCCTTTAATTCCTAGAGGAACATAGGGCTTCAGCCGTGCGTCTCCATTGCGTTCGGTTCTCTGCTAGAGTCTTCACCTGGCTCCAAGTCTGTCCACACGCCTTCATCTCCTCTTCACATGACCTCCTCCAAGTCACTCTTGCACTGACGACCAACTCGCCTCCCCCATTCGAGGGCTGTCTAGTGATGTCACTTGATGGTTTCCTCAGAGTATGGCCAATCTATCTCCATTTCTTCCTGCCTATTTGTTTCACAATCGGTTCCTGCTGGGTTGGTTCGCTCCCAGAGATCCACCTCTGCTGCTGATCTTTTCGGGCCATCTGATCTTGAGTGGTATTGAGCGAGGACAACTGTTAATGAAGGTCTGTAGTTTGTTTGTGGTGGTCTTTATGACGCGCAGTGCAACTCTCTGATCCGTATGTTAAGTAGCACTGACTTCACATTGGAGTTGAAAATCTGGATCTTATTTTTGATGCTGAGCCCTGTTGACCTTCACACAGACTTGAGAGTAGTGCTTGCTTTGATATCCTCGTCAGTTCCGCCTGTAGTTGAAACGATGCTTCCCAGGTAGGTAGGTAAAAGAGGTTGTTTCTTTCAGGTTCCTCCCATTTATGCTGATCGTTGTCTGTTGTTGTTGAATAGATTGCCGTAACAAAATTTTCCATTTAATCATATATATTTAAGACATTGACGTTAGTCCGGTAACCATGGCAACTAGAATGTTAATACCTGTCACTTGAATTAATCTTCTGAATATTTTATGAAAAAGGATTGACGCTATGAGGTGTGTTGTTGAGTCATTCAAAATGCAGGATGATGAGTGAGTGAACTAGTATTTAAACAACATATATTCTAATGTACTGAAATAGCCTCGAATTATATCTTATGCGATTAGTCATAAGAGCGCTACGCCCTTAATTACACATTTATAAAAAGAATATACCTGTAACCACTGTTAAAAAATTAAATCCGATTCATATAAGTCGTAAATTCATAAAAAACTATCGTCATAACTATATTCAATAAGGGACCCGGATTTTCAACTCCAATGTGAAGTCAGTCAGTGCTGCTATACGGATCACAGACTTGCACTGCGCGTCATAAAGAACATCTCAAACAAACTACAGACATTCATCAACAGTTTTCTTCGCTCAATACTCAATATCAGATGGCTGGCCAGAAAAGATCAGCAACAGAGATCTCTGGGAGCGAACCAACCCAGCAGGAACCGATTGTGAAACAAATAGGCAGGAAAAAATGGAGATGGGTTGGATTGGCCATACTCTGAGGAAACCATCAAGTGACATCACTAGACATGCCATTGCTCGAGTGGAAGCCGAAAGGGAAGCGGCGAGTTGGTCGTCAGTGCGAGGGTGACTTGGAGGAGGTCATGTGAAGAGGAGATGAAAACGTGTGGACAGACTTGGAGCCAGGTGAAAACTCTAGCAGAGAACCGAACGCAATGGAGACGCACGGCTGAAGCCCTATGTTCCTGTAGGAATTAAAGGAAACAATAATAATAATAATCTAAGGACCGCAAATATAGCATACTGAATGACAGCAAATAAAAAACAGACTGGGGTATTTCACTGTGTAATTGTGGTAATCATTAGTTAGCCAGCCTTCTAACTCGCTTCTACCGAAGCAAACAATTAATGCACATTCCTTCATAGTGAACATAAAGACTCGTCATAAATAATCCCAAAGAGTGTAAAAAATCAAAACAAAGTTCTTCCAGACGTTTTGTTATGTGTAAGTATAAAATTTGGGCACTGTGGTAGAGTATTACTCCATTATGGATAAGATTTGATTTTTATTCAAATATCTAATCATTTCCACTCATGTATATAAATGAAGGAAAAAAGTTGTGTGAGTGAGTGAGTGACTTGATATGATTATGAGCACTAGTATGTGGTCGAAATGTCACTAGTTAATATTGCTGTATAACACTGTGTGATTAATCAAAATAAAATCTTATCTATAATGGAGTTTTGTTATGTAATCATGAAGACGTTGTGTTGCTGCAAAGTTATTGCGTCCCATGTAAACAGACTTGCCTACAATTCGGTCAACATGTGACTATTTCTTGAACTACACTGGGAAGATGTCAGCGTTCCCCTTATCTTTTACCAACAGTAATTTGATGAACTATAACTAATCGGGCCACATACTACTAATTCTGAAATCTGAATAAAAACCATAAATCTTCAGGTGGAAACAATAACTTCAATAACTTTATTATTTCGAATTTATGTACTCCGTTTGATAAATGAAATGTAAGGAGATAAAAAGTACAAAAGTATTTTGCTTTAATTCAATTTTGGATTTTCCTGTCGATTGATTGGACCGAAGTGCTCGGTCTCAGGTTGACATGTCGGCTCATTGTGCAGATGCTTCGACGATGTCTGGTCATGTAACCTGAAGTCAGTTGGTGGATGGTGACTAGTAGTGGAATCCAAAATGAGCGTTTCGTCCTATTTCGGACTCGTCAACTGAATGTACCTGCTTTGGCGTTTGAAACTACGTGCATTGGGTTTGAGCCTCGGTGGGAACACTATCACTCACTGGGGAATGCAGGTGCATCTAGTTAATGAGTCCCAAAGGAGATGAAATGTACAGTGTCCTGGATTCCACTGCTAGTCGCCATCCACCAGTTCACTTCAAGTATTTTGCTTTGCTTGAACAAAGGTAATCCGATTAACTGATTAAAAATGCCCATTAAAATTTTCAAAAAAATGGATACTGAACAAAGGATACTCTTTCCGATAACTTCATCGTCAGGTTCTACGGTTATATATAAATTATAGTGAAAGAATTAGTGTTATTAACAAAATTAGTTGTTGTTTAAATAGAATCGAATCAGTAATATCAATAGATTACAGTTCTATAGCACCAACATGAAATAAGCTGAATGTCTCTATCATCTACCGGGTACCAGATAAATTGCCAAAAACATCGAAGTACTGCATGCTCCAAACACCAGAGACTATGGCGATTCGCGTGAAACAACCAGTGTGCAAAAGAAGCAAGTCCAGCTAGCCACTACTACTGCCCTGGCTGGCCTTCAGTAGAGAATTTGTGTTATTATCTTTCCTAATTTTTCTGATATTCAACGTGTTGTTATCTTGATGCTGCTGAACTGTAATCTATTGATATTATTGATTCGATGTTATTTGAACAACAACATTAATGTTGTTAATAACACTAATTCATTCATTTACTATTATGGATGGATATATAACTGTAGAACCTGATGAAGAGCAGGTTGTCGAAAATAGTATTCCTTGTTCACTAAACATTCTTTTGTAATCCGATTAAATTAATTTTAAGCAATTTTTGTATTCACGCAAAATCTTAATCTATTCAGATAATCTAACTTTATTGTTAAAAAAAGACAAAAGAAAGCCCCAAATTACCAGGTCTTCCTTTAGCTTCAGCTTCCAGTCTATGTTAAAAATGAAAACCTAGTCAACGTTCGGGTATATTATTTTTATACTGCTAGTGATTAGGCTAGGGACTAACCAGACCCTCTCATATTAGTAATTTGGATCAAAGATGGCTTTATTATTATTATTATTGTTCCCTTGGGTTCCTAGTAGAACATACGGCTTCAACTGCACGCCTCCACTTGCTTCTGTCTTCTGCTGTACTTTTCACCTGCATCCATGTTAGTCCATACTGTTTCAACTCCTCTTCACACGATCTCCTCTATGTCACCCTCGCACCGACGTCCCACTCGCCGCTTCCCTTTTGGGTTCCACTCGAGTGATGGCCTGACGCGCGATGTCACCCAGCGGCCTCCTCAGCGAGTGTCCAATCCATCTCCACTTTCTCCTCCATATTTGTTGGGCAATTGGTTCTTGTTTTGTTTGTTCCCATAGCTTCTTGTTTGTGATTCTTTCCAGCCATCTGATCTTGAGTATAGAGCGAAGACAGCTGTTGATAAAGGTCTGCAACAGGCTGTTGGAAATATTCTTTGTGACCTGCCAAGTTTCTGATGCGTATAGAAGAACTGACTGACTTGACGTTTGTATTGAAAATCCGAATTTTGTTGTTGATGCTGAGTTGAGTGACGAAGATTTCCAGATTGGTTTCAGGTTGATGAATGTGTTTCTCGCCTTCCCGATTCTAGATTTGACATCCTTGTCCGTTATTCCTGTAGTTGAGACAATGGCTTTAATTTACTATATAATACTTCTTACGTGTTTTCGAGCATCTTATCGTTTATCACAATGTCGTTTCTCTATCTTTCAGGTAGAATTCTTTGATGAACCTGATGAATATCCTGAATATGGTGATGAAAGTATAGTTGAACAAGAATCAAAAACGGTTTGGCTTGAAAGAATTGAATCGGTAAGGGTTACAATTAGAGTATAACACGTTTTTTCATGTTCTACTTATTCACCATGTTATGCTTCACAGAGTATCAAGAACTAATACGTGAGTTTATAAAAGAAATTTCCAACCAACTAAAGCTGTTATCATTATCCCTATAGTCCAGAAGTTAATAAATGGAACAGAGAGATTCTAATCTTGCACATTTACTGGAAATTTAATATATCTAATAGATGTAACAAAAAGTCAAGAAAGAACACACTTTTCTGTTATACCAAAAGCCGATAGACAAGGAGTTAGTGTTCCTTGCTTCCAACAAAAGCAATAAAATATGATAACCTAGAATGGTGGCCACATTGCAAGCCTGACTGATAGAATTCAGTCTGCACCAAAGAAAGGACTAGACACGTCACACTAGTTACTGAAGTGTCCAATCAAAGTACCCACTACAGTCCTACAGGAGGTCAATCGCGAGCTCGAATAGCTCAGTGGTAACGTCTCTGACTGCTGGTTTCACTGGGTGACGCGGGTTCGAATCTCAGAAGGGACATGAGTTCCTTCAAGGTTGTAGATACGCCTTACTGACTGGTGAGTGCCAACGAGCACGAAACCTAGGTCATGTAGGGCTTTCTGCCGGTTGCCCCAACCATCTAACACTTTCAATGTAAATCTAGCCTCCTACTGAAGCTTAATATATTTTTGTTTGTTATGCTTTAAAGAATGCAAATGTGATGAGTGAATCCATAAGCGACAATTTTAAGTTTCATATTGATTTCACCGACTGCTTTGTTTCACACATTGCATAAAAAATTCATAAACTTCTATTCTGATATTGGATAAAGCATGTTTAAACTAAGTTACCCGACAATGTTAAGCGTACTGATCATAAAAAAGGTAGAAACTAGGAAAAAAGCATCATCATCAAAGCGGAATAGATCAAATATCCAGGTGACCTACAGCAAGCACACGCTTACTATCATGTGATCCGAAAAGAAACGTACTGGCTATTTATTAGCTGACAAATTTGCGTGACAGAAAAGAATTCAGGTATAAATGAAGTGAAACTGTTGTAGAAGGCATGCGGACTACGCATATCGTCCGAGATTCGACCCCCGGCTGACGCAGCCTTTTTACCTCGCTAATGCAGTAATGAGACTGGTAAAGAGGGAAGGTTGGGCTTGATGAGGCTAGCAACCTCGTACAACATAAAACACCTCTGCTACCGAAATTTCAAGCCTCTAACTTGAAGTCTCATGTTCCACTGGGAACGTAAAGAAGTAAAGGAAGTAAAACAGAAATAACTCTATCAAAGTCGAATGAATATACACTCGCAAGGACTTATTCAGATAGAGGCAAAGTAAAGTATAATTAGAAAACATTTGGAAGTGGAGTAAAATAATTCCCGCATTTCTGATCATCTTATCTCCGAAAGGACTACAAAATACCAGCAAAATACTCATTTCTCAGTGTTTCTTCACTAATAGAATACATTTAAAACTGTTGAGAAATATAACACCACAGTGACTGGCTTTCAGCTATTCGGGATGTAAAATATGTGAATTCACCAACCTGAACCTATAAGATGCAGTTGAGATTAATGAGCTAGTCGAAGTAGTTATCCAAAACAATTGTCATCCACTAAACTATGAACCACAGTTATACCTATGCGTGAAGTCATCGTCTCCGTACACTGGAGGTCTGATTCGAAGTAATTGAATGTAGTGAAGATTCAGTTGTGGAGCGACAGGACAGGATGAACATTGAGGAGGCAATACGACAGAATGCAAACTGGAATTAATTTCAGAAGTGGGTACGGAGGCGACTTCAATGCAATGGTCATTATTGATAGTCGTTGAAGTGTTTGATGATTGAGTCGTAGTACTAGAGTAACTGATTGATGCTTTCTAATTGAGAGTGTCACTCCACATATGCGTATTCGAAAAGACAGTTGCTTGTGTTTGATTTTACACATGACGTGTTTTGAGTCAGACTTGATTGGGTGAAAAACACACTACTTCCAGTTGTCGGTCAGTTCGTTGACATGAGATTTCGTGGATAGATATCTTGTGTAGAATTTTCCGAATGACTTGATTTCCCTACTTGAACATTGAAATCAACTAATGGTGAGGTGACATGTGAGTGTTTTACTTTCTGTAGTATGTTGCATAGCTTCTGGTGGGATTCGTGCTCCGCTTGGCTTGAACTGCAGTCAGTGAGTATGTGGATGAAGAGTATCTTTGTTTAAACACTCGGCAGTAACTACTGTTGTGCGTCTAGTCCTCTGTTTGGTGCCGATAGAATCCTATCAGTCAAGTCTGCAATGTGACCACCATGCTAGGTGGCTCGCCATCACAATACACTCAGAATTGTGGTTATTAGTTGGTTGAAGGCAACACAAACTGCCCAGTTTGAGTAAACACTGCGCAGGAAACCGTTTAGAGGTATATTCAGTCCTATTTAAGCAAATATGATTTACACTATTCGAAATTGGTTAGTTCAATGACTCTAACCTCACTGAAATTAGGCTGAATATTTGGATTTTGTAAATTACACTAAGCACTTCATTCACTACTACTGTTTAAAAAATTTAAAATTTGTTAAAAATGTAGTCAGTCTACCCTATTTTCCTTCTTCCAAACAACGAAAATTTTACTTCCACTATTCTGTGTTTCTTGGTTTTTATCAAATCAATAAAAACAGCATTTATTTTTCGTCTGACAAAGTATAATTTTCATTTTTGGTTTCCTTTAAAAATTCCACTAAAAACGTTTTCCTTTTCTATTTAATTTTACTGAAATTTTATCTAGATATCGCAAAAATTTCATGATAACAACAATTACTGGTCGAATAAACTAGAGAATATTGACAGAATGAAAAATTCTGGTCGAGATACTGTGCAAAATACAGAGCGTCAAACAAATTCATCTAGAACAGTAAGTGGAAACACTGACAGAAAAATTAAGCCAACACGCCTTCATGATTCTAGCAGTGGAGTGGGTAACAGTAGTGGACGTGTTAAATTAACAAAGCTGGAACCCATGGATTATCATGGAAAGTCCGGTGATAAATTCTCCAAGCTAACAAGTACTTCTAAGATGACTTCAATTCCAGTTAAACAGATGTCAGCCTATCGTGGTTCAAGAATAAAATAGTTGAAATGTTGTTACTTGTTGTATTTGTTAAGTTTTCATAATTTCTGACACTTCTGATGCATTTTCTAAGAAGAACTATAGATCACTAATAATAACTGGTGTTTATAACTGTTTTTGACTGCAGCGTCTAAATGAACTGTGTAACAATTTATTATAAAACCGGTTATTCTGTAGCATTTTCTATCGTAAGTATAAATAAACTTATGAGAACTACATGCAGAAACGTTTATTTCTGTGAGTAGTACAGCTACAATTATGTCGTCATAAGATAAGAAATCTAGCGAATAGTTCAGCTATAGCACTACATGCAGTTACACACAACCATACAATAGGATCATACTCTGAGGAAACCATCAAGTTAAATCACTAGACAGGCCCTCGAGTAGAACCCGAAAGTGAAGCGGCGAGTTGATCGTCCAAGGGTGACTTGGAGGAGGTCATGTGAAGAGGAGATGAAGGCATGTGACCAAATTTTTAGCCAGGTGAAAAAGTTGACAGAGAACCGAACACAATGGAGACGTGCGGCTGAGACCCTGTTCCTCTAGGTACTAAAGGAAACAATAATAATACAATAGGATGGATGGGATAAGATGACAGTTTCGAAATCTAATGTCACAGTGTGGAGACGGCAGGATTCATAACGGAAGCTTTGTTTATCGAATAAAGTGAAGAGAATACGTGTAGTAGGAATGATTCAACACCTTTCCGCCCAGATATCTGGAGAATTCTACTATCCCAACGACGACAAATAGGAGAGAACAAAGAAAACTATGAAAGTCGAGTTTCGAAGTCGTGCGATTATAATTGATATCATTATGAACAATAAATTGTGTTCGAAATGTCACCCAGTAAATAATACTGTTTCACTGAGTGATAATTCTAATACACAAACTAATATGGAAGTAACCCCTGTCAAATCTTTCCTTTTGATGGTAATTGATGCTATTTTTGTTGCTATTATTTGATTATCTTCATCACGTCCGGCTTCTTTATGTTCACTTGGAGTCCTGTCTTTGCTAAAAGCCTCTTCTGCCAGTTCATCGGCTTTCGCCTGTAAGTCATGAGACATATATCATTCGCGAAATCCAAATCTTGGTGGTAGAGCGTATTCCTGTCTCTTCGCTCCCCAAACACAGCGTGCCGCATAATCCAGTTCAACACAAAGGGGAATATAATAGGTCTTGATAAGCAGTTTTGTCTTACTGCAAACGACTCACTGAGCTTTCAGTTGTGAATCACTTGACATATGCCATTTTCGTATAACTGCTAAATGAGGTTGATGAAGATTTGGGGTACGCCGTAGTACTCGAGTAGTTTCTAAATTACTTCGCGGCCGACTCTGTTGTAGGCCTTGCCAAAGTCTATGAAAGTGAAGTAGAGGTTTGACTGCCATTCTATGCTTTGCTCGACGATGATGTATAGAGTCGCAAGTTGATCCGCACATGATTTGCTCTTCCCGAATCCAGCTTGTTGTGGTCAGAGTTCTGCATCCAGTGCATCTTTTACTCTTTCTCTCCCTCCCTCTCGGAATTATTTTATTTATCATTTTTCTTAAATTTTATTCCTTTGCGTTCCGAGTGGAACATAGGGCTTCAAGTCTGAGCAAACCTCACATTCAACCTTCACTCCTTTTCAAACTTACAAACGGCTAAGGGAAGTGAAGGTTTGCGCCGGCCGGGAATCGAACCCCTGACTAAGTAAGTAGTTGGCGAGCAATCTACCGCTGAGCCACAGGCACGTACGTATGACAATATATACAGTATATAATAGTATCACTGCCCTCAATGAAGTTTTTTTTTGTTTTTCCTTCACGTTCCCCAGTGGAACATAGGGCTTCAAGTTTCTGTAGCAGTGTTTATTTTACAGGATGGGGTTGCTAGCCTCATGCCCAACCTTTCCTCTTCACCAGCATTATTTCTGGCTTAGCGAGGTAAAGGAGTGCGTTGGCCGGGATTCGAACCCCGTACCACTTGCATGGTCAGCGAGCGTCCTAACCACTATGCCACCGACGCAAGGAAGCATTATACAGAAACCTGATATGTTTATTTACTAAGCTACGTGACTGTCCCCTGTCCTGTAAACTATGATAATACGGCTTAGTCGCCTGCTGCCTGACAACCAGATAAAAACTACGATTTTTCCGGATTTAATAATAGGACGCCAACAGATATCTCTTCGTACTGCAGTGAAAGGAATCTGCACAGTGATACACAGGCAATTTAGAAATGTCCCTAAAATTATCTAATCACTGTTGATAAAGGGATATCAAAACATATAGTTAAGTCGAATATGCAGTGAATAGAAAGTAGAGGCTGATGTAATAAAATATCCTATCCGTGAATGAAGTTCTGAAATGAGAATCAGGTATAACTGAGTTGAGTTGAATTTCACAGATAGTCAGACCGTTCCAACAGTGTTACACACAAGTGTTCATTTCCGTTTTGCTTATCTTTGTTTTTTACATTGCAGTCATACTTAACTTTGAAAGCTTACTTAATAATATATTTAAGTCACTGGAACAAGTACTGCATGATATTTTACAGCACGAGAATATGCATAATAGCAAGGCAAATTAATTCTAGCTTAGACAACAAAATTTCTAGGTTTGTCGATAACAATGTATGACAGTAAAGTATTTCTTTATAGTAAAGAGTACCTCTGGAACAGCTTTCTCCTTAACTTTGCCATCGATGTCATTCTGGAGTCAGCTCTGAAGGACGTGCGTGTAAGTGGTGTAGATCTCCTCCCTGAAGAGAGACTTTTCGACCTCGAGTATGCAGACGATGTCGTCTTACTGTGTGATAGCATGCAGGCCAACCAAATCGCACTTAATCAGTCGGCGATCAGCGTCTGTAAGTATGGTGTGCACTTTGCACCGTCTAAGTGCAAAGTACTGTTACAAGATTGGAAAGAGCCTGTACCTGCACTCACTCTTGCCGGCGAACCATTTGAAGTTAATGATAAGTTTGTGTAGCTGGGTAGTTGTGTGAGTGCTGGCGGAGGGATGACGGATGAGATTTCCAACCGCATCATGAAGACTAGGGTGGCATACGTCAACTTGAGCCACCTCTGTCGGAGAGGTGGTCAGGTAGCCCATGACACGGCTTCGTGGGATGAAGGATATTTGTGCTAGGTAATCATCGGTTGGAGTCAGACAGATAGCTCGAATCGATGATTCGAAACTTTATCGGATATGGCCAAGAATCGTAGCGAAGGGTGAACGTGCTGCAATTTCGTTCCTTCTTCCCTTCCCGACGATAATTAACGAATGCTGTTTGAACTCGTTGAGTATGACTGTTTTCCTTCCAGATGAAGTTCTTTATCCGTTCTCTACTTATATTTTTACCTTAAATCCATGTTGTTTTATTATTATTGTGTAGTACTTCTTGGTGCCATATTGTACCTAGTTTTTTGTGTTTAAATAAATAAAGAACAGCTTACGATTCCTTCATCCGAAAGTGTTAGACCGAGTCTATCTTAGCAAGTGAACATCACCTTAACCAAGAGATTTTCGGTACAGCAGGCAGAAGTTTGAGATTACAGAAACATTATAATCTGATAGGATGCCATCAGATTTCAATCAGGTATCTCAAAATAGCTGAAAGTACTAGTTTCATGAAGCTTAACTCATAATCTTTATCCATGAAATCACTAACCCTAATATAATTTCTGGTAGCTTATTATACATAATATACATTTCCAATGCATAATGACAACAAAAGCGATAACTCTGTTCGTATTTCCAACAGTACCCAAATGGATCCCAGAAACTGCCAACATTCATCTTTGCTGCCTGCTAAATTAGTTTCATTCAGTTCTGAGGACACAGATTTACTACCTGCGCTGCTTGTAGTAGTGTGCTGTTCGGTCAAGGAGCAAACTAGTCATCCTGACTTCCCACTATAAGAGGGGGGACTTTAATGGATCAACCTGAAAGATAATGTATCCCGAATTATCCTATATTGTGATTCATATAAAGCATTAGGATGCATCTGAAAGTCCACCTCGAAACAGACTGTGTAATCGACCTCAAGCAATTTTCTTGTGCATCTATCGCAACCTAAGATCAGCTTCCTTATTGTACGCAGACTAGAAGCACTAACTGTCCACACGTTGACCGCTTCACTCACTTGGAAAGTACCATCAGTCCCAACGGGTTGATCTCTGACGAAATCTCAGCACGAATACAGAGGGCTAGTTTCGCATATGCCAGTTTACGCCATCTCTGGCGTAGACGTGATATCCGACTATCGACCAAAGGGCGTGTGTACTGCTCAGCAGTCTGCTCCGTCCTCCTTTATGACTGTGAGACCTGGCCGTTGAGAGCGGAAGACATGAAAAGATTAGCTGTCTTCGATCATAGGTGTCTGCGTTCTACCTCCCGTGTGAAGTGGTACAATAAGGTGAGCAATACTGAGGTTAGGCGTCGAGTGCTAGGTAACGAGGGGAAATCAGTCGACGAGGCTGTGAAATTACATCGACTGAGATGGTTAGGACATGTGTCGCGTATGCCTACTATCCATTGCCTCCCTGGACGGGCAATGTTAGCTGAAATAGGGTCAGGCTGGAAAAGAGCTAGCGGCGGTCAAACGAAAACATGGCACCAGTCAATGAAATCCACAACAGTTAGTCTAAGCCACGTAGGAAGGTGTAGACTTCCTGGTTGGGGTCCTCGGGACGGTAAAAACCAATGGTTGGAAACAATTGGTGACATGGCTCAAAATCGTTCTCAGTGGCGCAGATGCATCCACTCCTTGTCACTCATGATTTCCAATTCTTCGTTATTACTATACCTTGGTCTCACACCTCTGTTTACTGTCTATATTATGCATTTCTCCTACTTTCTTCTCTTGCTTTGTGTGCTACATGGAGTGTGGCGACTTGAACTGCCGCACATATGTGCAAAGTTCTATGTCGATAACAGAACAGAACAGAACCGTCCACACTGTCTCATCAACATACAAAAATCATTGCATTACTCACCATCTTCTTGCTTGCTCCTAATGTTGATACTATTCGCAAACAGGCTCCTTAGCCTTTCTAACTCCCTGAACATTTCTAAGGACTGAAGGTGTAGAATCAATTCTGAGTCATGGAAAAGTACACAACCGAATTATTCCGGAGTTGGCAGTACACACCTATATTTTCACATAGTATTTATTCACACTCACTGACTACAGTCCAAGCCAAGTGGAGCACGAATCCCACCAGAAGCTATGCAACATACTACAGAAAGTAAAACACTCACATGTCACCTCACCATTAGTTGATTTCAATGTTCAAGTAGGGAAATCAAGTCATTCGGAAAATTCTACACAAGATATCTATCCACGAAATCTCATGTCAACGAACTGACCGACAACTGGAAGTAGTGTGTTTTTCACCCAATCAAGTCTGACTCAAAACACGTCATGTGTAAAATCAAATACAAGCAACTGTCTTTTCGAATAGACATGTGTGGAGTGACACTCTCAATTAGAAAGCATCAATCAGTTACTCTAGTACTACGACTCAATCATCAAACACTTCAACGACTATCAATAATGACCATTGCATTGAAGTCGCCTCCGTACCCACTTCTGAAATTAATTCCAGTTTGCATTCTGTCGTATTGCCTCCTCAATGTTCATCCTGTCCTGTCGCTCCACAACTGAATCTTCACTACATTCAATTACTTCGAATCAGATCTCCAGTGTACGGAGACGATGACTTCACGCTTATCTATAACTGTGGTTCATAGTTTAGTGGATGACAATTGTTTTGGATAACTGACCTTCGACTAGCTCATTAGTCTCAACTGCATCTTATAGGTTCAGGTTGGTGAATTCACATATTTTACATCCCGAATAGCTGAAAGCCAGTCACTGTGGTGCAGTAGATTATGAAATTTGACAGACTGATTGGTCTAATAATGCTTTCAGACAAAAGATGCATGTGGATATGTTAATGCAGAGTTTATGCAAACGAAGGGAAACACAATAAAACTAAACCTTGAAATGACCACTTGAACCGATACAGGATGATTCCGAGTTTTATTCGACAGTATTTGGACCTTTAGACATTGGGCGATTCAATTCAGAAAGTGAAGTTATGCATGTCTGATTACCATTCATATTATTTTAAACCAACTGAAACGTAATTAGAATGGAAAGAAAAACCGACCGCAACAAGAAGTATATCTAATCCATGAAGTGATTTCTGGGTTTCTGCCCAACCTACATTTGTCGGCAAGATAACCACAGAGGAGTACATATGCATCACGCCTTATTCTCATCATAATTGAAAAGAAGCTTTCGGTGCTCACTTCCTTCCTTCTGTTTTACAAGATTTTACAACTATCATTGTTTTCTGCTCTTCTTTTAACTTCTAATTGATTCGCATGACAGTGTTACCCGTCAAGTTATTGACTGATGCAACCAATCATATATTGTTCATCAATCTACGTTTTAGATTTCCCTTTATATGTAAAGAATAATATACGCTGTATTGTGAATAGTGAAGTTGTTATTGTTGTCGCAGCTGTCTCAGTTAAATGCGGCTTCTGTATCCGCCACAGTGTGAGGGAATACTTCCAGATGACCAGTTGTCTGGAGGCACTTTGCGTCGGTGGCACAGTGGTTAGGACTCTCGCCGACCATGCACATGGTCCGGGGTTCGATCCCCTGCCGGCGCACACCCGATATCTATGGTCGGCCTGAATTTGGGCTACCGATATCCATGCTGAAAATTCCATACTTGTACTGAAAATACGGTGTGGAATCAAGCTGTAAATCAAAATAAAATAAAAAATAATAGCAAGCAACCAACAAAATCACTGACACTCCGTTATAACAGACAGTTTGGACGGTTATATGGTAATCCTGAGTTTTATTCAACACTAAGTTTTCCCAAAAATTTCTGTTCAAGATCATGTGTGTGTGGACATACATACATAGGGAGGAGTAATCGCGCGTTGCACGTGAGGGTGGGAGAGCATATCCCAAAGTGGTTAGGAAAACAGATGAATTGTGACAAGCCCATAGATGCAGGTGTCAGTCAGACTACCAACTTCGTCTATAGCTAAACATTTAATCGAGATGAACCATAAGGTTGATGTTAACTCAGCCTTTAAGTTCATCTATAAAAACGGTCAAGGACGTTTACTGAAATACGCTGAGGCTATAGCCATTCATAAACTTAAGCCCTCCTTGTGTATTCAAAAACAGTTTGCTATTACTCTTAACCTACCTTGGTAATCCTTATTTGATTGGATTACCAAACGTTTGTGTTAATTATTCTTAATTCTTTTTTTTGTCACCTTGTTTAATTTAACTTTTCCATATATATTGACTTGACAAGTAAATGTGTGATCAGATTGTTCGAAATGTATAGCGCTAATATATCACATTTTTCAGATAATTTCCGTCTTCTAATAATGCTATCAAAAACAAAAGGACTTTATTATACGAATCAAAATTCGACACCGAAGGCGTTAACGCACTCATGCTGTTGTCTACCTACTACTACTATTATTATTAGGCCGTTACAATTTAATGTAGAGAAGGGAAATGCGACAAGGTAACCTAGTATATAATGACAGGTTTACACTAGTAGCGCCTCTATGCGATGTGTCTGAAACAATAAGTTCTTCAGATTTAAATCTTATCACCGATAGTCGGGAAACCCAGCTGATGAGACTCTGCTACACCACTTTTCTTGCCAACACGAGTTACAATCAGCGATTTTCAGTCTGTGTGATATCTCTTTGATCACCAGCTTCACACCCACTCCACCCCCGCATGCCGTAAAACAAGAAATCAGGTAAAGTAGCAATAATAAGTCAAATCAGTTTACAAAAAAGTCATAAGTACAAAAGATTTGGCACATAAAAATGAATATCACCATTTTCCATCTCTAGATTATTTCATACATTCAAAAGTCTGCGAAATAAAATCAAATACAGAATTGTTATAGTCCAAGAGAGATTCAGCATTTTCACTTAGAATTCGCCAAAGATTTCCTATATTATGAATGAAAATAAAAGTCAATTTAAGTTGATGTTTACTAAACAAGCATACCAATATCAAAAATATGTTTTGTATTATAAACTCATACATAGCTCTAAAAAAAAGCTTATATCACAAGTTTGTAACACATTCTTTACCAGAAAGGAACATATGTACAAAGCGACAACTGTAACCACAGATATGTACTTTCAAATACTATGTCCCATAGTTCTAAAGTAGGATGAAGCAACCTGCTTTGCAGGATATCTCTCAAGAAGTCAAGAAATCGCCAGAATAAGTATATCTCAACTAGGATCACGTAAGAATGATGAATTCGGATCTCCTATGTGAACATAATTAGTTTCTGTGACTAAGGCCAACTAATCTCCGTAAGGTGCCACATAGCTACCTGAATTCCAGCAACGCCTTTATAAAGATCATAAACGTCCTGAGCACTTCCCTTACGGGTAGAAATGTTTACAATAACACTCAATGGCGGGCATATTGAGGGTGTGACTATTATCGTATCACCAACAGTATCCAAGGTTCGCATGCGGTGGCAACCAATCTCTTTCAGGATCATGACAGCAAGATTCAACTGAAAAGGAATTTACAATTATACACTTGCAAAGAACTCAGACCAAAAGAAGGAGAAGTTCTACGCACAACTGAAAACAGTAATGGACAAGACCTCAGCCAGATGGCACCGTCCAAATTCGAATGATTGATATGTGGTACATCATGTGGAGCGAGAAGACGGGCACAAATTGAACTATGAAAAGACTCTAGATCAGTACTACGCGGAGGATTCATGTCTAACGGTGTACGGACTCGAACATTTACGAAAACCAACGGGGTTGGCAGAAGAGGTGGCGAAGACAAGACCTGATTCAGATGAATGTAGAGTAGACAGAGGTGGCAAAGATACCCAACCAACAACAACGGATAACAATCACCGTCGATGAGTAAAATCTAGTGGAAGTTATCACTCCCACTTAGCTAGGCAGCATCATCACAACTACAAGTGTCAAAGCCAGCAAGGATCGGATTGGGAAAGCAAAACAGGCCCTGAAATTAGTGTGGAGATAGACAGCACTCAGCACAAGGAATACAATCTAAATTTCAAACATTAATACCGTGCCAGTGCTGGTTCAGAGAGTTGGCGCGTCGCCAAATGCATTTCCATCAGGCTACTGCAGCCAGCTATCTTCAACCAATAGTAAACATCAGATGCTTGGTCAGACAGGATAAGCAACAAGCAACTCTGGAGGTGAACCAGATAACTTCCTACTGTGCAACAAATGTGCAGAAGGAAATGGAGATGGATTAGACATACGCTGAAGAGAAAGTCTAGCGACACCACATGTCGTCACGCCTTTGAATAGAATCAGAGTCGACGTGTCGCATTTCCAACAGTGACGAAGACGTCATGTGAGGGGAAAATGAAAACCTGTAGGCAGTTGTGGAGACAACTGAAAGTGACAGCACAGAGCCGAGTACAATAGGAATGTGTCGCCGAAGCCCACTCGAAACACAACAAATGAATGATATAATGTATATAACGAAGTTGGGATAATGGCTAAATCTAGTGGCCACACTGTTTATTTGACCGAAATAACTAATTATGTGGTATGAATAGTAATGACCATACAACCGAACTAAGAAGGTGAATTTGGTTATAACATATTAACTAAAGAAAATATATCTACAGAATGCGGCTGAGTGACTTCTACACTTCGGAATTCCAATACAAATTACCAGAGTACAATTCAATTGGATAAACAGACGCGATGTGGTTCATCTTACCTACAGTCACCTTTTGCGAGGAAAGTAGCGTGTACATTTCGTAAATCCTATCACAAAATTGTTTATCTCCAAAAGTAAAATAAGCTAAAGATTTTTTCGCCTGTACACAGGCCATCATTTGAAGTATGCCTACAAAACAACACAAGAGAGAGAGAGAGAGAAGAAAACGGTTAATATTCATTGAATAATTCACAGACTTAATAATATAAGTGATGTATTAAGGACAGAATAACCTCGCCTAGATTACTAGCTCGCTAGTTTTCTAGCCGGTCCCACAAACATATTAAAAATTCTAAAAATACAAACAATGACCTTATTTTTCGCTGGAATCGGGGAAGTGAAATGACGCAGGCTGGTGAAAGCCTTCGGGAAGCCAGTCAGCCGATGTGCCTTCTTTCGATGAAAGCAAAAATAAGGATGGGGACGTGGAATATTCGTACAATGTACGAAACTGGAAAGGCTGCTCAGATAGCCGCAGAAATGAGGAGATATAAAATAGAAGTGTTGGGAATCTGCGAGAGCAGATGGAATGGATGTGGAAGGAGCCAACTATCAACTGGAGAGACAATAATCTACTCCGGTCACCCAGAGGACAACCACGAGCACACCGAGGGAATAGCCATCATGATGTCACCAACAGCAACCAAAGCTCTCATGCAGTGGGAACCAATCTCCTCCAGGATAATGACAGCCAGGTTCAACTCAAAAGGAAGGAAGGTTACAATCATTCAATGCTATGCGCCTACAAACGTCTCAGAACAAGAGAAGAAGGAGGCCTTCTACAGACAACTACAAGCAGTATGACAACGTCCCAAATGGCGATATCAAAATCCTGATGGGTGACATGAATGCGAAACTGGGAGGAGACAATACAGGAAGAGAACTCACCATGGGTCGTGAGGCCCTCGGTGAAATGAACGAAAATGGCGAACTCTTCTCAGACTTCTGCGCCTTCAATGATTTGGTGATTGGTGGCAGTGTGTTCAAACACAAGGATATACACAAAGCAACATGGATTTCAGCAGATGGACACACCAAAAACTAGATAGACTTCATTTCAATCTCAAGGAAGTGGACACGAAGTCTACTGGACACAAAATCGAGGAGAGGAGCAGATCTGGGTTCAGGAACTTTCAAGGTGAAGCTAAAAGCCTCGAGGGTAGCTGGGGATAGGCCACAATGCAAGTTCAACACTCAAAAACTGAAGGAATAACATGGATGCAGGTGAAAAGTACAGCAGAAGACAGAAGCAAGTGGAGATGTGCAGTTGAAGCCCTATGTTCCACTAGGAACCCAAAGGAATAATAATAATAATTTAATAGACTCTCATTATGAAGCAATATATTTTCCCTCCTTCCCCTACCTTCCTAGCGGTCTACAAGCTCGCCTTGTAACCAGAAGGCCCCCGGGATCGAACCCCGGTGGGTGCGCACTGCGAAAAGCCCCAAACTAGGACGAAACAGCTGTCCAGTACTCCCTGCAGGTTTTCAATGGTTCACTAACTGATGTCCTCCAACCAATCAAACCAAATCCCTACAAAAAGCAATACTTGAAAATAAATAAATGTCTATCCCTCTACGGCCAAGGCAGAAGTAGGGATTGTACATACTTCTTTTGTACACAAAAGTTTGGCTTAAATTCATGAATGGTCAAGGCCTCCGCTGTCTTTAGAAATCTGTAACGAAAAAAAACGCGGCGAGTTAGCATGGATTCGGTAGATGATCTTAAAAATCATGGTCAGGGTTGACAGAGTGACAGGAGTCGATCAGGTGTCCTAGAACAGAGCTTCCTTTCTCCCTTGTAAAACCATGCTGGAATATGTTCTCGTATCCATGTGGAAAGCGTCCTCTGGCTACGGCCGATGTACGTTGCTCTACAAGAGCAGGTAAACCAATAGATGCACATGGAGGCGGCCAGGTGGGGAGCTTATCTTTTACAGAGATGGAGAACAACTTCGCTGCAAGGAACGTTTTACTGACTGATTTAGAGAGACGGTTTTTGAGCATATCTGAAGCTTGATCACCTTCGAATTCCAAATTCATGAATAAGTGGTGCAAATGAGTGTTTTTTTTTGTGAAAACACACTAGGAAAAACTTCTGTAGTCATGGTGTTTCCTACAAATACTGTTGAATGACTGCAAAATAGTCCTGAGATAACAACGAATACGAATGTGTAACGATTTTATTTATTTTGATTACAGCTTGATGCCACACCGTATTTTCGATACAAGTATGGAATTTTCGGCATGGATATCGGTAGCCCAAATTTTGCAGGCCGACCACAGGTATCGGGTGTGCGTTGGTAGGGGATCGTACCCCGGATCATGTGCATGGTAGGTGAGAGTCCTAACCACTGTGCCATCGCACAGAAGACTGCCAGTTACACAGCCGGTAATTGTGCTGAATTCCAACAAGAAGGTTGAAACAGACTGAAAACTACAACTCCTAACTAAACTACTGAGGGATCATAACACTAAACAAAAGTGATAACATTCAAATACCACTAGTCTTTTTTTAATTTTCTACTTACATTTTAGTTCTACATCACCACGAAACGCACCACATCCCCAGTTTCCAGTAGCGACAACTGATGGTAGTTTTCTGTTAGGAAACAACTCATCAGTGAATCCACAATAAGCCTCGAAGTAAAAAAGACAAGAAAATTAGTAAATGTAGCATATCATAATTTGATCGGTATTTATATATAAACCAACTGCCACTGTGAGACAAGCAGAGATAAGAGACAAAAAGAATAGCACTATGGAAGAACAATATAGTTTTATTGGATATTACACAAGGAGTCAATACATCTCAGCCAGCCACTGAATACGATTTCGAGCCATATCACCAATTGTCTCCAGCCATCGCTGTTTACCATCCCGACAGGACTTCATCTGATTCCCAAACACGTCTTAGTACCTCAGTTAACCCAGACAGTAAATTGTCTCCACCATACGGAAACACTTCTGCAATCATTCCATCAGGTCCGTCAGCTTTGCCTCGTTTCAGACTAGTGACAGCCTAAGTAACCTCAGTTGGGGACGGTCGACCTGTGTCTATATCCCATTCAGCGAGGTGTTGGATGTTCGGTAGGTTGAGTGTGGCTGTGGGCCAATCAAACTGCTCCTCAAAGTGTTCTTTCCAACGTCCCAGTCGTCTATCCTGAAACCTAATTATGGTGACATTTTTCTCAGAGATTGTTTCACTTATCTCTTGCCTTTTACCACCTGTTTCACTGATAAGTAAGTATAAATAGTTGTCTGGTGTTACCAATCGCCGATGCCTTTTCCATCTCTTTCGCTTTAACCGCCCACCACTGTTCACAGTCGTTTCGGAGGCTTCTTGTTAGTTTGCGTTCGAGTAGCTTTCTCTCCTCATCATAATCGGAGCTCACCGGAATCAGTCTTCTTGCGTCGATCAGTTCGGATGAGGTCGTAGAAATCCAATGGCTCTAACTAACTTTAGGTTTCAGGTTACTAACAGTTTTGACAGCCGTGTCTACATCTGACTGAATGTTATGCAAGGCTACGTCAGCAGGAGTCCTGTTGTCGACCTCAGATACTCGTTTCGCTATTTCTTCCTTAAATAGGGACTCAGTGTCTCGATCTAGTTGGGGACGTAACTACTACTCCGTTTACTCGTAAGCATCAACGTGCGCGGACCACGGTGTGATCGGAGTCTACGCACGTGTTCCAAAAGGAGCGGAAGTCTCCTACTAACCCTCATCAACCATACCCTATTGCCATGTGGTCTATCTGAGTCCATCATTGATTTGGTGATGAGGTCGCCAGGTTACACAATGTCTCTCTTTGTGCCTAAACTCAGTGCTGACCAGGAACTGATGATTATCTGAACAGAACTGTAGAAGACGATCATCGTTGTCAGTTCGTTGGCAGGTAACTCCATACGTACCACCTACATACTTCTCAGTCTGGCACAACTTCCCTTACTTGGGCATTGAAGTCGCCTGCCAAAACAACTATGTCTGAACGTTTTGCTTTTTGCAGCAAATTAGACACTTTCTGGTAGAAGTCATCCTTTAGTTCATCTGAACTGCATTCTGTTGGGGCGTAAGTGGAGACTACCAAAAGACAATGACGGGTAACGCCATTCTTCCTTCTTCTAACGGACCCAGTCAGACGGACTGCACATATACGACTATCTACTGGGATCCAGTCAAGAAGTGATTTTTCCACCCTAACCCTCAACGTTATCCCTACACCTGAGAGTCCTCGCGAACTAGTTGAGGGGTCTCCTGACAACCTTAAAGTGAATTTCGCAGATTCATCTTGTTCGCCGGATGAGGTTAAGTGAATGACCACACTAGGGTCCTGTATGTGTGTCTCCGAATCACAACATACATCTATGACTCGAGATGCCAGAGTTCTTGCTAGTGATGCCTGTTGTCCGATTGGGCAGAGGGTCCTGATGTTGAATGCTCCTATATGAAGTTGGCGATGTGGCTTTAAGAGGCTGTCCAAGGTGTTTCTACGCCTCTCATCGTTGTTTGTGGTCACAGAGTGAAGTGAAGATGACTCACTAGTCTGAAGAATAGTACTGACTGTAGTAGGAAAGTAAGATGATGAAGGTGATGTGGGTAAAGGAGAATGATACTCAGGAAGGCTTTGTGTGCTCTTGGAAGTGTGTGGGCGGTTGTCATTTCCCAACTGCCCACACCGGGGAAGTTGATTGATTCTTTGGGTACCTGAAACAGAAACTTACTTACTTACTTTACTTTACTTCGGCTATCTCCTACGAGAGGATGAGCCGGCTTCATGAACATCTCGAATCATCGCTGCCCAGGCGCGGCGATCTGATGCAAGGTTTTGAGACAGGGTTATCCAATTCTTGTTCCACAGATGGAGTCCGTAGACGGTTTGTAGCCCCAGGCACTCCGTATCAGCCTTGACTGTACCAAGCCATGTTTTCAGCTGTCCACCCCTGCGACATCGCCAAGATGGTAATGGCGAGGGACTTAGAACTGATTTGACCAGATCGTCATCTGGTCGGCGCAGAACATGGCTAAACCACCGAAGGCGACGTTGTTGGACCAGTACTGGAATTTGGTTGATGTTGAGAGTTCGTGAAGTTTCATGGGAATTTGGTACGAGTGATTTATCCAGAATCGCTCGGCCTTTTTTGTTTGAGAGTGCAGCTCTAGCCTTTACACAACCAAGTGTGACCTACAAGGCAGTAGGAGTGGAGTAGGGAGTCCACTATCCATTGGCAGCCGGTGGCCGGAGTTCGGTTCATACGCCAGAAACACTAAGTCGGCACCTGCTTTTAGTCTAGTCGCTATGGTAACAACCTTCCTGGTATGGTAGGACCTGCAGGAACAACAGTACCAGCCAGTGTAGCTTGTTGGGTCATTGAGATATGCAAGCCCGACCACCACGTCAAGGCAGCAGCTATCGGTCGGGAACATTATCAGGGCGAGGCAAAAGCACCCAAAAGGGGACACTGCAAATATTTACATAATAAAAACCGACTGAACACTTATACGTGATGGCTAAATGACAACTGTTAGTAAAACCTAACTTATTCGAATTTCCCGAGCTAATGATAACGCCGGTGCAGAGGCTTAACTAACCAATATGGTGGGCATTTAATGAAAAACATGTCAGTAACATAGACAAAGTATACCACAAGTAACAGACATAATGATTTATTCATATATGCTCAGTAGTGGTGGGGTGACAGTAATGTACAGCCAGGAAATAGCGAACAAGGTAGTCTTCTCACACGCACATACACACACAAACCTCAAGACAATAGCTGTAAAATTAAACACGTTTTTTTAAGGTAAAATAACTCATATTACCTTGTTTATTTCTCTGAGCATTTCCCCAGCATTATATTGTTCTACAGGATTAGTATACCGTGTAGCATCCATTGCTACTATAGCATAATTCCATCTTCCCCATTCATCACTGGAATAAATTAAGAAGAAATCAACCCAAAAAGTGACAATAGTAATACCTAATATTTAAAAAAAATATTAATGACGATGACAAGACATTAAGAAGACACCACACATCCAGAGATACAATAAAATTACTGATACGTTGAAGCAATTATTGTTTAACTCTGTGCTCAATGTTAACTGGATAGACAAAAAGAAATTGGTATTCTACGCTGTTATCAATAGGAAATGGTTGCCAATCAATCTACGTCATTCTATATGCAACTGACGACACTGGAGAATGTGATGTGTATTGGATTTGCAGCAGGTTTAACAGTCACCAAACTCGAGTCTGTACTGCAAATGCCAGTAATTGGGTTTTAATCGTTTGCACATTCAAGTACTTATATATTAAAACAAGAAAGTTTTGAAATAAGGATTGAATCTAAAAGACGCTGATGATTTTAGGCACAATTTTTCCGAGTGTTATTTTCTTCTGATCTCCGAATGAGCACACACACACAATATGCTGCTCGATTTATTTGGTATACTACGATCCAGTTAATTTGCTGATCAAATGAAGCAGCTTGCTGACTCCTTTCTCAGAAGGATATCATCATCACTCAATCCTGAAAGAATAAAAACACCTATTCTCTAAATTTCCCATCCCTTCAACTATAGGTTAGTACAGAACTAGCTTATGGCAACATTTGACTTATGACAGACGTGAAATCCATGCACATTTATTCAAGGCATTCAAATAATTCGCAATACTGTCAATGCTTTTACAAAACACGACTACGTCGTTTCTGAAAGTTATGCCTTGAATTATTATTTTTATTGTTTCCTTTAGTTCATAGAGGAATATAGGGCTTCAGCCACACGTTTCCATTGCGTTCAGTTCTCTGCCAACGTCTTCACCTGGCTCCACTTCTGCTCACATGCTTTCATCTCTTCTTCACATCACCTCCTCCATGTCACCATCGCATTGACGACCAACTCGCCGCTTCCCATTCGCATTCCACTCAAGCGATGGCCTGGCGTGTGATGTCACTCACTTGATGGTTTTCTCAGAGTATAGCCAATCCACATCCATAACTTCCTCCATATTTGTTGCACAATTTCTTCCTGTTGGGTTGGTTAGTTCCCAGAGATGCCATCCTGTTGCTCTTTTTTTCTGTCCATTTGATCTTGAGCAGTATTAGGCGAAGACAGCTGCTGATGAAAGTCTGTAGTATGCCTTGAATACCAGGGAGATATTTTTTATGTAGCACACTAGTTGTGTGAGGGCTGATGATATAAAACAGCTCACCCTCCAGGCTAAAAATGGAACGGAATTCGCAAGTATCGACTGGAGGTCAAATGTTTTAGCAGATAAACTATATTGTCTATGTACTCTGAATTTATCGAATCAACTCCTCTGGAGAGCAAGTCAACCCATGTGAAGTAGATCAAAGGCAAAATAATCACCATAAACATATCTATAAAAAATTTCAATAATAATGATCCTGGGCATCCTTGGAAAATGTTTTTTATAAGCCCTCCTATGGATGTGTGCTAACTTACACCATCTCTGGCGTAGGCGTGACATCCGGCTATCAACCAAGGGACGTGTGTACTGCTCAGCAGTTCGCTCTGTCCTTTTCTATGGCTTTGAAACATGGCCAATACGAGTTGAAGACATGAAAAGGTTGACTGTTTTTGATCATAGATGTCTACGATCTCTTTCTCACGTTAGGTGGTATAATAAGGTAAGTAATGTTGACGTTAGGCAGTGCAGTGCAATTGAAATGCATTTAGGTTAGCCACACAATTAACCTTTCTAATATAACAGGAGCTTAAGGAACAGCTCTTCCGATTAGCAGAACTAGCTACACTGTTAAGGCACAACACAACAATGATTGTCAGGCTAGGGTTGTGGTTATCTGTCAGAGAAAAACAAACAGTTATATATGCAAAGAACTGACTTGAGTATAAATATGTGAACAAGTAAAGCTTCTAATGATAACGAGTATGTTTAATACATAAACGTGGTATATTATTCGCGTAAGGACGTATGCCACATAAAATAACCCAACAACAGTATAAGCAGAAGATAAATTAAAAATAGTTGAGTAAGAAAAGGAAACATGCAAGCAAACGTCTCAAGTACACCCATTGAGGTGTTTATTACTGTCTCTTACTTTCAGAAGTAGGAAAAAGAAGGGGACTACGGTATGTTAGCCACTGATTTGCATTCACAGTCACATCTGACTGTATCATCTTGAGCCACAAGGACTCGTGATAGACGAAAAGATGGCCGTCCAACACAGCTATCCTTCATCCAGCCATGAGGTGACCACCTCTCCATCTTTTCCACTAGTGCCAGGGTTAGCGAACAGTAGACCACCATGTGAGAGTGTATGGAATAGCATACTAACAACATATCTAATCTAATAAACCCAGTGTTCCAGAATGATATCACTTTTTGTAAGACGATCACCCTGTACACAAACACGTCGCATCAGACCTTAGAATTGTTTACACAATGAAGCTACTGAATCCGGGCAATTCTACGAAAGCGATAATCATTAAACATATCCTCAGATTACTGAGGATAAGCCCACAGTGGATATATGTTTTAACCTTATCTAGAGTATTTTCGTTTAAGGCTTACAAACTGTAGCTAAATCTCTCTGTGTGTGACAAAAACAACTCTAAACAGCAATCGTTCCTGGAGAATCGTAAGCAGTCTCCATATCAGAAATTTGTATGGAATAATTACTTACTTCAGGGTGCACAGAGTGGGTTAGAATTCACATATTTGGATTGTTAAGATTTTGTCTGAAAAATACTAATGACGTTACATGCTAGAAAACAACTAAAGCGACATTAGCGCATGTATTTTGGTGTCTTGTTCTTTTTTAAAAATTAAGGATTGATTTTGAAAACAGCTACCCTGAAAGACCTTACTGCTTCATGAAATTCAGTCTTTATGTTAATCCAGCATGCAGGTTTGAACGGCAGGCTATGAAATACATCTATTGTATGAGAAATGATGACAATAACTAGTGATCCGCAACTCAGTGTGCTTGTGAAGCTGGTATACAAAGCTGAAACTCATATGACCGAAGTCAAATACCCAAACCAATGAGTCACACTGCCCCGCTGCTTCTTGAAGACAACAAAAACAAATCTCCAAATGTATCCAGTGAACTTGGAATAATAAAGAATATCCTTAATATTAAGGATGTAGGATTCTATGAAGTAGCAACATATAAGGTGAATTTTTCATTGACAACTCAACCATCATCTCTACTGTCATTTTATGATGATAAGAATGTTATCAAAAGCTGCAGTCAAGTCAAGGTCATTTCCAAAAAACCGACTTCCAAATCGACATTATTCTGTGATGACAATCAAACAGAAGTAAATTAATGCCCACTTAATGTAGTTTCTAATGCGACAAACAGCGGGCAATGAGGAAACAGGCATAAAATGGACTCACACAAAAAAAACTTGGAGGATCTGGATTTCGCCGATGATATATGTCTGATTTCCCACAAACTGGAAGATATGCAAGTGAAAAGCAACAAGTTGACAGAAGAAGCATCCAGAGAAGATAGGACTTCAGGTAAACATAGAGAAAACAGAGGTAATGAAGATTCCTGGACAAGAACAACAACAACGGACAACAATCAGCATAAATGGGAGGAACCTGAAAGAAACAACCTCTTTTACCTACCTGGGAAGCATCGTTTCAACTACAGCCAGACGGAACTGACGAGGATATCAAAGCAAGAATCGGAAAAGCAAGACAAGCTTTCACTACTCTCAAGTCTGTGTGGAGGTCAACAGCACTGCTCAGCATCAAAAATAAGATCCGGATTTTCAACTCCAATGTGAAGTCAGTGCTACTATACGGATCAGAGACTTGCACTGCGCGTCATAAAGAGCATCTCAAACAAACTACAAACCTTCATTAACAGTTGTCTTCGCTCAATACTCAAGATCAGATGGCCAGAAAAGATCAGCAACAGAGTGGATCTCTGGGAGCGAACCAACCCAGCAGGAACCGATTGTGAAACAAATAGGCAGGAAGAAATGGAGATGGATTGGGCCATACTCTGAGGAAACCATCAAGTGACATCACTAGACAAGCCATTGCTCGAGTGGAACCCGAAAGGGAAGCGGCGAGTTGGTCGTCAGTGCAAGGGTGACTTGGAGGAGGTCATGTGAAGAGGAGATGAAAACGTGTGGGCAGACATGGAGTCAGGTGAAGACTCTAGCAGAGAACCGAACGCAATGGAGATGCACGACTGAAGCCCTATGTTCCTCTAGGAATTAAAGGAAATAATAATAATGTCGTTCCAAAGTCTGTTTATCATTACTATGAATTTATTTGAAAAACTTACCGTTTCATCTCACTCTTTGACTGGTCAAAATCTCCAGCCCAACAAAAATTATCAGAATAACCAGAACCCACGGAATACTGTTCGGCACCCTCGATAATAAGTGTTTCATCAGGATCCAAGCATTCAACAAATAAACAACTAATTAACAATTCTGGGCGTAAAGCAAACATAATTTCTTCTTGTACACATCCACTGCCTAAAATACCGCCACCCAAGTAACAGTTTGCAAAATCAACCTACAAATATTGAAATATATATCCAGTTACTAATGCCTCTACAGAAAAATGGTTAAAATATAAATGAATGAATATCAGAAGGAAAATAAAATTAACTTTTAAAACATGAAAAGCCTAGCTAGCTGTCTTCGATCATAGGTGTCTGAGTTCTATCTCCCGTGTTAGATGGTAGCGGTAATAGGGTGAGTAATATTGAGGTTAGGCATCGGTGGAGTGCTAGGTAAGGAGGGGGAATCAACAACAGACGAGGTTGTCAAGTTACATCGATTGAGATGGTTAGGACACGTGTTACACATGCATTCCCAGCCATCCATTGCCTTCCTCGACTACGAGCAATGTTAGCTGATATAGGATCGATGAGGTTGGTAAAGAGCTAGCACGTGGTGGTCAAGACAAAACATGGCTCCGTCAGTCGGTGAAATTCACAACAGTTAGTTTAAGTCACTCACGTCGGTAGGTGTAGGCTGTCTTACTTGTTGGTTGGGGTCCTCGCGATGTTAAAAGGCATTGGCTGGAAACAGTTAGTGATGCGGCTCAAGTCGTGTTCAATGGCTGGCGCCGATACATCGAATCCTTGTGAATTGTAATATTCAATAAAACTATATGGTTCTTCGGTTTTGGTATTCTTTTTGTCGCATATCTCTGTTTTGAATCTCTTTTTACTTTCTTCTCTTGCTTTGTGTACTGATTGAAGTGTGGCGACTCGAACTTCTGCACATTGGCGAAGAGTTCTATGTTGAAACCAGTGAGTCAGACTGAAAACTAAAGCCGTATGAAATTCACATCACGGTTTGTTTGAAGTAAACATCATGCAGATGCACGACCTTGGCACTACTGAAGATGCACAAGAAACGAATTTCCAGCTGTGTTTATATAAAGACAATTTACGGGGGAAATGAAAGAGTCTGCTAGTAGCTGAATATCTACGTATGAGAACTAGGCTGGCGTGTTTGATTTCCTTGTTAAAATCCCTGTGTAAAAAAAAGATAACGCAAACACATTGGACAAAAAGGAGCCTAAAGTGGAAAAGAAAGACATTCTATATTGACAACAGCTGCCTTGGTCGCATTAACAAAAATCTCATTAAAATGAGCATCGGTCGGTTTTCGACATAGAACTTTGCACATATGTGCGTCAGTTCAAGTCACCACACTCCATGTAGCACACAAGCCGACAGAAGAAAGTAGGAGAAATGCATAATACAGTCAGTAAACAGAGGTGTGAGACAAAGGAATAGTTATAACGGAGAACAAAACAGTTTACTTGGAAATCATAAGTCACAAGGAGTGGATGCATCTGCACCAGCCACTGAGAACGATTTTGAGCCATGTCACCAATTGTTTCCAACCACTGGTTTTTACCATCCCGAGGACCCCAACCAGGAAGTCTACATCTTCCTACGTGGCTTAGACTAACTGTTATGGATTTCATTGACTGGTGCCATGTTTTCATTTGACCGCCGCTAGCTCTTTTCCAGCCTGGCCCTATATCAGCTAACATTGCCCGTCGAGGAAGGCGATGACTAGGCATACGTAACACATGTCCTAACCATCTCAGTCGATGTAATTTCACAGTTTCGTCGACTGATTTCCCCTTCTAACCTAGCACTCGAAGCCTAACCTCAATATTGCTCACCTTATTATACCACTTCACGTGGGAGATAGAACGCAGACACCTATGATCGAACACAGCTAATCTTTTCATGTCTTCCACTCTCAATGGCCAGGTTTCACAGCCATAAAGAAGGACGGAGCGAACTGCTGAGCATGCTATAATGCATACAATTTGTGTTTAACTAAATCAGCACTCTATATAGGTCTAACTAATAATATAAAATAAACTGTAGAATACAAGTGAATGCTGGATTAAACTTTAAATTATTGAAAACACACTTCATTATAAACAAAACTATAAGACGAACTTGGAGAGTATTCGGACCAGCATCGGTGATTGATTCTGTAGCGCTTACATGTAAACGCAGTTGATCAAATGTAAGTATACTGCCTAACCAATCTGGTGCCAGATCACCTAAACGGCGCCTTGTGAATGTTATTGATCCAACGGGAAAATGTTTTAAAACACGATGAAAATAATGCAATATACAGCGTAACTTTTGAACTTTAACATGCAGCGTCCTAAAATAATACCAAAATATCAGTAGAAAAGTTATTTAACAACAGAAGTTACTTAAAATAGATACAAAGTGACATAAATAAAACGAGACGTTTCTTTTCTTAAAATATATATAATATTCAGGTGAACCATCTGTTAAGTGTACATTATGTGTACTTCGGTTCGTCCTTCTCTCTGGCGGTGAGACGTGGCTATTGAGAGCGGAAGACATGAAAAGATTAACTGTTTTTGACCACAGATGCTTACGATCTCTTTCTCGCGTTAGGTGGTATAATAAGGTAAGTCATGTTGACGTTAGGCGTAGAGTGTTGGGCAAAGAGGGAAAATCATTCGAAGAGGCTATAAAGTTACATAGATTGAGATGGTTAGGCCACGTGCTGCGCATGCCTAACCATCACCCCCCCCCCCCCGACGGGCATTACTAGCTGATATAGGTGCAGGTTGGAAAAGAGTAAGTGGTGGCCAAACAAAAACATGGCATCAATCCATGAAATCCCTGACAGTTAAACTGAGTCAGGTAGGGAGATGCAGACTTCCGGGTTAGGGCCCTCGGGACTCTAAGAATCAATGGCTGGAGACAATAGGTGACATGGCTCAAAATCGTTGTCAGTGGCGCAGATGTATTCAGTCTCTTTAACCTTCATATTCCTTTCTACCATTACTCATTCTGTTTTACTCTTATACTTATCTAAATTCTATTGATTCTCTTCACTCATTTTCTTGTCTACCTTCGTGTGCTCTTTGGAACGTGGCAACTCGAACTGCTGCACTTCGGTGCCAAGTTCTACGTTGAATCCAGCCAGCCAGCCAGTCAGTACATTATGTGTGCCGAACACATGGGCTTTCAATACAATATGTAAAAAAAAAGTTATGTAGCCACGAATTAAGGTTATCGGAGGTGCATAACGACATATAGTGCATTAATTCTTATACAGAAATATATAATCACAAAGTTCTTATAGTTAACAAGGAGGTACTCGTGAGCAGCTACTTACTCGTAGTATAACTGATTAAATAAGAAGTAAATATAGAACTGCATAGTATTCTAAGTTGTTACACTTCAGAAAACATAAAACAGAACATAAGTGTAATGTATTACCTTAATTATTTAGTTTTCTCCTCTACGGAATTTCGTAGGATGTTTTTTCATTCCTTCGAGTTCTGAGTGGACTTCAAACTTTTAAAGTTTCGGTAACGGCGGTGTTAGTTCTACGCCATGGAGTTGCTAACTTCCCACTCCACCTCCCCTCTTTTCCGGACTTACTATTATCTGCTGGTAAAATAGGCTAGGTTTGTAGATTTTAGGTGCATTAAGCTTATTTTTGACAACTTTTATGTAAAACTTTCCAGTGTATGGCAACTATAACACACGCATTTTTGTTAGACATTTTAATCGCCAGTCAGTGAGATACACCGATATTTGAGAGAAAGAATAATTTGGCAGGGAGTAGCGATATTCACAATTTCGACGGTAAACAGTGGACAAATTTCAACAGCCATAAAATACTTTGAAACACTTCACCAACAGTACCAAGCACTGAGACTATTAACCAAGTGTTTTTATGCACATTCAACCATTTCTATCCCTATACATGAAATAAGCAGCGGGCTGTGGAAATAAAGGAATACTCTTTTTTATAAAATTATGACGGCTTTTTTGACAAAACCTTACGTTTCTCTGCCTTTTGAACTTGGAGTCAAGATATACAAATATATATTATAGTGTTGGGGAATAATACTACAGATAAAGGAAAAGGAGAAATTATGGTATACTTTCAATAGTGTTGCAGTAATATTATTTTATTTGACTTGAAAAAACGAGAGTTTGATATCATAAGATAGACGATTTTTCCTTAAAAAGAAAAGAGGTTTCAAAAACTAATGACTAAAATAACACAGTTAGAAGGCTAGAGAAGTATTAGTGTTAAACTGATTAGGCCAACTCTAATTTCCTTTCATGTATTACATATCTTATTAAATCCAACTTTCATTTGCTCTTCATCCATCCATCTATTCCTTTCAATTTCATTTAAATGTTTTTCTTCGGTTTTTGTTGGAATATTCGATATTATTATTATTATTATTATTATTATTGTTCCCTTGGGTTTGTAGTGGAACATAGAGCTTCAACTACACGTCTCCACTTGCTTCTGTCTTTTGCTGTACTTTTCACCTGCATCCATGTTAGTCCATACTGTTTCAACTCCTCTTCACACTATCTCTTCCATGTCACCCTTGGACGTCCCACTCGCCGCTTCCCTTTCGGGTTCTACTCCAGTGATGGCCTGACGCGCCATGTCACCCAGCGGCCTCCTTAGCGAGTGTCCAATCCATCTCCACTTTCTCTTGCATATTTGTTGGGCGATTGGTTCTTGTTTTGTTTGTTCCCATAGTTTCTTGTTGGTGATTCTTTCCGGCCATCTGATCTTCAGTATAGAACGAAGACAGTTGTTGATAAAGGTCTGCAACAGGCTGTTGGAAACATTCTTGGTGACACACTGGCGAAGTTTCTGATCCGTGTAGAAGAACTGACTGGCTTGACGTTTGTATTGAAAATCCGAATTTTGTTGTTGATGCTGAGTGACGAAGATTTCCAGATTGGTTTCAGGTTGATGAATGTGTTTCTCGCCTTCCCGATTCTCGATTTGACATCTTCGTCCGTTCTTCCTGTAGTTGAGACAATGCTCCCTAGATAAGTGAATGAAGTAACCTCTTTCAATGTTCGATAGTCTAAAGAAATGTGCTATTGTGTGAAATTTTACCTCCTCCAAACGAGCCAACTCGTCCAAGGGTGACTTGGAGGAGGTCATGTGAAGAGGAGATGAAAACATGTGGGCAGACATGGAGCCAGGTGAAGATTCTAGCAGAGAACTGAACGCAATGGAGACGCACAGCTGAAGCCCTATGTTCCTCTAGGAATTAAAGGATACAATAATAATAATAAACGAACCAAATAATAATGACAAATGAACAATTCTTCATATATGCATTCATGATTTTCAAAGATAAAAATCAGAAGAGCTTTATTCAGGGAAGTGAAACTCTGGATCTAAAATATCACATATTTTTTATTTTAATCAAAGAGTAAATGGAATGGGATAACACTTATTTATTAGTCAAGAATTAAATATTTTGAGAAATGCAACAAGAATTTGTGGTTCAAATGACAACACAGCACAATTTCAACCAAAGCATTCTCAGCAGATAAAACTAGTGTGTATAGTTATTAGAACAGGTAGAAACTCACCTGTTTATATTATGCTGATGGATAGGTTTCATTGACAGTAGATTTGAGAAATTAATTTCAGGAAAATTGACATACTCTGCCGCTTGACCGTGACAATTACGTCTGGGAAATGTACAGAAGAATGCATTTGCCAAAAGACTGGCTATTTGTAGTTGACTTAAAGTAAGTGAACGTTCACAGCCACGTCTGAGTAAAGGAATAGGCTGTTTTTTAAGGGAGCATTGAAGATAGTTATTACTGTCACATAAATATTAACTGTTATTTACTGCATAGCTGACTACATAGCAAAAACATTTTACGAGTACATAAATACAAACAACGGACTATGGTTAGACATTGTTGGTTTTTTATAAACCCTAGAGTATGATCTACCTTCTTCTTCTGTTCGTTTTATTTCACAATCTAACATAGCTAATTTCAGCGAAAAGTAATTCAATTGAATATTCAGTAGATATAAAACTGACTGACTGGTTTCAACGTAGAACTCTACACGGATGTGTAGCAGTTCGACTTGCCACACTCCATGTAGCACACAAAGCAAGAGAAGAGAGTAAACAGTGATTCAAAAGAGAGATAATAAACAGAAGTGTGAGGGGAAAAGAATAGTAGTAATGTGGAAGAACAATATAATTTCATTGGATATGACAAATCACACAGAATGAATGAGTTTGCGACAACCATCGAGAATGATTTCAAGCCATATCACTAATTGTCTTCAGTCATTGGTTTTTACCATCTCAAGGGCTCCAACCAGCCAGGTTATAACTCCCTACTTAGCTATGTTGCTCTTCAATGTCTGAATTTCTCTGGCAGATCGCGTTGCCTTTTGTCTTACTTTACACTGCAAGTACTGCCAAAAAAGAACGAAAGGCTGAAAGAGTAACGGAACCATTAAAAGCCACTTTAGAATAACTCAAACCACTTACAAAAATAACACTAACTTATTGTTTGGTTAGTTGAAACGACTTAGATATTATAAACGAAACTAATCTGCAATAGGATCTAATAAAACCTGAGTACTTGCAATGAATCTGTCACACTAACTAACAAGTCAATCAGAAAACATACACTAACCTTTGTAACAAAAACGGGTAGATTTAATGCCAACGCACAAAGACTGGGGAGAGCATTGTTGAAGAAGTTATCATTTCCTCCGTCAGGGATTAAATTTTCTTTATACATGTGTTCTAAAATCTTGAAATTCCATGATGACTTGAAACGAGAGTTGTATGATAAAATGGCTTCCTAAATTAAGATTCAAACAATAATATGCTCTTCAAGTTACTCCATTCATAAAATAAATACTGGAATTAAAATTACACAGGTAAAGAAAACTTATGTCAGCAAAATAAAACTTATTTTCTTTACCTTCAGCTCGGTGAAAGATCCTATTTTCTGTCTTAATGCCTTCTCCACCATAGTCCATCTAGAAGCAAGGTTACTAGCTCCACCCTACAAAATCAATTTACTGTGTACTCTTACTTCATAAATCGGATACACGCTTTCAGGGGAACATGGCATACGTACATAAGATCCATTCCACTTATCACAGTAGTCGTCGGGATACGGTACAGGTGGCCTATTGGGATCTTGGTCACACTGAAAGGATGTAATAACAAAAAACAACCACTTACACGAAAAAAAACTTTGTGTGTTCGTGAAGGTTGCAGAGGAGGTAGACATGAGGCCGCATGAATTAACTGCTTCAAAGATTCTCCCTGAAATCATCACAATATAAGAGGTTCAGTAACTCACCCTGAAATACTGTAAGCCTACAGATGGTTCGGCCATTGTCACAAGGAGTTAGCTGTAAGCAATACTACCAACTAGTAGGCACGACGGAAACGCGAATGTGTTTTAGCAGATGACATTCTATATTACAATTCAAAATCAAATGAAATGCTAGACAGTTAGTATAATAACAATTATAGAAGTTCCCTACTCATTTTAAATTGATGCTAACACAATATCATTGGGTTATAATCTAACAAAACATACCACCGAATTTATGATGTGTTTGATTTTTGCTGCCACCTTCGTTAAACTTGTTTTACAGTAACCACTGACAACGGTTGCAGAGAGGACTTGTGAACACTTCTCTTAATCTTGGTGTGCCGAAGAGCTTAGTTCAAACTGAACAATACTCCTGGACTTAAATATTTCATATGCACATAGAGCTATTCATGACAACCTAGTGACCAGTAAACAATACATGTATGTAATCAAGCTAATACAAGAGCAGACACGTGTATTCATGACGACTGAGGGAATATGTTAATCGAATTATTCTAATGACATCAGCTTGAGCAACAATTGAGGAACTGAAACCCTAGTTCATGATTGTGCAGTTATATCACATTCAGACATTTACTTATTGTTGCTGTTTATCCGGTTAGGTCCGTTCACAGTTTATAGTTATTCACTAAGCTTCAGTAAGTAATAACAAAGGCGATGTATCCAAAAATTGTTAATAAGAGTAAGGAGACAGTAATAATGTCTGATAGTTTCATACAACAACCATGAATTTACTTAAGTGACATGCCTAACATAACCAACAACACTACAGAAACTTTGGAAGCATCCTGGTAAATAATTCGCATGTGCAAATCTCCATGTCAAGTTTGGAGAATCACTGTGCAACACTCCATTAAGCTGGCTCACTTCGTCTGTAAATAAAACAAACCACTCAAAATCTATTGGCAATATGACACTATTATTCCCATTTTAAACTGTGAAATGGCCCAGTCACGATTATTCATTGTAATCAAACTCCCGAAGCTATGAGGGACGAGCAAGAGTAAACAACAAACACCAAAGTCCAATGCTTGACTTAAAGGGGACTCACATATTCTAGAAAGGGTTCAAAGGAAGGCAACACGTATGGTTCACGGCATGACTAACTTATCATACGACGAAAGACTAGACAGTTTAAATCTCTTCTCCCTGTCATACCGTAGGCAGAGAGGAGATTTAATCACAATGTTTAAAATTTTAAATAATGACTATGGACCTGACCTATTCTCTCTTTTCCTTCCCACCAGGTCGGAACACCTTAGAGGACATAGCAGGAGAGTTCAAAAGCCAAGAAGAAATCATATTGCTGTTGAGTACTGGTTCTCACACCGAGTCATAAACTCATGGAACCGACTCCCATCAGAAGTGGTGTCTGCAACCTCAATTGATTCGTTCAAGAATAATAATAATAATAATGCTGAGAATTCCATTCTGTATCACAAGTACTGTTTTGGAATAAAGCAAATTATTATTATTATTATTATTAAAAATTTTAAATAATGACTATGGACCTGACCTATTCTCTCTTTTCCTCCCCACCAGGTCGGAACACCTTAGAGGACATAGCAGGGGAGTTCAAAAGCCAAGAAGAAATCATATTGCTGTTGAGTACTGGTTTTCAAACCGAGTCATAAACTCATGGAACCGACTCCCAGAAGAAGTGGTGTCTGCAACCTCAACTGGTTCGTTCAAGAAGGGTTTGGACAACCACAGGAATTTACTAGAAAAGGATTAACATAGGCTCCAAGCCTTCTATCCTCAACCAATAAATCTGAACTGGAATCTGAAAGTCAAATAACCTTCAGTCAGATCACTCAGCATTACAAATGAACGCTGTTCATGATGATCTTTGCAAGCTTCACCTAGATTTGATTTCTTTGTGGAAAATAGGTTGATAGGGAGCACTAGAAGATTGACATGTGGAGGGTCAATGACTTTGCAAAAGTAGTGCCAGGCTTTTGATGGTCATGTATTTAGGTACAACCACTAATGAATAAGTCTGTAAGGGTTGGCTGGTCGTAGATTATGGTGATTTTTTAGGTACCTTCCTCTCGAAATCTAAACTCTCCTCAGTAAAATATGATTAACAGCCACTTAGATGAACTTTCGTAACGGCACTGGTTTTATATATCTGCAGACACTCCTATGATTTACTGGGCCTTGATTTTCACAGCATGTTAGGGATATATACCTCGTATAATTCGTTTTTGTAATATGTATATTGTATATAAATTAAACTAGAACTTGATTGCTTCTTTCAAGGTCGTCTAAAGTTGGTGTTTATTTTTTACTGCTGCCGACGGATGTATTACTTCAGATAATTTTTATAATATTACAAAAAGGTGTTTTGATTTATGGCTATTACGATTACTTAAATACTTTATTGAAGACATTATGTATACATATAAAATCTAAGTCGACGAAAAGGAAAAAAGCACGAAGGAAAACAAAGAAACAAGTCAACTCACATTGGAGAGGCCTGGATCAAAATGTGCACAGACGACCTTGAGGAAAAAATTGGCGCTGAAGGACAAGATGCACCTGATGTAATAAAACAAACGCAATTGTAGGACAGTAGGCACAAACACCTAGTTTCAAAACTGATGAGTAGATATAAGAAACACTTTTTCGAGCGGACAATTACCAAAGCAATAGGGAAACACCCCTAAAATATGCCTAAATGATTAGAAGTTTTTATTCATTGCCGTCTAGTTGTTCTGACAGTTAAATTGAGAATGCTGCAAGGCGTAATCACTAGGCTTACCTTATTGATTTATTTCGCCGCCGCTGATTATCCAGTATTGAAAAAAGAAGGAAACTCTTTAGAAACAATTTATATGGCTGCATGCATGTAATTTTTGGTTTGATGCCTAATACATTGTAACTTCAACGACAGATGGTAATTTTATCCTAAATATTTCAAATGACTTAGGGCCAATTTCCGCTGACATCCAAAACCATCAAGCATAATCTTTTTATGGAAACGGAAAATCTGAACAGAGATAAAAGAAACATTGGTATGGAATTATATCTATCCCTTTTAGTTCATCGGCTCTCATCAACCGCGTACAACTGCTTCGTGGCCTTCGTGCTTGAGAATGCATCCCGTCGACTGTGCTGGTAAATTCTCCTATTATTATGCATCACTATGGGGTCTTCCAAGTGTCTGTAGATGTAGGTGATTCCCCAGAGTCATCAGTCAGATCATTCATCACTCAACATCGGATGCTTACTCTAACTATTTAAGTCGACTTGTTTAGCTGGAGGCTATTGGTCAGGTGTCCATGCTAGTTAGCAATGGAAATGCGGTTACAAAGCACACACATTATGAGAGTGTGTAAGCGATACTAGTGCCAGTTCCCATGTAAGGGCTTCAGAAATCACAGGCCCATTTAATGTATGAGCTTAGACACTACACCTGATGTTTGTTTTGCGTCGATTTATAATTTCAGATAAAAAAGTAGCAGTCATGACAAAAGCCCCTAAACAAAGAAGAGTCTATTGAATGTCTTCTACCTGATACCAAGAGTGAAACAAAACAGACACACGAATGGAATATAGGAAAACGAGGTCGGAACTTACCACAATATCACATGGACAGATAAGAGTTTATTGGACTATATTTATGCTTTACCAACTAGTCTACTTTCTGAAAAAAATGACGTGATGCTGTATCCACAGTGGCGACGAATTACATAAGTCCAAAGTTCCCGTTGTATATACTCAGTGGTGGTAGGAATCAACGAAGTAATGCATTTAAAGCATTCACATACTTCCCATGATCACTGTGACGCTTTGTGAAATATGTCAAAATCGTAGAGTAATCAAACCCCATACAAAATAGAATTAACTAAATCCACATAGCGAACAAGCTGTATTAAACATCTGGATAATCATCAACATGTTGGTCATGCTGACAAATCCAAATCAGTAACTATATGGCGCCAATTAATCAGGATATCTAAAAAATATTGAAAATCTGCTAACAGTTGCATTTCGAATCTCACTGACGCATTCGATGATAATATTCTGCTCTTGCACGCTTCATTTGACATTTTGTATGGATTAGTTCGCAGTCATTCTGTTCCTCGCCGAAATGAATTAAAAGCCACTGCTGATTGTGCCGATTCATTAATACTTCTCTGCATGTTTAACTGGATAACAACTGTTGCGGCGAGCTTCTTACAGATGATATTGCTGAAAACATTGTTGTCGGTAAACAAACTAACGTTTAACAAGCCACTTTTATACTTTTGTGAATAGCCCACCATATAGACTACATAAAACGCAACACCCAGTTGCTGAGCACGTTTTCAGCAGATTCAAACAATCATGGTGCCTAGGATTATATCAAATAAATTTATTTAACCTATGTTAAGTTTGCTCACTGATATTATTCCATTAACTTTCCTCGTATTTATATCCTGCGTTAGTGAAAAACTGTAAATATGCTTACTCCAAATATATATATTAATTATCATATTGATGATGCCTGTACACTGGCGTCCCTCATGTACACAAAGTTAGAATATATTTTTATTCCCTATAATGGGGTATTAGACTGTGGGCATATGTGAAGGTCATATTCCGTTGGGGCACAATGTCCGCATCACACTACCACACTACTATTATTGTCGCTACTACTATTACTACTGTGGTGAGAGCTGGCTGCTAGCCAAAGTTGGTAGACGGTAATTGACGTCAATGTTTATGTCCCCAATATTGGTGGTGAGAAAATGAGAACAAAGGCTTTGCGTAGGCGGATACAGTTAGCATATGGATGATCTGACACAGCCACAAAGAGATGCAAGGTTAACTTTCTGTGAGAAACAACCAATCAAAAGACTGTATTTTCTACAAACAATAATCTACAATAATGTACATTAATAGCTATAAATGTGTGTTGATTTTCCTTAATAAAGGATCTGTTGCCTGGCCCTTGTCTTCTGTTGTTACACTACTAGTACCAATAAAACTGAATTCACTTCCAAGACTCTGAACCACTCACAAATAGACAACTATGATAGATAAAAAACTAACATGAAGAAGCATGAGCCAACTCATATATTTTCTAATTACACTCCATTTTAAGACGAGTTCTAAGTTACTGCTGATGATTTAAGGTCAAATAGATGGATAGGTTCACATTTCCTTCGATTTCATCTTTGGGCAACAGTAAAGAATAGACACCAACTTCAGACAACCTTGAAACAGCTAATCAGATTCTTCTAGGTGAAAAAGGGTACTTAATTTACAAAGATAAGTGTATCTACGAGATATATGTAATTAAAATGAATCATATAGGGTATATATCTTTAATGTGCTGTAAGAAACTGATGCCAGATTCTCATAGAAGTGGTTATAGACATATCAAACCAATGTATTATCTATTTCTCCACTTGTAGTAGATACTGATTGCTTATACTCAATATATTACTGAGGGAGAGCTTTGATTTCGAGAAGAAAGTATCTAAAAACTCACCAATTATGTACTACTTACCAACTTATACAGACTTCCTCATATAAAGTGGTTGCATCTGAATATATAACCATCAATAGCCCCGCAATACCTTTCAGAGTCATTATCACTCCACACGTGTCTGTTTTATTCCTCCCTATCAACACATTTTCCACAGAGAAGTCAAAAACCAAATGTAGCAGACATTTTCAAAGAGGATTACGACTGGCAACCATTTGTAATGCTGGGCTATCTGATTGGTCAAATCAAGGTCATCTGGCTATGGTGTCTATTGTTTACTGTTGCCCATCTTTGTACCGTTGTTCAGGAAGAGAGCTCCATTTGACATTTCGGTATCAGTGTGCTGTTTGTTTAAGAAGGAATTTTCCGCGGTGCAATTGGGACTGCAACTTATTACGATCAAATCGATTTCCTGTCACTTTTGTTTCATTCCTCCTCAGGGCATAAGTTAGTGTCAGTCTGATTCGATGTTACCGTTGAACCTTGTATATAGCGTCTTTTCCTTACTATTGCCAATGGGTTTTCTAAGCACAAACCAGTAGGAACTCATCATGAGAATAAAACCCACAGCGTGGCGTATCAGTTAAATTTAGCGCAGTTAAATTCCCAGAGTCGGCTTTTCATTGCATGTAGTATGCCTGAAATCTATTATCATCCGATGCAAGTAGGTATATGCTATCCCTCATTCTTCATTCAAATGAGGAGATTGAGAATTCAAACACTGTTTCTTCTGGAAACCGGTTCAAAGAGTTTATGACACGGTGGAAAAACAACCAACCGAAGTAAATAGAGTTCATGACTCTCTCCAAATTCTCCTCTTGTGTACTCTGAGACATTCTGACAAAAAATAATGATTAGGTCCACAGTCATATCTTGAAATCTTCAACATTTTTCTTACCACTTCTCTTTGCCAAAGGCATGGTAAGAAATCCAGTCTGTCAGGTCGAAAACTCTAGAAAAATCAAGTCACACCAAGAATGCTTTATAACTGTGCTATGAACCCGTTAACCTTTAAGCAATGGCCAGCTACTTGTGGGGATTTTTCTTGCCTGAGTCCAATTAGAAATGGATCAAATGATGTGGCAGTTTCACTGCTGACTCTAGAAAATTTAGCACAGGAAAGATTTTGGGACTTCGTTAAATATGATACGTAGGTCAGAATGAGTTTGAAATAAGTGCTCTCTATACATTTCAAAAGGTGATACTTCCTTGCACTATGCTAATTATCGCGAAATTCCAGTGGTGACAATACTCCTAAGTCCGTATCTTGAAGAATAATGTATACCAGTAGTACTGTGAATATGGAAGATTTCCACTGCCTGCGATTCATAGTATTATCAATTTAATTTTGTTGCTGTAAGGTTTTTCAACCACCCACTGATATTTTAGTGTCAGTGTGCTTAATTTATCTGTGAAGAAATTGTTTGTTGTGCAGTTGGGACTGCAATATATTACGATCAAATCGATGTCTTTTCACTTTTGTTTCATTCCTCCTCGGTGTGTAAGTTAGTGTCACCTAAACGCTCTGAAACCATTTCTGCAATCGCGTGTTAGCTTGAAACATCCGGTTGTTTTGAGACGTAGTGTGTATTAGCCCTCACAGTGTGTATCCCAGTGGATGTCCAACTTATGTTTGAAAGGGTTCGCTGAATCAGTCGATATTACTTGATCCAGTTTAGTCTTTCACTATCATACATGAGTAGTCGAAATTCAATCATATCTTATTCGACAGTGGTTTAACCACTTTTGTTGAATGGCCTCTCAGAGGTATCCTGGAAAGAGCGAAATCTCACAGAGATCACTATTCAGCATACGATAAGCTAAAATAAGGTCATTTTCTTCCTATGGCATAATAATGAGAAGAGGTCTGCTGTTTTTACACTTTCTCATATGAAAGGTGTAAGAGTCCCAGAAATAGCCAAAACTAGTCAGTAGTATTGTTTCCCAGATTTGTACCTTCTCCTGTGAGCATGTGTTAACAGCCTGTGGGGAGTATTCAAGATGTTGTATAAAATTCACGTTATGAAACTATCCTCATCCAGCCATTTACAAGGCTCGCTTG